GAGCGATAGAAATGGAAGGACTGTGATTGACACCACACGCAAGATCCACCCTCGTACCTCCGCCTCCGCCTCCGTCTGTCCCTGCCCTTCCCTGCCCTTCCCTTCCCTTCCTTCGCTTTCCTTCCTCCCTTCGTCAGATATATCTGCCGATAAAGCAGAGATATAGCTCTGCACGCACCTTGCAATTACGCAGTCGGACATCGGGGCATGTGGTGAAGAATCAGAAACGCTGCGTAGAATTGCTCAAGTAGCAGGGATGACATATCCCGTTCTGCAGGTGGTATGCAAGAGATTCAGGTTCCCTGCACTCGTTTTGTGCTCAGCACAAATAAAAAAATAAATGTTTTATATAATATTCCTAAAAATGAAAAAAAAAACTAACAAAAATGTTATTTTTTGTACAAAAATGATACAACATAATAAATTGGTCACCTACTTGAGGGAATGACCACGAACCCTATGTGACTCCAGTTTGATTTTCCAGGTCATTTAACGGTTACTATTACTATTTTAATTGAACAATAATAATAATAAAATATAAATATAATTTAAACAATTTTTATCATAAGATCAAGCTATTATGATTTATCAATTAAGTGCAATAAAGAAGTTCTAACTATTTAAACTCACTTCTTAACTTGATTTAATTTGTTTGCTTGAGAACAATATGTTCCTTGAGAAAAAATTTTTCCTAAAAAAAAAATAATATTCTATAAAACTAAAATTTAAAATTATGAAGGTTATTATTAGTTATTAATGATTTTTTGATTAAAAAACATAAACATATAATTTTTTCTAGTTCTTGGCCTAAACACAAGAGTGGCAAAACAACTGTATGGGCAAGAAACTAAAATATTTTGCCGTAGCAAATTAGAAAAATTATTATTTAATAATTATTTAATTAAACTAATAATTAATATTTACTTTTAGTCACAAAATGTCAGAAATTGTATGTGTTGAAGATTCACTCGTCACGTCACATCGAGCTCTTGTTTTGCTTGATTAAATAATAAAAAAAAACAACGCAAAGAATGGAGTAACGATTTTATCGCTTTTGTTGTCCCTTAATGCGATTTACGTTCATTGTAGAAGCTAATTAATCGCAGGTACCTAACTAAAGCTCGAAAGTGAAGACGACCTACCTACTCTGTTGCAGCCTGCAACTTCTGCAACTCCGGGTCAACTGTTGCGTGCCCATAAATGCGCCATAAAACGGGCTAATCCCGCTGCAGCCGTCCGGCTGCAACAGTTGCATCAGCTTTTGCGCTAATACTCTCCCCTTTCCTCCCATGTACATATGTACCTTCCTGCCACCTGCCAGTCCGATCCTGTGCCCTACTTACCCGCAACTCGCAACATGCAACATATGCTGGCAATTTGGGCATGTTGCCAAACGGGGGATCAAACAATGGAGCGGTTTGTTTCAAAGTATTTGTTTTATAAACCAAGTCAAATAAAATATGATATTAAAATTCAAAAGCCAAACAAAACACATATAAGACGAGACAGAAACATAATTAAATATTAATTAAACAAATTGCTTCTTAATATGTAGTAAATGATTACCGTAAGCTTAATCTTTTTTTATTCTCTTTACTGACTCTTTTTTATGTATTTCATATTGATCAACCAATTTTAATTCGCTTTTTGCAAATTAAAAGATGAAAAACGAATTAATTATTAATGAGTTACACAATATTTGTATTTGATTTAAAACGCTGATCACAAATTGAGATTTTATAATGTATTAAGGAGAATGAAGATCGACGATAAAGAAGACCCATGGTAATTTATGAAAAAAGCGTACCAAAATTGGTTGACCATTCTTAGATATAATAAAATAAAAAAATAAAACACAATTTTTTAAAGTTAAAAACGAAGGACAAGAGCCTAATTTGTCATCATACTAAAGTACACACCAAAAAAAAAAGAACTCTTGTTGACCTGTGTGATAACATCTTGATATTTTCTTTTGTTTCTATGAATGAAAAACTTTGGGATTGAGGTTTTGTACCTAATCACAGAGAAATTTTCGAACGAAAAAGTTTACTTTTTCTATTGAAACGGTTATACAAATTATTTTCCTATTAAACAAATATATAATACAAAATACATATACATATGTTGAACAACGAAATACCAGATCATGTCCTAGATTTACAGAAGGTTTTAGTGCCAAAATCACTCATTGCCATCCGTTTCCAGAGAGCCCACTTTTTCCATCCAATGTTGACCCCTTTCCACTTCCACCCACTTTCGTCGACGACCTCGCCTGCGTCTTCGTCTTCGTCTTCGTTTTCTTTATTGTTTTATTGTCAGTTTAGGGATTTGACAATTTGCCTGCTGATTTTTTATGACAATCATGTATGCAAATTTCGGCCCTCTCTTCACCTCTCTTTCTGTTCTTCTCGGCCACTCTCAGCTCCACTCAGTTCCACTATAGTCCACTCCAAAACTCTTTCTCAAGGCCCCCCACACACACACAACCGCACAACCGGAGCCGTATCTGTGTGTGTGGATGGAGTGGATTTGGATGTATCTGGGCTCCATTAGCCCTCGTTTTTTCGGTTACGAGATTCTTAAATACTTTTGGGTCATTCTCAGCTGAGTTTGAATACCAACACAGTAAAAAATAATAAAAAAAAAAGCCACGTGAAAACCATATCTACTTCCAAATCCAAAGCAAAGCAAAACCCTTTCCGTCGCTATTTATACCCGTTACTTATAGAGTTCGGGTATACCCGTATTGTATCGATCCAGAAACCAAGTTGATCTCCCTTTATTTGGGGATATTTAAAAAAAATAGGAGATGAGATCCCAAAAATCTTAAAACTAGCTGCCCACATATATATATGATGAGATTACAGAAACCGTAACGTTAAAAATATTAATCTAACACTCTCTGAATATTTTTTGTATTATTATTATTATTAATTAAAGATATAACATTTAATAAAGTGATTCCGTAAGGAGCAATTTTAGATTTTTCAATTTTAGTTTTTAACAGGGACCGTAACAGTTAAGATTTTTAAAATAAAAATCAAAGTTTAAGAGTTAACTTCTGATTTTTATAAACAAAATTGTTAAATAACTCTTATTTTTTGATTTTTTTATACAAATTGTAGCATAGCAATTATAATTCATTAAAATAAATCAAAATATATTAGTTATTCAACAATTTTTTTTTTAAATCAATATTAAAAGTTTATCCTCTTTTATGTAGACTGTTATTAAGCCCATGCATTTTTTCAACCTCATAACAGTTATTTTCGGTCCCTGGTTTTTACAAAAAAAAATTAGCAGGTATCTAATAGTCGTAACACTTCCATATGACGTTCCTTCTTATTTTATTTTGGCCTTTGTTGTCTGTCATTTTTGCACTCTCGTGTGCCGAACGTAATAAAAGTTTGGTTTATTAATTTGTAAAGCGTTGGAAACTTTTACGAGACCTGTGACGCCGATAATCGTTGGTCGCGTCTCTGAAACTAGGCTAGTAGTGCGAAACGGTTTTGGCCCGGTCCAGTGAGTCACCAACTGACTAATGCGGACTGTGAAGCCAAAAAATAAACAAAAACTAAAGCTGCAACACAGCTGCACTTGCCCATGGGACAATAACTTAGCCAAGATTGCTAAAATAAATGCATACATAATTAGTTTCTGCTTTCTTGAATCACCCATTTAAAAGTTCCAGAAGCCAAATACCAATAGGTTTTTCATTTACATTCCTTACTTGTTCCTTGTAATAAAACTATTTATAAGTATTATGGTAATGCTTTATCATGAAAAGAATTATTATTATTATTATACAATCTATTAAGATATAATGCGGATAAGACATTTCAAAACATAATATATATATATTTATACATACCTGGAATATTCAATTACTGTAGAAGTTACAAGTTGATTTTGCTAGTTTGTTGTTTTAGAATCCTAAGGCTTAAAGGTTTTATTTAATAATTTAAAGGTTGGCTAGGACCAATTTGTAGAGCATCATAAAAGAAAATTTGATAAGAAACACTCAATTGGATTTGTAACAAACGTAAGTCGGTACATATTTAAAAAGTTGGATTTGATGCTAAAATTGTTAGATGATATTTATTTAGCTGAAAAAATATACAGATCTCCGGGGCAGCGGTTGTATGTGAAAGGCGGTCTTTTGATGACAAAGGCAGATGCCCTGCGTACATTGGCAAAAATAAAGAATTCATACCGATTTAATGTTATATAAGCTAGAACACAAAAATTGGAATATCTTTTTGAAACCGACACCGTACTTTGATTTTTTATCAAGTTTTTTATAATTATTTTCTAATGTTTTTTTTTAAGGTAAGCTAACAAGTAAAATAAATCTGTTATTTGCCATTTTTAGGATTTTGTTTTCAGATTTTAATACAATCTAAAATTTTAAAACGAAATTGAACAAACTTTTATTTCAAATGGTTAAGGTATTTGTCCATGACTTTTAATTGATAATTAATTATTGGCTTAAACTTAGCTTTGATTTTTCGCTAAGATAACGTTATTAATGTCTGGAATAATGTAAATAACAAAATAAAAAAAAATAATAATGAATTTAAGGATCGATCATTCTCATGGCATATCGTAAGTATACATAATATGGAAGTCCAATTCAAACGGATTTCAAACTTGTAATAATTACACACATTTTTTTAACAAACCGGCTATATGCTCTAAGCAATGGGTTCGTAATTCCGACCAAAATCGTAGTACTCCCAGCAAGGGTATCGAAACTCAAAGAAAATGCAAAGCAAAATCAAATGCAGCGGCGGCGACAGAGCGACAGAGACGGCGACAGCGGCGGTCGCACATACATAAACATATACCGCCGCGCAGTATATAGCACACATATACAGTCACGCATGTGCGTCGACTGCGACGCTCTGCCGCTGTCGCTGCCACTGCCGCTGCCACGGTCGCCGCCGCTGCCGCCGTCGCTGGAATGTGCCGCATGCACGTCGGTCCGGTCATTTGTATTTGGAACGCCGTAGCAGACAGAAGGACACGGGTGAACAGCGACGAAGCGTGCGAACGGAGTGGAGCGGCTACTTTTAGCGCCCTTTTTTGTTTCATTTTCCCACTCACACAAAATAAAGCAACATTTTTGGCAAAAAACCTTTTCGGCAAACAAATTGAAAACAAAACTAAGAACATTTTCGTGCTAAACGCGGGAATACTACAAATAATTTGTATATTCCATACAATATTGTGTTCGTAAACAATTTTTTTCTGTTCGATTCCCGATAAACGATAAACGCGAGAAGAAGCCGAATTCCAGTGATCTTGGAAAAGGGCGAAAAAAAACTCACCGGTAAAGTGGCGAAGAGAGAGAGATAGAGAGGATCGCCATCCCTCGCATTCGCAAAAACAAAAAATTCAAAATTCAAAATTACCCAGCACAGTGGGCCGCATTCCGATTCGTTTCGGTTCCGATATTTGGTTTCTTCAGTTCGTATTATTTTTCGAGTCTGCTGTTTTGTGTTTCGCTGAAGACGGTGAGAAAGAGAGAGATCGGTGAAGAGAGAAGAGAGCGGAGCGGAGCGAAGCAGCAGGAAAGGAGACGGCAAAGAAGCAGTCCAACGAAGAAGTGCCCAAAGCGAGGCGCAGATAAGTAAGAAACGAAAAGAAAACGAAAAGGGATTTTCAGCGAGGATCCTTTATTTTTTTCAAGTGTGTGTGTATGTGTGTGCGTGTGAGTCCCACAAACAAATTGCAGTTGACATTTGCCGCAGAAATTGCAAAAAGTTTTTGTATTTCACGATTCAAATCAAAACTAAAAGTGTCTCGAAAACCGAATCAGAATCAAAGTGAAATGGACACGAAGAACCGTTAGACATAAAGCTTTGTGTGTAAATGCGTGTGTGTGTGTGTATTTTTTTTTTTATTCGAGTAACTTTCAATTAATAATGGCTTAAAAAATAATTCGCTTATTTTCAGTTCAAATACAAAGCAAACAAAAAAATCAACTAAAAATCAAAAAAAAAAAAAATTCAAACAAAATCAAACAAACACAAACGATCGGCTCAGCAGAGCCAACGAAAACTCAGAGGCGGCAGCAGAGGATGCGCCACTAATCCCTGAGAGACATGAGAACCGGAGGAAGCAGCAGAAGTAGCAGCCAAAAAGCATCGCAAGCATCGACTTATGTAGCGGTCCATGACGAGTATTAAGACAGAGATGCCGCCCCTGCACGCGGCAGAGGCGCTTGCCGCCAGCAGTGCCACCGACAGCGGTGGGGGAGGGGGAGCGGGAGCGGGCGGACCAGGATCGGGCGGCGGCGGAGGCAGTGCGCCCGCCACTCCCAATGCCACAATCAGCGCAGCAGCCGACTCCAGTGATAATCAGCCCGGCACGCCGCAGCCCCCGCAACAGCAGCAGCAGCCGACGCAGCAGCAGCTGCAGCAGCAGCCACAAGCGCAGCAACAGGCCATGGGCGGCGATCCTCAGCAGCAACAGCAACAACAACAACAACAGCAGCAGCAACAGCAGGCCTCGGGCATCACCCACCAGCCGTACGCCACCCACCACATGTACTCGTCCTCCGGCGGCCAGCAGCAGCAGCAGATCTACGGCGGCCTCTACGGCGGAGACATGCAACAGCAGCAGGGCTATGCCAGCAGTTACATCAACAGCTACGAGCAGTTCTACCAGCAGCAGCAGCAACAGCAAGGCCCCACGGACTACGCCTTCGGCGCCGTGGGCGTGGATTATGGCAAGAGCGCCGGGGTGCGCTACCATCCCTACCTGCAGACACCCACCTCCGGGCTGGGCGGCATGCCCACGGCCAGTGCGGCCCCGGAGGAGGCGGGCAGTGCGCCCAGCGCCGTCAGCACCACCACCGCGGTGGCCATGAGTCCGCGCGTGGTCAGCAGCAGCAGTCCCACGTCGACGTCCTCACACCTGCAGTTGGGCAGCTCCAGCGGCCAAACACCGGGCTCCCCGGGCGGAGCCACTGGCAGTGCCGGTTGCAAGTTGCAGTGCAAGAAGTGCGGCATCCTCACCACCAACGAGTCGGAGCTGCAGGAGCACATTGCCAACGTGCATGGGGAGTCGCCCTACGGCAGCAGCGGCTACGCCAGTTCGCCCTACATCAAGGAGGAGATGCCCACGCCCCAGCCACCGGGCGGCGGATCGACGGCGGCCAATCCCGGCGAGCTGCTCGACCTCGACTCCCAGAAGATGGTGTACCACCAGCAGCTGCTCCAACAGCAGCAGCAGCAGCAACAACAGCAGCAGCACGATGCGGTCGCCGGCCTGCCGCTGGGCGCTTTGCCGGATCCGCTGCACTCGATGCAGTCCATGCAGCAGCGGGCGCTCCACAGTTGGGAGCAGCAGCCGCAGCAGGCCGTGGCCTCCGTGGAGGGTCTGCCGCCCTACATGCAACAGGGATTGGGCGTAGGACTGGGAGTGGGTGTGGACAAGTCGCCCTACTACTCCCCGAAGCAATCGCCCTACCACCAGTCGGCCGGCGTTGGCGGAGCCACGCTCATCAAGCAGGAGTACGGTGGCCACGGACTGATCAAATCCGAGTACCCCGACTCGCAGCACTACGTGGACAAGTCCTTCGATCCCACAGCCGGCGGAGGTGGTGGGGCCGAGCTGTGCGCCAGTGTGGCCACCAGTCCGGCGGAGTTCCCCAGCACCACTACCGGCGGACCCGGGCAGGAGGGAGCGGCGGGTGCGGCGCCCGGCGGCGGATACCGCGGCTTCGAGCCGCCCAGCTCCAGTTCGGTGCTGCCGGCCAACAGCCTGACGGCCAAGGCGGCCACCTGGAAGTCGAACGAGGCGCGCCGCCCCAAGACGTACAACTGCACGGCCTGCAACAAGTGGTTCACCAGTTCGGGCCACCTCAAGCGCCACTACAACACGACGCTGCACAAGAATGCTGTCAAGTCGAGCGGCCAGCCGGATCCAGCCACCTTGCCCATTTCGGCGCACCACCATCCCGCCCGCGATCCGGTGACGAAGCCCAGTCGGCGGGGCAATGCCGCAGCTGCTGCGGCCGCCGCTGCAGCCGCCGCTTCGGCCGGCGGTCAGGGTCAGCAGCAACAGCCGCCGCCGCCACCGCCGCCGGCCAATGTCCCGCCTCCGGAGCCGCCCAGAAGTCCACCCGACTATGGCGGAGGAGGCGGCCTGGGCGTGGGCGTGGGATCGATGGGCGGCGCTACCATGTCCCAGTACTCGGCCTCGCCATCGCCCACCCAGCAGCAACAGCACCACCTCAACCACCACCATCAGCAGCAGCAGCAGGCCAATGGCTATGCTAATGGCACTGCCAACGGCTATGGCTATATGCAGCAACAAGTGCAATCCACGACAAACGCTTCACCACAGCACGCTTCCAACAACAACAACAACAACAACAACCAGCAGCAGCAGCAGCAACACCATCAGCAGCAGATGCCGCAGCACAACCACAACTCCGTTTTGAACGGTCACCCAAACGGGCTAGCAGGTCCCTCCGCCCCACACAACAACAACAACACCACCCAAATGCCGTCCTCCCAAATGAGGGGCCTGCTGAACGAAACAACAACCACTCCGCCGCCACCACCAACAACAACAACAACCCGAGCACCACAAATCACAACAACAATAGCAGCAACAACAACAACAACGGCGGCCACCACGGTAGCTATAAAGAGCGAGCAAATGGAGGACAGCAACAACCACACCCATCACAATCCCAATCACAGCCAGGACAGGAGCCACAGCACCAGCAGCAGCTCAATGGCCACGGAGGAGGCGGAGGAGCTGGAGCTGCGGGATCAGGAACAGGAGCAGGCGGAAGATCACCTGCAGCAGCAGCAGCATCAGCAAGCGGCCCAGCAATATCTGTTGGCGGCGCGTCACTATCACAACAGCACGCCCAACACGCTCAGCAGCAGCAGCATCATCAGCACCAGCAGCAGCAGCAACACCAATCCCAGCTCGCCCCATACTATTTACCGGCAGGAGCCGCCGGGAACGGATTTCTCGCGCACCACCCCGCCGCCGCAGCCGCTGCCGCCTATGGGAATGCTGCCGCCTATGGCAATGGACTACAACATGCTGGCTTTGGATATGCCCATGCCCATGCCCACGCTCATGCACAGCAGTATGCTGCAGTGCAGCAGCACCAGCACCACGCCGCTAGCTACTACCACCACCACCAGTATGCCGGACACTATGCAGCCGCCGCAGCAGCAGCTGGTGCACCACTACCACCAGGCGGTGCTCCACCCGCACCATCAGCAGCTGGCGGAGCAGCATCAGCGCCAGGAGGACCAGGAGCATCATCATCAGCAGCAGCAGCGGGAGCTTCACCAACTGGATCATCATCATCAGCAGCAGCAGCAGCCGCCGCCGCAGCAGCAGCAGCAGCAGCAGGCACTAATCCTGGCGGACAGTATGCCGCACAGCAGCAGTTCGCCCACCAGCAGCTCCCCGCCGCCCACCATGGCCATGCCCATGCCGCTCACCACCATCACAGCGCCGCAGCTGCTGCCGCTGCAGCCGCCGCCGCCGCACATCACCAGCACCATGCCCATGCCGCCCACCATGCACATGCCCATCATGCCGCCGCCGCCGCCATGCTACCAGCAGCTGCAGCCGCTGGACCCCACAATGAGCTATCACACTATTATTGGTAGTGGCTCGGAGGCGCATGCGCATGCCCACGCTGCCGGAGGTGGCTACGGATCGAACCAGATTGCCACCAGCGATGGACAGATCCTGCAGCTGATGCCAGCCTCCCTATTCGCGCCCTATGCCCCGCTGTCGCCATACTCGGTGGCCGCCCAGCGGTCGCCGCAGGAGGGCGATCTGCCGCCGGTGCACACGCTGACCACGGCGCTTCACGCCCATCAGCAGGGCGGGCAGCAGGAGGCCCAGACGACGCCCACGCTGACGGTGCTCTCCACACCCTACTCGCCCACGGTGAGCAGTTCGCGGGCCACTCCCGCGCTGGAGATGGACATGGCCACGCTCATGCAGCATCAGCAGGACTACGAGATGGAGCAGTACCAGCTGCAGCATCAGCAGCTGGAGCAGTTGCAGCAACAACAGCAACTAGAGCATCTGGAGCAGCAGCAACAGCAGCAGCATCAGCACCAGCAGCAGCAGCAGCAACAACAGATCCTGGCGGATCAGGTGCATTCGATGGGGCAGCAGCCGCTGGCTAAGAAGCGGCGCGCCGCCGGCACGGGAACCACGCCCTCGACAACAAAGCGGCGGCGTAACAGCAGCGTTGGATCGACATCGCCGCACTCCACCACCCTGCCCTCCGGACGGATCAAGTGCTTGGAGTGCGACAAGGAGTTCACCAAGAACTGCTACCTCACGCAGCACAACAAGAGCTTCCACTCCGGTGAGTACCCGTTCCGCTGTCAGAAGTGCGGCAAGCGCTTCCAGAGCGAGGACGTCTACACCACACATTTGGGGCGCCACCGAACGCAGGACAAGCCGCACAAGTGCGAGCTATGCCCCAAGCAGTTCCATCACAAGACCGATCTGCGCCGCCACGTGGAGGCGATCCACACGGGGCTGAAGCAGCACATGTGCGACATCTGCGAGAAGGGCTTCTGCCGCAAGGACCATCTGCGCAAGCACCTCGAGACGCACAACCGGCCGCGGGTGGTGGGCAAAAAGACCGCCGCCGCTGCTGCGGCCGCCGCAGCAGCAGCAGCAGCAGCAGCATCCTCTGTCGTCTCGGTGGCGGGATTGGGTGGTGTCCCAGTGGGTGGGACCATCAAGGCGGCCTTTGCCCGCTCGCTGACAGTGACGGCTGTTAGCGAGCCCCCAGCTCCTGCTCCGGCCCTGGCTTTGGCCCAAGTCCAAGTCCAGGCAGTGGTCAATCCCAGTGTCAGTCTGAAGCGGCCCATCGACGATGTGGCCGCCGACGACGACAGCCTGCTGGAGGAGGACGAGGATGAGATGGAGATGGAAATGGAAATGTTGGAGGAGGAGGACGAAGAAGAGGAGGAGTCCTCCGATCTGGGCGATCACCACATGATGATCAAGAGCGAGTTCGTGGAGGAGGATCGGTACCAGATGATCGAGAAGAGCATAGAGTTGTACTAGAGTTGCAATGAGGACAATAGCGCTGGCCAGGATCTGGGTTTTGAAATGCTCTGGGCTTTGAGCTGGGGGTGGATCGGTATCGGTATCGGAATCGAAGTCGCAATCGGAATCGGAGGGCAACTGAGCGCGGCTTGGACTGCGGGCGCAGTTCGAGCGGCTCTGCAGTTGAGTGTCCTGTTCTTGGCAAGTCAGTTAGCCAGTCAGTCAGTCAGTTAGTAACGAGTTTAACGCCCAGTTTATTAAACTTGCTCGTTGAGAAAACACAATTTGTTGCTTGGCAGGCAATAATTCGATGTTTTTAACCGTTTCATTAAGTTTAACATATTTTTTTTTTATTTGGGGATAAAAACGACGAATGTACTTAGAATTGATCGCAAAGCCGCAGCATTTCAATAACTTAGACAGCCGGCCACTCCTTGACAATGACCCCCAAATCCAAAATCCAAAACCCAAAACCCAAAATCCAGAACCCAAAAACCCAAAATGCCACCCACCGCGCCACAATCCATTCCTGTAATTTGTGTGAGTTTGCCATATGTGTGAGACAAAACGATTGAAAAGACAGACAGAATTCCTAATTGTTGTAGCAGCAAATTATTTAATTTTATTTGTATGTTAAAATTGTATTATTATTATTTGTACTTTAACTATTATTACGATGCTTATTTGTAAAGCCTTATTTGTACGTGTGAACCTTCAAGTATACCTCAGCAACAGCAGTCCAAGAAACGCTTAAAATCAGGGCGCCTATAAATATATATATATATATTATATACATACATATTCCATTTTTATATATGTAAACACTAGTTTTAGCACTTTTTTTTGTCGTATTTTAATTTGTAACTTGTTTAATTATTATTTGATTATTGATTATATTTTGTAATCGAGAGAAAAACAACCACAACAAATGCCATATACACGATATGTAAACTAAAAATCAGCAACTATATGCCAATTGATATATATACCTATATCTAGTTACTAGACAAACGCATATATACACGCATATATATTACCATATATATATGTATGCTAGCCTTAAAAACGCCAAATTGTCATAGCAAAGGAAACAAAAACTCAAGAAAATGCGAAATCAGGGATATTATTATGTTTCTAAGCCACAAAACGAGAACGCAAATATTCGCGTATTATTATACCTATATATTTATTACGATTAGTTGCCCCTAACTTATGTTCCACCAATAAACCATGTGTAATTATTTAAAACTTTATTTGATCCCTATCGTATCTCCCCCATCCTCGAATCTTAAATCTTGTTTGTAATTATTTTTTTTTTATTTTAATTGTTACCCATTCAAATGCTTTCCCTCCTGGCACGCCTACAATTTTTTTTTAAATGACAAATATAAACAAAACCAAAAAAAAAAAGTGAAAATTACGCAAATTATGTTTTTTCTTTATTTGATTTGATTGCTTTTACTTTTCCTTATTTTTCAGTTTTCAGTTTGGCTCGTTCTCGACGGATTAAAATGGAAACATTGGTTTGAAAACTCTATTCTCCACCTGGATATTCTCTAATTTTGCAGACCTTGTGCCTTTCGACCATATTTTTATTATGAACCTTCCCCTCTTCTTGGCAACCATAAGCCATAAACTTTTAAATAAATGTATGTGTTTTCTCTCTTTCCTTTTTCTTAATTATTTTTGTAGAAATTCGTTGTTGTTTCTGTTGTTCTTCGCTGCTAGTTCCAAAGAAATTACGTGCGTGTCTTTAATATTTATTTTTCGACGCCGTCTTTTCACCTCTCTGTTTTCGGTGTTTCTCTTTATGTGTTTTCTGATTCTGATTCAGTTGTTGTTGAAGTTGAGGTTGAGGTTGAGAAACGGAGAATTCGGAGTTCGGGTAAGATAGAGATTTTTTGTTTTGTTTGAGGCTCAGTTTTTGCGAAGAAAGAAGCGAAGCAGAAGCAGAGAACGAAAGACACGCGAGACATGTGTAGATACAAAGATAGGCGTCGCTGAGAGGACGAGCTCGTTGTGCGGCAACTGGCTACCCGTTCCACGTTTGCCGGTGCCTCAAGGATCCTCGGCATAAGGGACTCCGATCCATCCATTGGATTCGCCATCCTTGCGATGCCAAACGGTGATCTAGGATTCGCGCAGCCTGCGAACATCGCGCCAACACATGTTGAAGTATCTGTTGCCCTGCATTCCCTCCATTTCTTCCTGTGGCGAACAGATACAAAAACAGAGATACAGATACACTCGGGCAACGGATCGGAAAATTTGAGGCCCAGGGGGTGCAAATAGACGCACATTTATATATACATACATAAGTTTGGATTTATGTATGTAGCAAGCCGACGCTAGAGAATTGGCAAGCAGCAGAGAAGTATGTCTTTCAAGTTGGCCCTCAAACGGTGGCATAGCAACTAGACATTTCTAGCGCCTACATTCGAAATGCATACGAAATGATTTTATGCCATTTTTTTTTAGAGCAAATTCGAACTGAATAACTTAAAAAAATATATTTTGAAAAATGGAACAGGGAATATGAAACTGGCAATAAAAATTATATATTGGTAAATGCCTTCCTCGATTAATATACCCTTTCTCCTCTCATTGTATTTTATATATTTCAATTTTTTGCCAAATGTATGCCTTATAGCACAAGTTTTATTATGGAGATAAACAATTTAAACAGTCAACATATTTTTTAATGCATATTAACGTAAATTGCGAGTGAAAGAAATAATATTCACTCATCGCTGTTGAAATATTAATGAGTGTCTAATTTTAAAGAAGGACTGTAAACTCATTTAAGTATTTTGTTTAATTAGAATAATTTGGTAAGAGGTATATAACATTTACATTTGAATTGTTTTAAATTTAAGAAAATATTTATAATTTTAAAGACTTCAGATAAGGATAAAAAACGGGGCATAATAAGTTAAGGAACTTAAGTATTTGTTTTTTTTTATAATTTATTTTTAATTTAATACAAGAGTGGTGGGACTATCTCTAGTTCTAGCATAGTTCGATTTCGCAACCAATAATCTCGCGTTTGCCGGCTTTGCGGCGTGTATCTCAAAAATACGTTTTGGGGGCTGCGCTTGCGCGACACTCGCGGCAAAGGCAAAGGCAACAACAGCAACACCAGTTGCGGCAGCAGCAACAATTGTGGCTATGTCATCATAACGTTGCCGTCCTCTTTCTCTGCTTCTTCTTGCGGCGTTTGGTCGCGCATTCGTATTGGTGTATACCTGTATCTGTGTCTGTGTCCCCATATATCTGTATTTGTATCTTCTACTCGGTTTTCGGTTGCCCGTGCGTTTTTCTTGGGTTTTTGTTTGGTTTTGTTGAACATAAAAACTGGTTTCCTGTACATATGCTCATCCAGCAACAAACCATCTGTAATTTTAATTTTTCGGCAAGATGTTGCGCTCTGCCGCTGCCTCCCTCTTTCGCCGTTTCTATCTGGCTCTGTTCTTTTTTCATTTTCGTTTTCGTTTTCGTTTTCTTGTATTTTTCGGCAGAGATTTTGATCGGTTATCCAGGTAGAAATTGTCTACCTCGGTGAGTCCGTGTATCCGTGTATCCGCGTGTGTGTGTATCTTGTAGATACGCGTACCCTCGAAAGACAGTAGATCGCTCCGTCTCGCTCGCACACGACAGTGTAATCCTTGAAATGTGCTCGTTCTCTCCCTTTTGTGTTGTTCTTTCCTTAGCCTCTTCGCCTGTTTCTACAGATTCTCCAGCAATATATATATATATATGTATATAAATAACTATGTATGTATGTATGTTTGTGGAGCGTTAGCACTTACCATGATTCATAGTTATACACACACAGATCGGGCGAAGGAAAGAATCTTCCTGCGAAGAGGAGAAGTAAAAAAAAAAAAAAACATACATATATAGACCGAAAAACTTATCGCACAATACACAATAGCTTCGCCTTGACAGGCTTTTGTGTCTTTGTTTTGGAGGAGGAAGCAGAAGCAGGAGAATATTGAGGATGGGGAACTATTCAAAAGAGACAGCCACAACCGAAAGTTTATGTATGTGTTTGTGTGTGTGATGTGCTATATGATCGATGTGCAAATCTGGACACCCTCCTCCAACTCCAGCCCCTTCTTCCCACGCAACCAGCGAACATGTGTGATCTGCGCACTTCCTTGGTTCTTTCCTTTTCGCCGACTGTGTTTACTTTCTGCCCGACATTTGGGTTCCTTGCGCATAACTGTTCTTTTGTATTTGCTGTTCTCAGGGTCACCCCTCCAGCTCCATTCCCATTTCCATTCCCATCTCCATTCCCATCTTCATCTCCATTCCCATCTTTATCCTGAATTCCCGTTTTCCTCTAGAAACCAGAAGTTGTGGACTCTGTAATTTACAGTTGTCTCTGGCCAAATAAAAACAGTATTTATTTGAAATAGGTAAAATATAGGGTGGTAATATAAATACTATAATATTGAATACACAGGGAAAAAAGAGCTCTAAAATTCGACGTCTTACGTAAAAACACTTTAGAAAGTAAAGCAAAGCCATTTAGTAGCACTAAATAAAATGCAATTTGTATGAAGCGTTTTACTTTTTAAAATGTTCCAACCCTTGTTTGTGCACCTAAAACTCTTTCGGTTTTTTTTTCTGTGTACTTATCTGTGTAAGATGCAGTTTAAAAAATACTTGGATTTTTAATTACCCTGATCTTGCCAAAATTATCAGATAATCATATATTAGAACCATGTTCTGATATTATGTGTGTTTATTTCCGATACCCGCGGACTTAACTTAAAGTAATCACATTGTTTATTATCAAATATGCTCGTGCCTTTTTACAGGTCTTGGTTTCGATGAAAAGGTTAAATTGGAGCTGTCACAGGGCTTCGGCTCTCTTGACATCTAACACAGGAACTCAATCAAATTAGCCCTCCGAAAAATGAAAATTAACCAAGTACCCAACTCCCTCCCTTTTCACACCATCCCATTGCGGGGATGCGAAGTTTTCGTTTTGTACATGGAAATGATGTACAATTTTCCATCTTTTTTGTATTTTTAGTAGGTTTTCCCTCCTTTTGACTTTGGCTTAGAGCAAGAAATCTCTTTTTTAATTACCGAACATTTGACAGCATCCTAAAATGCTTATTGTGTTCTATATATAAAGGCTCACAAACACACACACACACAAAAACACACAATCAAAAGCATCTTAACAATTTCTTGCTTTCATTTTTGGGCATGTGTGTGAGCGAGCTCTAGAGGAAACCAACCCTCGAGCTACGACCGTAGATATTTGATTTCCAAAATTCAATGACAAACGGCAACAACAACAGCAATAGCAGTACGAAGAACCAAAAACAACAAAAACAAGAACAGCAACAGCAACAGCGAGCGGACCAAGATGACAGGATAGCATGGCGGCCGCATCATCATCGGCATCATTATCATTATCGTCTCGCTCAACACTGTTTCGAGCATCTGCCATGTCTGGCCAAGATTCTGAACGTCTGTCTAGAACCTTAATTACGCCGCTTGGAAAATGGCCAGATATAGATACAGATACAGACGAATAATTCCCTACATCTAGGATGAAGGCTCTCATTTGAAAGGGGATTGCTTAGATAAAGGGTTTCCAAGAGCACAAATCTAACATAGAAATTATCCATGGGGTATGCTTTTCTTGAAAACGTTATATACGGTCTGCTTTAGATCAAAATATTAAATACACTTGTTTTGAAGGAAATGCATAGAAGTCCAGGTGATTTTAGCCTTGATAGTTCCTGAGATAATAGTTTCGTTCAACTCCTATTTCAAATCTTTGCATTTAGATATCCAATCATTAAATCACCTTTATTAAAATTTAAGGATTAGGTTCAAAAATTGATATATTTTTTCAGTATGCTTCTGTTGGCATTTCTCACTAATCTTTATCTTCTTATGCGCATTTTTTTTTATTATTTACCAATGTGTGTGCAGATTTCTGTGCCTTTATTAAATGTTCACTGTTCAAAAAACAATACTTTTTGCATATAAGCACTATTTTTCATGAAACAATTGATCGGGATTTCTTACTGTTTGCTTTATTGAAATAAAAAACATAATTTAATAATTCTATTTATAAATGGTTATGTTTTCGTTATTAATAATATTATGATCCATATATTTTTTTTATGGTAGCCAATCTTTTAAAGTTATAATTATGTGTCATAGGGAAAAATAAAGGTGGTTTTCGTTTCTTTCCACGAACAAAATAGGAATTAAATAGGTTGATATTTAAGTTGAAATAATTGACTCCAGCGCTAAAAAGAGTTTTTAATACGGTAATTGCTGTAGCTTTACTTTATTCTTTTTGTCCTGTTTCGAGCCTTTTGGGATCAGCTTTGTCTATATCTATATCGCTGTTTCAGTCCGAGTCGATTTTCTGCTAACTGTGTCGCCCCGATGGGCATCCAAAACAAAAGACTTAGGCAACGAACTTACTAACGAACATCGAATTCGAATCCTCTCTGCGAAAAGTGTGCGGCGAACGGCGGGGATGGGGGCGATTTTAAAATTTTAAATGATATATGCGGAGCAGGGGGGCGGGGCTGAATGGGCGGGGCAGCGGTGCTGCCGCATGGCAAAAAACGAGGAGCGTCATCAAATGGCGCACAGCTGCGCCAAGCGAAACAACAACGCTGTTTTCATCGTTGTCGTCGCCGCTTTTTTTGGCCGTCCAGAAATTGTTGCTACATTTTGAAGCTTCACTTCATGTGTGTGTCCTAATTCCAATTCAACCGAAATTTTGTCTCACAATCAGTTAGAAACAAAAAAAAAAAAAAAAAAAAAAAAGACGACAGAAAGAAGTAAAGTAAAACAAAATAAATCTTTTTGAGCCCCGCAACGAACCAACGACTGAGTTTCAACCAAAATACAACAGACAACAACAAAACTAAACTATAGCCAAAACTTTTTTTGTTGTTTTTTTGTTGCTTTTTTTTTTTTGTTGGTGTCTTGTTGCTGTCGGCGCTTTATCCGATTTTGTGTTGTTGCTGCTGTTCTCTTCTCTTTTCGTATTTTTTATGACGAGTTTCCGCTAATTGCTGATGCGCTGCAGATTAACTGAAGCCCGGCGATCCAGTAACAAAATTCAAGCGCTAAGATAAATGGCCGCTGAATAGGGGCGGCGTGGGAGGGGCGTGGCGGGGAGGGGCGTTTGCTAGGATAGAAACGGCCGCATTGCATGACCAAAAGTTTATCCGTGTAACTTTTGGTTTGGATTTGACTGCCAAATTAGATAACTATATTAGCTTTAATTGTAAAATGAACAAATAAAGGCTGGTAGAAGGTACTGTTGATAGTTGAAGTTCCTTCCTTTTACGGATATAACTGTAAGGGAACGTTAGGACTTTAAGGATCAAGATCCAAAGTCATTGAAAACAATTCACCTCAGTGAAACAATAAATAAATCAATAGCCATATAATAACCGTTACTACATACAGTGGGCAAAACAAGTTGACGAACGTTTTATATGCAGTTCCAGTGCAAAGTGTACTTAAAGATTTTTTAACTTATATGATAACCCTATAAAAATTCGTTATTTTCATATTATCCAAAAAAATTGGTAACAATTTGCCAGCCTTCTTAGATTATTTAGACAATAACTAAATGTATATATATAATTAGTTTTGTAAACAACTTAAAATTAAGTTTTTATTCAATCAATTAATTATTAGCAATGATATTTTCTTAAAACTCATGAAACTAACTGTCCTTGAATCCTCCCCGATTTCGCGCCGTGTATAATCTAAGCCTTAGTGTGACGCATGCATACACACATCAAAGTGTAAGAAGAAGACGGCCGAGCCGAAATTAAAAGAGGAATAAAATAAAGGCGTTCCCCCTTGTTGTTGTCGTTTTTTGTGGATTGTGGGCCACAGAAACACAAAAAAAAAAAAAAAAAACAAAGCGAGCGATGGTGATGAAGAAGCAGAATCATCCGAATTATAAGAATTACGCCGAAACCGAATCGGTGAGGAATATGGGAAAGGGGAAAGGAAAAGAGCAACATCTTAGATATCAGATTATAGAGCGCTGGCCTTATAGCCATATAGCCTTAGCTAATAATTCCAGCGGACGGCATTTTTCGATTTTTCGAGTGCGAGCGAGATCGCTGTGGGACCGCTGTGTGCATATAGGCATAATGAGTTAAAATTGGATTAGAGATTTATTGGATTTGATTTCGGTGTGATTCCTTTATATCAAGTCTTACATTGAACCTGAGCCCCCGACTTCCCCCCCTCCAAATCCCCAGCTGCATACAGATACAGATACTGAAATTGAAACTGAATCTGAATCTGAAACTGAAACAGATGTTTGAAATGTCGCAGATACAGATAGATACTTGTCATCATCTGCTTGTCCGGCGGAGGGGACTTTGACTAATTAGCCAGCCAGTCGAGCTTTCGGCTTGGCCTTTTCTCCACCCAGCACTTTGGCATTAATCTCCGTCTAACCTTTCGATCCCCTCACTTTCGTTTCGTTGCAGCATCCAGGAGGCAGCCCAAATCGCATCCATCTACTATGTACTCAGCGGTGCGCAGGCAGCCGAACGCCCACAAACGGATCAAAATTTAAGTGAAATTGAATCATTTCGGACAACCCGTGAACTTTGGGCTTTGGGCCAAAAGAATGTAAGGCAAACAAAAAAAAGGGAAGGATGTAGCCCCCAAGTAAAAACACCATTCGAATGGTGTACAATTTAACCCCGACCCCGATCATCACCACCAATGGACTTCAGGATCAAGACAGAAGCTCTCACCACCCCCCCACCCCCACCCCGCGTACAAAAATGTTTTTCATTTCGAAGGTTTTGTTTTACATATTATAGTAAAATCAGTGAACTAGTTTGGTTTTCGAATGGGACCTACACTCGAGACGTACTAAGGACAACCCAGAGGTTATTCGAATCTCCTTAGTGCAAATTTAGTATAACTCCCAGTTAAATATAAATGTGTAACAAAAGAAGTAGTAACCCGAATAGCTGTACCAAGTGGCTATAATCTTGAAGCCCACTTGAAGCCCCGTTTTATCCACAACAACAATTACAAACACACACGCGATTGCATTCATTAAAGCTGTACATAGGCGTGAAAAGTCCAAGGACTAAAACGCAGAAGGGAAGCTGCAGAATATTGTCTCCTATATCAACATTGTGCATATCATTTATTGGGCAAACGGTAAAAACAAAAAAAAAAAACAATAATTAAACTTAAATAGCAAAAGGTTAAACGCAGGAGAGGCAATACTTTTAGTTGAAATTTAATTGAATTAACACTATTTGCGAAACGCATTTCATCCGTCAGTTGGGAGTGTTTACTGTGCAATATATAAAGTATTTTTTTTTTTTTTATCGAAATGTTAAGGACGAAACTTAGCGATAGCAAAGAACCACAAACGATTACCTCGGCAGAACAGCTCATTAAGTAATAGAATCTACCTCGTTAGCAATAAAATGAAAACACAAGTGCAAGCAGATTAATTTTAGTTCGATTCTCATTTTGGAACAGAGAACAAGCTTATACATATATACAAAACAAGCGCCGCCAAGGCGAACAAATCGAAGAAAATGTCAACTAATTATACGTAAAACTAAAACAAATAACTTTAAATATAATTGTTTATATGCTATTTATACACACTATACATTATATACGATGGATACTTCTAGGCTTAATGAAACCTGGCCACCCAAACCCCCCTCCCCCACTTTTCCCCCCAGTTGTGCGGCATTGTCATCAGTTTAAATTTGAATCTTTACAGTTTGGCCAGCTATCATGAATTTGTTGCTCATATGACAAGGCAACCAACACCCACAACCCCAGGGGGGCGGTGGCCAAAGGTCATAGGTCAGGGGGCACCAACATCCCCACCTACCTACCCTCTCAATCTCAACAACGAAAATCCAATTGAGAACTAAAAACAAGTGATTTTGATAGTCCTGCAAGGAAATAATCTTGCAGCTTAAATTATAAAATTTGTCCGCCAGTCTTAGAAATTCCGTTTCAAGTTTAAAACAGCTTGAAAGTAGTCTTAAAAAAAACCCTATATACCTATAAACTCAATATCATCAAGTTAGTAGAACCCCTTGGAGGACTATTACATTTTTTCGGACCACCGAATATATTTTTTCTTCCCTGAACTTTAATACAGTTTTGTTTGTGTTTAGAATTATACGTAAATATAGTTTTTTTTTTCCTTGACGCAGAACACCTAAGCAATACTTGATGCAGGCAACTCTTTGGTTCAGACCATAACGATTCTTTCGATCTAAGCTAAATGCTAAATTTCTTGAGAGAAAACTAAAGAGAGAAACTAAAAAACATATTTGAATTATGTAGCAACTACATGTTAAATTTTAGCAATTAATTATTAAATAAAAGGGAGCACAAAACCCGCATGAAACTTACAAATTATACACACATATACGAATATGATGATCGGGTATATATTTAAAGGAAATTTTAAAGCAGCACCAAGTGAAAAATGAACACTGAAATCGCCAAAGAGTTTATAGCAAAAGTTGAACAGTGGCCAAATGCATGATACATCAATGGGAATTTTTTGTACAAAAACCGAATTTCACAAAAGGAATACATTTTTCTTTGTATTTCATGTGTATTCTGTATCTTGAACAAAAGGTTTTTTTGTATCATTAATGTTTTAGTTTTTGAAAAATAGCAATGAGAATATTGTTTAAATATTTAAGTTAGACCCCCTGAAATGGGGGGAAAAAAAACGTTTAAGTTATCAGCTTTTTCAATAATTTAATGCCATTAAAAACCTTGCAATAAATATTATTTGCCGAAATTCCCACCCTTTCAATTAACTGACAAAGAAATCGGTTTGTACAAGAAATTGCCCACTTATGTGTAGTAGAACTTTGTAAAACAAAAGATGAGAAAAAACCCAATAATTTGACAAGGAACCATGTACCTCACTCCACCAGTAATGGCACAAAAAAAAAAAATAAATAAATAAAAACCACAGCACACAGATGAAGGATCACTAAAGTCAGAATCGTAAGCGATAATTCCCAGTTATTTGTTTCTGTGTATGTTGTGTGTGTGTGTGTGTGCATTGATATTTGTACATTTTTACAAACTAATAGCAACCTCAGATGCAATCGCAACAGTCGCCAACCAATCTCAAGAGAACCCAACTTGTATCAGGAATTTCAACAAAGATTTTATATAATAAAAGTTAGGAAAAAAAACTCAGTGTTAAATGGATTTGGCACCAGGCCAATCACATATATATATGTGTGTGTTCTCTAATAAGCACATCTCAATGTATGCCAACTCGAATCGGAACTTAAGTTGTAATCCCAGGATCCGCAACCGAATGAATTTATGCAAAAAACAAAAAACCAAAAAAAAAAAAAACATTGGCTCCCTACATATATCTCTATCTCTAAAATAAACCTGTACATACATTTATGTGTACGTATGTATGTACATATAGACGACGGGTCTGCCACCCCTAACCACCCCTTTACACACAAGGAGAAACGAAATTGTCAAACCAAAAGTAATGGAAACAAGAAACTGACACATGACAGAAAACATAAAGTGAATTTTTTTGAACCGAAATAAAGAATGTAAACTACAGTTTTTAGTTTTACTGGGCCAAATTGGTGGAAATGCAACTTTTCGATTTAGTTGTGGAATAACAATTATTATAATTTGACAATATCTGTAATGTCATTTTTGTCTAATAAAATTTAATTAGATTGTTGCTAAATATAAATGATTTTGATTTTGATATATATATATGTTTTGTGGCAAGTTCCAAATTTTTAATAAGATATAATACATAATAACCAATTGCCAATATAGCAGGTTATTTACTTATGTTAAACGATTTTTTTGTAATATTTCAAATTATGATTGGAAGAAACAGTGATTTTTCAGAGTGTATCCACGTCTACACGTTCATGAAATGCAGCAGGTACATGCAACGTTACAGGGGATGGGAAGGGAAAAAGTCTGGGGCGGAATCGTGCAGACCGTGTCCAACTAAAAGGCGCCGTGCATCATTTGGAATGACGCCATCGCCGAAGCCGGGGAAATCAACAGGTAGTGGCGACGGCCCGACGACCCAACGACCGAGAGTTTCCTGTGCTCGGAAAAACTACGGTTAACGACAGCAAGGACCAAGCGGCCAGAATTGATAAACGAAGACCAAAGACGATGAGTGACTCGCAAAGTGGACCCTTGCACTGCTTGCAAGGTCGGAATGGTCGGAAAATCAGGTGAGATGCATGGGAACAACGTTTATGCGTGGCCAATTCTCGATATAAGCAAGTTAAGGGTATCTGAATATCACTTTTAGCTATTCAAATGGGTTAAGTGAGATACTACTTAATTACATAATAAACATTAAGCCAAATATATTGACATTAAATGCAATGCATTTCAAATTCCGTATTTTGATATTAAAAATATTAATTAATGTGAAAAATATTCGATTTAAAATAGTTCCTATTGGATTATTAAATATGCCTCAAAATTAAATTAAAATTCGCTTATTGAAATCAAATCAAATGTTAATTTAATCAATTTTTGAATATTTTCATATTTAAAGTAAACATCAAAGGGAAACTATTTAAATTGAATACAAAATATTTGGATCAACTACGTACTTTGAGCAGTGTATAAAATATAATTAAATTAATTTACAGTTGATAGCTTTTCAAACTTTCAAAGCGCAAATTACTCAATTCAAAGTTCTTAACAAAAAAAGTTTAAAAGGAAATAAATTTGTAAATATTTACAAAATTTAAAATTGCAAGTTTTTATAAGCTACTTTGATTTGAACAAGAATCTGATTAATAATATAGGCAACATATGCTTTTTGTAAGCATTTCAAAACATGACATTGATTTTGTAATATTCAAGTTTATAATATTTAAAGTTCTTGCTACTTTTTCAATTTTCAGAGTTGCAGCTTTACCGTGATATATGCCATCGCATAAACGCCCCGCACTTACACTGAAAATATTAACGCAAAGTCGACCTTTCCCCATTCTTGGTCGATCTTTTGTGGCTGTCATATTGCCGTAATTTATTGTTGCATGCCATGTTGTTGATTCCCGTGTGGCAAGAATAAGGAACCCAGAAAGCCAGGAGGTTTCGTTGCACCACCTTAGTTCAGTTGCAGGAACGCCCTTTTGCACCTAAAGAAAATAGTGGAAGTACGACAGGATTCGTTTATGTTTAAACATTGTTTATTTGTCCTAAGAAGTAACTTATTAGACTGTAAATTCTATATGAATATTACTCCATTTTAAAAATAAGGACATAATTCGTATGAATTTGTTTTAATTAACATTTTTAATTAAATTATTATTATTATAATTATTTAAAAAATAATTTGTATTTAATATACATAAAGCGAAGTAAAAAACTTAATTTAAAAATATTATTATTTAATGTAGCTTAGCAATTGTATTACATTTTTGTACATTTTTCGCTGTGTGTGCACTTAATCCAGCGGAAAATCAAGAAACATAATGGCATTTCAGGTATAGCCAGGTACAACAGAGCCTGAAAATCGATTCACATTCATGTCCGTCGTTCAGTGTCCGATTTCCATTGTCCAAATGATTTCGGGACTGTGTGGGTGTGTGTGCGTGTGTGTGGGTGTGTGCGCCAGTCTTTTGATTGAACAATCCGATTTGGTTGCATTCGCTGCAGTCGCGTTGGAAAAAGGGAAAATTTGGGGAGCGGGCAATCACAAGGCAATCGCAGTTGAGGCGGGTCAGGGAAATGAGTGCCGATGCGCAGACGAGTGAAAGTGGGAAAGTCTTCAAAGCAGGTCCATCGATCAGCAGAGTTTCCGTATGCTCTTGATTCAATATAAACAGCCTGTGCTGTTCTTAAAAATTAAAAAACTTCTATTGCCTTTATTTGTCTATATTATTGATTAACTCAGATAAGTTTTTAAGAATGTTTGTATATTCGGTTTGTTTTGCTACCAATTTTAAGGCCTGTATGATGGAACTACATTTTGCCCTACAACTAATGACATTCACAACGATTTCCATATGCCTTCCCATCCCTTTTTCAGGTTAAACTCCGGCCAAAGTTTGCTCCGGGAAAAATTGAAATCGTTTAAGGCACTTTATGCTCTTAGCTGCGATTTAAAGGAGCTTAGACTTACGCCAGGGACACTCGCACTCAAAGGCAAACACTGCTGATGGCTGGGCAAACAAATGATGAGCATGTTTTGTGTTCAGCAAGAAAATGCTGGGGCTTACTTAAAATACCCACAACAATTTCATTTTTATTTCTTCGTTTTTTTTTTTTATAAATTTGTTTTCTTTTAAATAAATATGTTTTGTTGGATATACTTGACTAAATTTTAGTTGCGGTCAAAAGGCGAAGAAAATGTACTGCAAATCGAAATACAATTTTTGAAGAACTATGCAAGCCTTCAGAGCGGATCTAAACGTTCAATTTATTTGCTGGGAGCACGGAAGACGAGACCTTGAATGCTGAAAGCCCCCAGGACCCAGCCATCCATCCCAGCCACCCACTCGACCCACTCCCCGCCCCCCTCTTCCCCCTCTAACCACTCTACCGACCCCTTGGTCAGAGCCCGATGCTTCCGCTTTGAATAAAACGCATTTTTCAGCAGCGCCAGTGTGTGTGAGTGTGTGTGTACATGAATAATGTAAATATATACAAGGACAGTCACATTTGCACGTATGTGTGTGTGTGTGTGTGTGCTTATGTGCTGTCACTGTGGGCGTTTTTTGGGCAGTTGGGCAAATAACCCCCCAACTCCATCACCATCCCCACCCACCTTCAACTGCTGGCTGGGCCAATATTGAAACTTTCCACTATACAACGCCAGCACATACACACAATTCAAATTTGGCATGTGTGTGGGAACAGGATTTATGCACTGAACAAAAAAACGATGGTTTTTTTAAGCCAGTGAGAAAAGCCTTCAACTCCCAAAACGCCTGCTTTTAAATTTAGTGATTAAAAGTATTTTATTTTAGAAATTTACTTTGTTTTCTCAATCCAAATATTTATATTTTTTATTATTGCTCCTTATCTGTTTAATTAAAAAAATTAAAACATTTATTTATTTAATAACAATAATAACCAGATGTTTCCTTTTTCGTTAAGTGGTGTTAATGATAAATATCTAAGCTGTATGCGTTTCAAAAGACGTTCCACAAGTTTCTAAACATTTTATTTGCTTAGAATACAAGCTTTTAGGAAACAACATTTTAAATCGTATTTCGGTATCAGTTTTAACAATTTCTCAGGTGACATTTTTATAGGTTCGCTGTTATGGGAGATAGTTCTTTTTTTGTTATACTATATTTATAGGAAATAATAATTTATAAAATATTGAAAGAGTTTTCTTATGTATACTTAAAAAATAATGATGTTTTTTATAATTGCAGATATTACTGGAAAAAAGGAAAATAGAATAAATTTGTGCACGGGTACTGGACTTGCGTGGCCTTAAATTCCGACTTTTTATCCTACTTTCAGTCGAGTAAGCCTTAAATTCCATTTCCCTGCCCCTTTTGGATATTTAATTTTGTTTAAACATACATACATACATACATACACATGGGCACCAGAACACGGACACAACGCACACACGTGCGTTACATTTCAAATAGCGCATAAATTTTGAAAAGTCCATGCAAAATCAAAACGAATTTCCCTGCTGGACAGCATCCCTCTGTTTTTGAGGAGTGGGTTGGAGTTGAACCACATGTGCGTTGCCCACCCACACGAGCACCCACACTCCTCCCTCAAACCCGCCCACCCCCAACCCCCCTTGGCGTCGCAGAATTACGCATGCTTTCAGCTCTAGGCATTGTTGTTGATTGTGCGTTGGGTGGACCATGGGCCTGGGCCAGGGCCATGGCCAAAATGTGCAGAAAGCATAAGCCTAAGCTTTTTTATCGCTTCGAAAATGAGACAGACTGAAAAAAAAGTGAAAGTAGTCCAAGCACACTCAGAGGAACAAAGTCTTTAATGTTTTGTTACAAATGGAAAGCAAGGTTCTATTTGATTGGTCTTCAAAGGAAATTAACTAAATATAAATACATGAGTTACTTGGTCTTAGCTTTTTTTACAATTAGGAAAACAAAATAAGAAACACTCAAAGAAAAATCCTAAAATAATTAAAAATTTTAAAAAATCGCAATTAATTTGTAATTAATTAAAAAAATATACAATTTTTAAAACAATGCGAATTTTTTTGGAACTCAGGCAAAAAAATCATAAATTTAAGAACTGATTTTTAAAAACACAGGAAATGTTTCTATAAATGCAAAAATTATACATAAACAAGATAACCTTTTTTTGTTTTAAAACAAACAAACAAAAGAAACTTACAAGCAAGCCGAAGTTTATATGTATACCCTTGCAGCTATTGCAAAACAAAATATTCCTTAAATCAACTTTTTTGCAAAATTTAAACATTTTAAACTGTGAATGCCGTTCGATTAGAAATTTTATGACGATTTCACTTTTTCTGTCCAGAGTTTTGATACAAAAAACAATTATTATTGTCTTTTTGGTTTTTTAAAGAAGTAAGTAAAAAAAACATTTCCAAAGAGTCTTTTTGTTGTAACTTGGCCAAAATAATAGCCTGATTCCATTGCCGCATTAATGGATTTTTTAAATGTTCCTGATTCCATTGGCGAATTAGCATTTAATGCTACTACGTCATGTGAGTGGCACGAACAGCTGTTCTGAGTTTGTTTACTTTTGAATTTTGGCAAATCCAAAAGAAATAATTAATAATTAAATAAATCAACTCTATAATGCTCACATCCATAATGCGACCGAGGCGTTTGCCAACTTGGACGACAAGGAAGGGAAGCTGATGGTGTTGTTTGACGGGTTTGCAAAGGAGAACACCACAGTTTCTAAAAAGGGCAAGGGATCCCCGTATATGTGGGAGTTATATCCAGCAGTAATGCACTGTGGTACTGCAAGCAGAATTTGCAGCGTGCACACTTGTTTTCAGTCATCTTTATACAAAATAGATTTTATATTCGAATGAAATCAAAAATTGCGCCAACCATGCATATAGAAAACAGCTGTTGTAGTGGTGGCACAAACAAAATATCGTTAAACATCGGTATTTTTCGGTATTTTTTCTAAAAACGTTAGGGGCGAATGATTTTTTATCGCAATTACTTTAAATTAAGCCTTTAGCCTTATGAGATTCCCTTTGTAAATAAATGCGCATTAGGCTTAATGCGCCAATGGAATCCGCCAATAAGACAGACATACAAATAAAACAAACAACTTGAGAATATTTAAATATAGATAAAATGGGTTTGATACGTTATTATACGTTTACGTGTAGATGTAAGTATAATGTGCGTAGATAGTATGTATTCAAATGTAAATTAAGTAAAATTTGTGAATAAGATGTAGATATTATGGTAGATGTGTAAATTCAAAAAAGCAAAAATGTAAATAACCCTAATCCATGAATAAATAAACATACGAATTTACGGCAAGCACTACACGATAAAATAATTAATTATTCTAAAATCTAACAACAATAAAAACAAAAAATCTGGCTGGAGCGGACTGGCTCCCGTTGCCGCCTCTTGCTAAGCGTGCCGGTCCTCCACGCCGTAATAATTTTCTTATCAACTCTCTGGCCGTCTTTCTTGTCCGGGCCTCACCTCTTCTCCTATCACCTTCGCGAACTCCGGCTCTCTTGTTTTAAATTTGGCGGGTCAACGACCGTCTGACATTTGGGGTGACCATCCAAAAAGAAACGCAGTATTTTTCAGTATAAAATCACCCCTGCGCTGACATTCGATATGGCTATCGATAACCCGGCCATAACAAAGAATTCAAGCCCTTGCTGAATTTTCAAATTTGTAAAAGATATTCCAAGCTATCGATAAATATCGTTATGAGTACACGGATACAGTGCCAGCTTAGCAAAGTTATCCACCAAAGGCTGCCACTAAAAAGATAGTTTTGCCAGGTGGCAACATTTCTCCCAAACAGCTGTTTTATGCACCGGCTGTAAATAAATCGTGAAATCTCCGAACAGATTTGTTTATTTTCCACCGCCTCTTTTAAACTTGGCTTAATGGCAGTCACTAACTAGGAGCGATCTTACCACACAACCAGGAGCATTACGCCCACACCAACGCACAATCCGTAGAAGGAGGCAGCGGTAACAAATCGGGAGGGGGGCGGTGCCTGCTGAGCTTCGGAGTACGTGGCAATGAAACTGAAACCGAAACTGAAACTGAAACTGTGTTTGAAAGCAAATTGAGCGTGCAATTGTACACTTAAGACCAATCCCGTTTGCATTCCCAACCCGCGCATCAAGATGACGGCCACGTTGCGTTATCGCGGCGACAAGAGCAATCTGCTGGAGTTCGCCAAGAACCTAGATGCCTTCAAAAAGGTGCCGGAGAAGTACACGGAGACCACGGAAATCGGGGGGACACGTAAGTGCACTTCACGATTAAATCATATTCTCCATGCAGATTATATATGTACTCTTCCAATTGCGTATAGTCTCGCTGCTGAGCCGCCTGCTGATTGTCTACCTGGTCTACACGGAGCTGCGTTACTATTGGCATGAAACGGACATCGTGTACCACTTCGAGCCGGACATTGCCCTGGATGAGCAGGTGCAGATGCATGTGGACATCACGGTGGCCATGCCCTGCGCCTCGCTGTCGGGCGTCGATCTCATGGACGAAACGCAGCAGGATGTATTCGCCTACGGAACGCTGCAGCGCGAAGGCGTCTGGTGGGAGATGTCCGAGCATGACCGACTGCAGTTCCATGCCATTCAGATGCAGAACCACTATCTGCGCCAGGAGTTTCACTCGGTGGCCGATCTTCTGTTCAAGGACATCATGCGGGATCCGTATCCGGCGCGGGAGAGTCCATCACAGCTGCCCGCTGCCGCGCCGCCAGGAGCCCTGCCCGTGATAATGGATCTCCAGCTGCCCAATGGCCAGCAGCACAATGCCGTGCCGGAGAACAAGTACGATGCGTGTCGGCTGCACGGCACTCTGGGCATCAACAAGGTGGCCGGAGTGCTCCATCTCGTGGGCGGGGCACAGCCCGTGGTGGGCCTCTTCGAGGACCACTGGATGATCGAGCTGCGACGCATGCCGGCGAACTTTACGCACCGCATTAACCGGCTCAGCTTTGGCCAGTATTCGCGGCGGATTGTCCAGCCGCTGGAAGGCGATGAGACCGTGATCCACGAGGAGGCCACCACTGTGCAATACTTCCTGAAGATCGTGCCCACGGAAATCGAACAGACATTCAGCACCATCAACACTTTTCAGTATGCCGTCACCGAAAATGTGCGGAAACTAGGTGAGAATCTAGGGTTTTATTTTGAGAGGCTTATTAAGCTTATACTACAATTATTTATGTCACTGACGAACGAAGTTTTTAAAATATTATACAACTCTTAATAATCCAAGCTATAATGCTTTAATGATTATTGATGGGAACTTGGATAGTCCTAACAAATTTAGGAAAAATTCCTTTGCCCTACTTAGAAAAAATTGAATTTTTAGACAATAGTTAAAAAAAGGCTTTGGTTCTATCATGAAAATAGCTTAACTTTATATTTTTCAGCAACTTTTCCTAATCGTTTGCTTTAACCAGCAGATTGCGAGCACAATTCGTATAATAACTATATTAAATAACTGTCTGAAAGTTAATAACTATACTTATTTAACCAAGTTAAAATCCAAATTCTAGAAACGATTTAAATTTATAGACTTAACTTAAAAAGAATTTGGTTTAATATAGTTTCCATCATGAAAATAGCTAAAATTTATTTTTTATCGATTTCTTTTAAACCAACAAATTCCCAAAGCCATTCGTATAATAAATATAATAGATATCAGAACTATACATGTTTAAAGAACGCAGATAGTTTTATCAAATTTTAGGTAAAATTCCTTTGAAAATAGGTTTACTTTATTACGCCTACAGCAACTTACAAATTTCCCTTAAACCAACAGATTCCGAGCGCAATTCGTATGGCTCCCCGGGCATTTACTTCAAGTACGACTGGTCGGCTCTCAAGATTGTGGTGGGCAACGACCGTGACAACTTGGCCACCTTCGTCATCCGCCTGTGCTCGATTATATCCGGAATCATTGTCATCTCGGGCGTCATCAATTCGCTGCTCCTGGGCCTTCAACGTCGCGTGCTGCGCACATTTGCTCCCGAATTGTACCAGCGGCTGAACAATGCCAGAGCAGCTCCGTTGGCTGCTCCGTCGTCTGTTGCTGCTGCTGCTCCATCGTCGATGTCCGCCGTCCAGGCTGCGGCAGCGCCGCCCGTCAACGAACTGCTGCACACGGCCAATCTGATGGCCAACGTGGACATCTCGGCCTATCTGCCCACGGCGCCACCGAAGCTCAAAGCTGGCCTCTAGCCGAACGGCCAGCGAATCTCAGTCTGCAATCTGCTAACCGAATCTTCCCCCGTCTCTTTAAACTAATTTTTTTATTCTTTCATTAAGATATGGAAAAAAACAAAAAAAAAACGCACATACAAATATGGCAAAAAATGTTGTACATAAATATTGATAAGTTCAAGCTGGCGGTGTTGTGTCCTTTAATCGCTGCCCAAGATGCCGGTATCGATGTTGCTCCAGTAGCCGGATCGTCGGTAGCCAAACATGCTCTTCAGGATCTCCAGCCCCGACTCCACGGTGGTGCGCACGTCGCGCTCGCTGCCCAGCTTCGGGTTGATCTCCACCAGATCGACGCCCTGCACCCGCTTGGTGTCCCTCAGGGCCTCCACGATGCTGATGCCCTCGCGAAGCGTGAGGCCGCCTCGCACCGCAGTGCCCGTGCTGGGCGCCACATTGCTGTCCAGGGCGTCGATGTCGAAGCTCACATGGATCTTGTTCTGCGGATTCAGTGCGTCCAGCGTCATCTCGATGATCTTGGGCACGCCCACGCGGTCGATGGTCTGTTCAACAGAGTGCACAAATGAAGGGCATTTTAGTCAGAGGCTAAAAATTCTCTATTGTGAATAAAGGCTTTCTGGTCAGTAAAGGACTATGGTATTTAGCTTTTGGTTTAGTATCTTCTACAATGTACGTTATGCGATTGGGTTCTAAAAATTTTCAAGTTATGATCATTGTATAAATATAGATAAAAATAGGATAAAAAAAAAAATTTAAATTCAAATGGGTTAGAGCAAATTTAAATTATGATTGCGAAAGCCAAATGCTTGCAATCATCTATGAAAGATGAAGAACATTATAGATTTATTGCAATATTTTTGTGAAAATGCGAATGGCTTACACAAATGATGCCGCTTGAGTTGGTCCTTCAATTATCCTTCGTTATCGCGACTGTACAACAAAATCCCCGCCCATTGCAGATGCAAAATCATCACCACTTCCCCACCCCTCTGTCGCCATTTCGCATACCTATTGGGAAAATTCTATTCCAATTCCGATCGAACTAATGAGCGATAATAAATTTGCAGCTTTGGCTGCCCCGGAAATTCACAAGCGAAATCGGGAGCGAGAGGGCATTAAACCATTTTTCAACAGACGTCGATTTTGCACGAGCCATAAATAATACATAATGGGCAACGAGCCGTTTCTGACAAGGATGCGGATGCGGATGTGGCCAGGCACGTAATTTCGTGTGAGTCACCACCACCGTTTCTCGGTTCTTGTTTCTCGGTTCTTGTTTCTCGTTTTCGGGATCGCATCGGATCGGAAGTCCTGTAACACAGGGGGTGGCAAAAGTGGGATGGGGCAGTGGTAGGGTCTGTGACAACCCCTATAAATGCCAAGCTTACAACGCACACACACACACACACAGAGAACGAAGGACCTATGTGTAATGCCGTCGGCAGTCACGCACGATCGTCATCCGATCCTGCCCTATAAAACAGGGATCAGGGGGAGAAACCGGAATTTTACAATTTTTACAACTGCCAGCGAGACAGTAAAGGATCAGATCGGATCGGATCGGTTTGGATCGACAGATCTGGGAAAACAAACTGGAATGCAGTGAAATGAAATGCAATTCGGTAAAAGGACTATCAAGGCTTTCTACCTAGGTGCCACAGCCTTTCTCTAGTTTCTACACAGTAAGAAAATGTATACCAAACAAAATATATATATCATGTCTTACAACATTGCAATTTTTCTCAAATAATAATCTACGATATCATCCAACCTACTGTTTGTATTACATCTTGACTTTATATTATTAACTAATTTGATTGTTATGACGGTTAGAACAAATGTGCATGGTAATGCTTATGATAAGATAGTAGATCATCTCTCAGTGTACTCACATCCATCGCATAGTAGCGTATCCCGACTTTGTTCAATATGAACGCCTCGTAGGGGTCAATGTCCCGCAGTCCGATGTAAACCAACTGATCCTTGGGCAAACTGAAATGACAAGCAAAAAACAGTGGGATCAGTACGTGGCCAACTATCCGAATAAGGGATAGGAATGGAATTGGGATTGGGATTGGGGCCTCTTCCATATGGGAATACGGATAGTTCAGGGGAGTGGGTGGGCCGCAAACAGCTGACGTGTAAACAAATAGTCGTGGGTTCCGCTCGAAGGATCATTAAACTAAAAGGTAGGAGGAGAAGAAACACTAGAAGCCCTTTAAGTGCGGGTTGTCTTGCATTATAAGTAAAACAAAAAACTGGTGCAAGGATCATTTGGGGAACTCTTAATAAAGAGGAGGGGTCATAAACTTCGGTAGAACTTTGGGTTTCCGGGATCGTGCTTAAGTGTGACAGCTTTAAAATTCTGTAAGGTCAGGCAAAGATTACTCTGAGAATTTTGGATTTACAAAGTTATTGTATTTCAAATTTATTTACATTGAACTTGCATCTCTTTCGCTAAATCTTGTAAGTAACAATTCAATTAACTTAATGAAGTTCCACCCTTTAAGTCTTGAGATCACGTCAGTAATTAACCTTTTATAAGCCTTATTTAAAAGAATTTATAGATCCTCACGAAATCTGACAGATAGCACACCCTTTCACAATGTGAAAATTGGATTATGAAAATCGGAAAACATTTTGTAGAGTCAAGCGCTATCTTTCCCTTCTGTCTTCTCTTACTTCTTTTCTTTCAATATTAGAATATTATTTTTAACTGTTTAATAATTTAATACCCTTAATTTATTAACTTAGGTCAATAGGTATATTTAAACAGAAGAAAAACCAATTCTGTCTAGACAAACTTTTGAAAAAGCTTTTCCGCAAATTTTAAGATTATTGGTAGCACATAAATGATTTAAAACTTTCGATTTTTAATTTTTCGAATGTTTTCCAACGTCAGACTGCTATCTGATCCAGTCTCTCTGCCCCTCTGCCCTCTGCCCACCATCCGATCACCCAGTGCCGTTTGCCATTCGTGATCCTGATTAGTAGGCCAGGTGGCAAGTCCTTGGCCCGATCTCGATCGCAACCCCAAGGACTGCAACCGAATCGGATTCCCAACGAGAGCAGCCGCCTGCACCGCGACAATGGTGAAAATGTCTGAATAGGAAAAATGGGAAATATGGGAAAAATGGGGAAAACGGCAACAAAAACAGAACACAAACGGAAAACAATGCCGCCAGCGGCAAAAAAAAAAGAAAGGGAGAGGGGAAACACATGCCACGATTCAGTGCCAAATGTCCTGCGATCAGGGGGATCGCCCTCCGAAAGTACCTATGACTATATGAATGCACCCCTCACCGGTTTTCTATTCCTGCATCGATCGTGCATTGCTCCTGGACTTTGAACCCGGTGTCTTATGGTAATTTTTATGATTATTACTTTTAGTTTCGGGGGAAAAACTGCATCTGTCGCCGTGGCCGTGGTCTCAGCTGCGGATCGACTTGGATCGGTTTGGATCGGTTAGGATCCTGCCTGCCCAATCCGAATCCGGCTCGAGATCGTGGACATTTGTGCAGTGAGACGTGCAAAGTTAAAAGCGCCCTAAGGATCATTATGTAAATATGCGAAAGAGAAAGGAACAGGCAGAGAAGGGGGTGGCTTTCGCCCAATGAATACACAGAACGAAATAAAAACTTTCAACTGAAAATAAGCAATTTATATTATTTATCAATTTTATGAGCATTATCTTACTGTAAAATCTCCAAAACACAGAATAAAAATTGTATTATTTTCGCTATAAGAAAGACAATGAAAAACAAACTTCAAAAACCGAAAACTGCCAACTTTATATTGCCTATTTTTTACTTCTTGAAGTAGTTTAAAAAATAAGAACAGCTAAAAAATAAAACAAATTTAAAAATAATTAAATTTTTCTTTATAAACTTAAACGAAAGAAATCATGTTTTCAAAACGTGTTATTTTTGTAAGAAGCTGATTGAAAAATTAGATCACTAATAAACTGAATAAACTTTTCCTTTTTTCAAAATATGGGTCTGTTAACTTTCGCGTTTTAATTTAACATCTAATTATATATAATTAAATTATAAACTAATAAAATGTACATATAAAGGGGGGGTGATAACCATATCTGCTATTTATTAAACTAAGCTACCGAAGGAGACACAAAAATGAGATTTTGTTGGATTTTTTTGCCAGTGTACTGTGCATGAACGATGGCCAGTTCGCCCAGTTCGCTGCAGTTCCTGTTTGAGTTTGAGTTTGAGTTTGAGTTAGAGTCCTTGCTTCTGGTTGCCGTGTCTCCTGGCCTTTGGTGCAGCATAACTTTCGGTTCGGTTTGTTTTCGTTGCCGCTATTCTATTCGGCTAGGTGTTTATGTAACGCTAAGGGTGGGCAACGGCTTTTCGGAGTCCCTCCCCTTCGAGCCGGGGAAAAAAAGAGCAGACCATCCCATCCCATTGAATTTTGCAGCTTTGTTGTAATCTTGTGTTGGGCCTGCTTTTTTAATCCCGCTTTGTTGTAACGCCAGGCGGTTGTTGTTTGTGTTTTGTTTTTGCCATGGCTAAAACGGATTAGGCAACCCTTTCGAATTTGCTTTGTACTTTTTTCTTCCTTTGAATTTTTTTCAAAATAAAACTTGCATTGCCTACTGTTTGGGGGTAGAAGCTGTGGTGAAATTTTCGGGGGAAAAAAGAACACGTGACCGCCAACTTTCACTATCAGCATACGTCAGCGAAATGAAAGCTGATGTAATTTTAATGGTATTATAAATGATCCCATCATCGAACCGATAACACTCACTCTTATCTGATGAGTGGTCCTAAATTTCGATATCAGTTAAAGCTCTAAAAATAAAATAAATATCAAACTATTTGGGTTATACATATGGCCTTTAAAATAAATGTATTCCTCAATAACTATAATTAACTTTAAAACAAGGATATTTCTGATACCAAGCGGACTGTTGAAAATGTTTAGAATCCTAGTTCGCCAAAAGACTTTGTAAAGTTAAACTTGCAAGTCCATTGATTCGACGACCACGGCAGCGGCCTTAAGCTTAATTTATTAAACATCAAAAGGACGTATGTACATATGTATGTATGCACATATGCAGATTTGTATGCTAACCAAACACTTGCGACGCCGATCTGTCTGAATCTGAATCCGCATGAGGACAGCAGTAGCACCACCCCAGCACACTTCCGTTGCCACTAGCACCGCACCACCATCACCATTCACCACCCTTTGGAAAGGACGACAAAAACCACCCCCGGCTAAAAGTTGCGTTACACTACTCGACGTGCAGTGCATTCTCGCTATAGAGAACCAATTGGAAACAATGATTCACTGTAAAACGTTATTAAAATAAACACATTTCTCATAATAATTTTTTGTTTTCCGCAAATAAATCTACAAAATTGTTTAACAATATTCTTTAAACGTTTATTAACAGAGGAATTCACTGTACCTCATTTCGCGAGCCAGAGACTTCGTCTTCTGTTTGTAAATTGGAACAGAGCGTCCGACTGGAACAGGGTAAAAAATCAGCACATGGAACAGGAAATTACAAGGGTTGGGGGAGTCGGAGGGTGGCTATATTCGATACGATATATGGCATATAGTATATACTATGTGGCGTGTCGAGTGCCGAATACAAGCGCAATTAGGCACACGCACGCAACAAAAACGAAGGGAAACATTGAAAAACGGACACGATTGCAGTGTGTTGAAATTGAACCGGCTCTCGAAAATGGGTCCTCGGTCCTTGTTTTTGGGTTCTATTTTCTTGGCTAGGGGGTGTACGAGGCATGCTGCATGCGGAAACCACCCCAACCGTTGGCGTTGGTGGTTGCTGGTGCAAAAAAAAAAAAAAAAAGTATAAAGGAAACGGAACCAAAAACCAAAACAGCCCTTAGAAGGCGGCTATTTGGCAAGGATAATGGTCGCGTGCATCATAAAACGGTTGACGACCTCGTTGGAAAAAGCCTATAGCAATGATTTCCATTAGCACTACCCATACGATAGTCTAAGCGTGGGGTTTTTTTAAAACGTCTTTTTTAAAACGACGGCGAATTCGGGGCTCGATAGGACGGTAGGTGGCATCCCCAAGCGGCTCACAAAAAAGGACTTCAATTATATGTATGAATTACATAAATTTCCTTGAGTATGGATTATTTTTAAGGAATTTATTAACAAACTTAACAAGCAATGCATAAATATATTTTGTTATTGGCTAAAGTCAATTGCCAAAAGAGCGCGTGGATTCAAATATTTCCCAACGCTGGAATTGGAATTGACAACACTGCCGCGGTCTCTCTCCGTCGGGCTCAGAGAATAACCGCCATTTTAGTTCCCGGCTTAAGCCGTTAAGAATATCTCTTTAAGTCCACCAATTGTGTTTAATAAACTAATGATTTAGGCATAGGACTGAATTTGTGGATTTCTATTTCTGCTAAAAAGTATTATCTCTTGTGGAATAATATAGCCATCGCTCGATCGTTTGATTTGTATGAAAAACTTTCGGTTGCTTGTGCGAATGAGGCAAAGAACAACTGAGGGCGCAGTCGATGTGCAGTGGCGCAGCAAATGGGGGCTATCATGTAAAAAAAGCAAACACTTTCATTCGTAAATGAGGTGAACAAATTAAAGCGTACATATACATATACTTTCCTCTACACAAAAATTTTTTTTTTAAAAAAAAACTTTCTATTTTCCAAAGGAACATTAAGTGCAAAAGTCAAAGTACTAAAGCTTAAATACAACAGAAAAGATAAGGAATTTCTTTTTCAAATACTTTTAATTTAGTTCTCGTTAAAAGCTATTTTTTAGAATTTGTCAAAGCTAAAGTCATCATATGAACATGATTTTCTTTACATTTAGTTAAACATCCCCAACAAAATGTTTTACATACGCCCATGTCGCCGCTCTCTTTCGCTCTCTAACTCTCTTGTTTTCCACGTTCGCTTCGAACACGTATTGCAACCCCGAAAGCAAGAGCAACTAAACTGGGAGGTTTCTCAATGTGGAAACCGAAACCGTCATTCCCTCAATTTCGCATTTCATTATTTCATTTCATTTCCACGCCAACCATCGTGCGCCGCAGTTTGAACGCTCCTGCCACAGCAAGAAGAAAAGCCAGGAAAATCGAAATCAAAATCTCGTGCCTGTGTGCTCTTTCTGCAATTGATTTTTTTTCGAAAGTAGTGCAAAACAATAACCGTTGAGTTGACAACTACAACTACAGCTTTGGCCGAGCAGTAACAACAACAAGCGAATCTCAAACGAAATGTAAGAATATCTCTCGGATATCCGTAACTTGTGCAATCGAACGAACAACAATAACAAACAACAAACAAACGATATGAAAATGTTCATTTTTTGCAAAATGATCGCGCCGCGCTGAATAATTGTGCAATTATACACACATATATTTTAGTGTTCACATATATCTATTTTTTTTCTACCCGCTATACATAGTGGGTGAGTGAGTGTGTGGAAGTTGTCTACATTCAAACAAATATTAATAGGCAAAACAACAATATGCAATTCGGTGGAAGAGGCTGAAGAGAAGAGGGACCCGAAAAAGTTCAGCAAACGGAGAAGAGATGGGCGGCGGTTGGCCAGAGTGAAAGAGGAGGGCTAGTCCAGTCCCAGACCGGAGATAGTAGTTGCGTTAAAATCTACTGCTAATGCGAGACGAGACGCCTCTGTGCTGTGTATCTGTAAATGCTTCCCAACTGTATGTGTGTGTGTGTGCGTGAGAGGCGGTGTGTGCCAGAGCGAGAGAGCGCCAGTTTCAAAAAGGGCGCAGCTAGCATATCGATTTTATGTGCAAGGAGCATTGTACGCAACAACAACAGTTACAGTTAACCGATAGAAGTAGACATTTTGTCAGGCGAAAAGAGAGAGAGCGGGAGGGTGAGAGTGTGTAGGTGGCTGAGATATTTGCAGTAAACAAAACGCCGGTTGCCATAAAAAGCAAACGCACACACGACCAAACAAACACCAGTGTAGTAGTAGTATCAACAGAATTGCATTTAAAATTGGGGAAAAACGCGCGGAAGGGCAACTTATGACAGCTCCACAGGGATCTACATCCAAAAAAAGTTAGCCCAAGAAACGAAAACACAAAAACAGCAGCGCGTGTTTAGTTCCAACAACAAATAACTTATAGATACTAAGTGTCCGTGTGTGTGTGCCTGTTTGTGTAAGAGAACGCGATCTGTTTTAACAAAAAATCAAATACATACGCACGCACAAACGTATATGTGGGTATAAAAACAATAGCAGCCATACATTGTATATCCGCCCCGCCACCCCCTCTTTAACCCTCGACTACCAAAAAAAAATATACAAATCAGTGCAGCCGCAGAGCGAGAGATACTGTTATAATGAGCATTTGGGTATTTGAAAAAACGCAAAAATAGCCACTCACACAATAGAATTGTATAACAAACAACAAAATGTTCTCGCTACTATGTATCATATTTTTTGTTTGCCTTTTTTTGTCAGTGAAATATGAAATGAATGATGTGATTAAGGGAGAAAATCAATAAAATCGATTGCGATAACCATCGCTTGCACACACACACACACAGGCACACCGCAAACACCCCTCAACTAAACCAAAAACTAAAACTAAAACCAGCAAATACATCATATTTACCGCTTCTTTTGTTTTGTTTTATTTTTTATTTTGTCAGACGGCAGCGACGACGAAGACGCCAGCGTTTATTTATTAACAAAAACCGATTACATTACAACAACAACCAACACGAAAGTCCTGGACCACCGGAGAGTGTGTGAGCGAGAAAGCCAGAGTGAGAGAGTGTGCAAGAAGGAGCGCCGTGAGAGCGCGCGCGCGTACAACAAGGATTTCCAAGCAAACGAAACAAAAAAAAACTTAGCGAATTAATTCACTTCACAAACAGCAAAAACAACAAATATCCTCCCCCAAAAACAACAACACACACACACTCGCTCTCTAAACTATAACAAGTGAGTATTTAGACTAAGAGAGCGTAGTATAGGTTACGAAGATCGCAGGACAAGAGAGAGTCTTTTAAAGGGTGCGGTGTCAAACCGATACAGTCAGAATTCAAGAGCTCAAATATTTTCAGCTCTTACTAAATTTGCTCACAATATATTGTAAAATCTTGTAATAACTTTAATTTAAAATATTTTTTTGTCACAAAGTGGTTTGAGTAATAGAGGCTCTACTGTAGTTGCCTTGACCGATAGCTGAGTGAGCGAAACCACAGTCTGCGTGTCCCAGTAGGTGGGCATAAGTGGGTGGGAACGGGTGGAATGGGATGAATGTGTGTGCGCGTGACCTTTTGACTCTTTCGTAGGCACTACACAAAAAAGGTGAGAATTGGCAAGACGAATTTATGAACTTCATTACAACTTGTCCAATACGAACTACTCAAAATCTATAAAGGTTATTTAGACTGCCCTTTTGATTCTCATTTAATTACATTTTCCTATATAAACATTAAAAGTATTTAAATACTGCTTGTTGAAAATTATTCGCACATTTGACTTGAGTCAATTAAAAAACACTTTCTTAAAACTAAGAATTATTAATTCTTTGAAAAATTATCTACGCTTTTAATTAACCATTCATCCTACATCCATAGATTATTTTGCTTAAATAGCTGAATATCAAGAGTTTACCCATTCCAATTAGGTCAAAATTATTTGTAACACCATTTTCAAGACTCTTAAGATCTTCGTAAACAATTGTAGTACGCGGCCTTAACTTAAATAGGTAGTAGTTATAGTAGTTTTTGTTAACTTCCAGTTTAGTCACCCTGAAGAAGTAGAACCGTAAAGGCCATATGCAAATTATGAAAATACTGTCATTTCCACCGCGATCGCTTTTTTTGACAGCCCTCTGACTCTGTCGCACATATGTAGTTCATTGAACCGAAACATCCTCTAGTTTTAGTTCAAGCAACAGTCTCTGTCTCTCTCAGCCGCCCCCTTTTCCTTTCCCGCAGCCTCTGCGCCTTTACAGCGTTGCCATGTAAATGCGAAACGACCCGGCTTAGGGGGTGGCAATGTCGCGCGTTTAACCCTTAAGCGGTGGCAAGTTCCGCTTTTACATAGAAGCCGCCGTTCTGCGTTTCGCAAAGAAATTTTACAACTTCTTTGGCTAAGGGTGGGTCCTGCCTATTGCTCATTTTTGGTGTTTTTTCCAAGGGGTGCGAGTTGATTTCTCGCATATCCTTAACCCTCCGGTTGCCGCATTACATAACTGGGCGGGGTACACAGTACAACGCACTCACACATACAAATTGAGAGCGCTGTAACAGTTTGCCGAAAAGGAAACGGTTGATTGGTGGGGTAGGGTGTGAGGAGGGGGTAGAGAGAGAGAGAGAGAGCAAGAGCGGCTAGAGCGCAAAGCCTGGCCAGAAGGTCCTGCGCTCGCCTCAGAAGCATCCTGTGCCTGTGACGCAGCGGATCTGGTATCGCTTTCGCTCTGTAACCACTAGCGTAACAACTATAATATATAAATTCAAAAGCAGTATCGGATAATTTCAATAAGCGTACGAACAAAAGCAATAGAAAAGTCGCAAATCACTGACAGAGCAAAAGCAAATCCCGTAAAGTTCAGTTCTTCTAGTGCCGGAGGTGTGTGTTTGTTTAAGTGTGTGTGTTTCTGTGTCTGGGGAGCTTTGATTGACAGTGCGGGGGTGTGGGTGAGAAAGGGCGGAATAGAGACCGAGAGAGAGAGAGTGGCTGGACAAGAATGTGGGCCGCTGGGCGGCGCCAGTGAGCAAAGCTCCCTTAACTAAACGTTAACCGCTAACCCACTGTAAAAGAGAATGCAGACAACCGCAGGTCCTTAATTTGTACGAAACCAAAAAAACAATAAAAGTAACTAGTGGGGAAATGTAAGAATAGGTTTGTACGTAACAACTAATACATAAAAGTCCTTTTAACAACATTAGACTCATAGACCTGAAATGCAAACAAGCCTCGGTTCATAAAAGGTATGAATTCGAGAAACTTACAAAAAACAATTGAGACAAAAAGGCTTGGGCTTCAAAAAAAAATAATTATAAAGTTTAAAAATGAAAAGTAAATTATACACTATTTAATCAAATTTAGGAACAATAAGTATAATTTTTAAATCATTTCAAAATAAAAAATAAAAGTGTGGAGATTGCTAACAGAAATATTATGTTTGTTTCATAAAACTATTTTAAGAATTCAAATCCACAGATTGAACAGGGTTAGGTGGCTAATAAAGGGCAACACAATATTAGATAAATATAAGATTATATCTACAGACCCCAAAAGACAGAGGGACTCGTTGACATAAATACCATTTTATCATTATATTTGACTACAAACGCAAATGTTATAAGGACATTTGTTTTATGAGTCGGTCAGTGAACACTTTTGGGATCGAAAATAACTTCTTATAGCTCAAGAACAAACATACATACATGATTTAAAAACTAAGAAACCTTGAGAATGAGAAATTAAATCCAATTTCTATTATACATTACTATACCGTTGTAGACCCACTAACCCACAGTAATCGTAGACATTTTGATAGACAACCAAGAAGTACTAACACATCATGCAAATGGTTTAATCTTGACATTTAACTATTCTTTCCATGCGCCTGCCCCTGCGTTGGTCGTGCCAACCAATTCTAACTCCTCGAATCTTCCCGATCCCACCACCCAGTGGACTTTATGATGGCAAATACCGGAGCCGGTGGTGGAGTGGAAACACAGACGCAGCTTATGCAGAGTGCAGCGGCCGCCGCTGCGGTGGCGGCAACAAATGCGGCCGCCGCTCCCGTACAGAATGCGGCCGCCGTGGCCGCTGCCGCCCAGCTGCAGCAGCAACAGGTGCAGCAGGCGATCCTGCAGGTGCAGCAGCAGCAGACACAGCAGGCTGTGGCCGCGGCCGCTGCCGCCGTCACCCAGCAGCTCCAGCAGCAGCAGCAGGCCGTTGTGGCGCAACAGGCGGTGGTGCAGCAGCAGCAACAGCAGCAGCAGCAGCAGGCGGCGGCGGTGGTCCAGCAGGCGGCTGTCCAACAGGCAGTCGTACCTCAGCCGCAGCAGGCGCAGCCCAATACCAACGGCAATGCCGGATCGGGTGCCCAAAATGGCAGCAACGGCAGCACAGAGACGCGCACCAATCTCATTGTCAACTACTTGCCGCAAACAATGACCGAGGACGAGATCCGTTCGCTCTTCTCCAGCGTCGGCGAAATTGAGTCGGTGAAGCTGATACGCGACAAGTCGCAGGTCTACATCGACCCCCTCAACCCGCAGGCGCCTAGCAAGGGCCAAAGCCTGGGCTACGGATTCGTCAACTACGTCCGGCCGCAGGATGCCGAGCAGGCTGTCAATGTGCTGAACGGTCTGCGTCTGCAGAACAAGACCATCAAGGTGTCGTTTGCCCGCCCATCGTCGGATGCCATCAAGGGCGCCAATCTGTATGTGTCGGGGCTGCCGAAGACGATGACCCAGCAGGAACTGGAGGCCATCTTCGCCCCCTTCGGAGCCATAATCACGTCGCGCATTCTGCAGAATGCCGGCAACGATACGCAGACCAAGGGCGTGGGCTTTATACGATTCGACAAGCGGGAGGAGGCCACCCGAGCCATTATCGCGCTGAACGGCACAACGCCATCAAGCTGCACGGATCCCATTGTGGTGAAGTTCTCCAACACGCCTGGCAGCACCAGCAAGATCATCCAGCCGCAGCTGCCCGCTTTCCTCAATCCCCAGCTGGTGCGACGCATCGGTGGCGCCATGCATACACCCGTTAACAAGGGACTGGCCCGGTTTTCGCCAATGGCCGGCGACATGCTGGACGTGATGCTGCCCAATGGACTGGGCGCAGCGGCGGCGGCGGCCACAACGTTGGCCAGCGGTCCAGGCGGTGCGTATCCCATTTTTATCTACAATCTGGCACCGGAAACGGAGGAGGCAGCCCTGTGGCAGCTATTTGGTCCCTTTGGGGCTGTGCAATCAGTGAAGATCGTTAAGGATCCCACAACGAACCAGTGCAAGGGCTATGGCTTCGTCTCGATGACCAACTACGATGAGGCGGCCATGGCCATTCGGGCGCTCAACGGCTACACCATGGGCAATCGGGTGCTGCAGGTCAGCTTTAAGACCAACAAGGCCAAGTAGAGCGGGCCAATTGGAAGTGGATAACGATGCAGCAGCACCCCCAAAACCATTATCCTGAATCTAAACATCCTGACACACCCACACCCACAAACCCACACACACACACACACACACAACACACATATATAAATATGCATGGTATAACGGTAACTAAGCGCAACAAAACAGTATGTGTAAAACACACACGAAAAACAAGAAAGTAACAGGCAGGAGAAAGTACTCTCTCTCTCTCTCCATACGACGACACAACGAAACGGCGAAAACCCAAACCCCAAACTCCCCAAAAAACCAATACCTTTTTAACTACATAAATATCCCCCTCCAATATCCCCAAATTGCCGGCCTAAAACGTTGCAATAGCAAAATTCTTCTTGTTTAGCATTTAAGTAACAAATCGTTAACTAAACGAAACAAACAAAAGAAAGGAGCTGCCTGGAGTTAAAACAGAAAAAGAGAGCAAAGCAAAAAAGCAAAAAAGCAGGGGGAGTGAGAATGAACAATGAGATTATAAAGAAAAAATTGCAATATGAACAACACACTCTGGCAGCTGTGAAAAGGTCAAAGGTTGCCGCAGTCAAATTACTCGCAAAGCAAAACAAAGAAATCAACCAAACACACATACACACAAAAAACTAAGACAAATTTAACTTAACTAGCTAAAAAGAAAATGAGAAATTTTAAAAATTTATTAACCTTAAGTAAAACGCAGCAATGAAATCTTCCAAACAAATGAAAACAAAAAACAAATCTGTTAGTTACACTCCAAACTTTTCTACCATAAAAACTTTGAAACTTAATACAAAAAAAAAAAAAAGGAAACAAAACAGAATTAAGAAATTAGAGAAGTTCAGTGTCTAGGATTTATAAATGGTGCTTATAGGACATCAGTTTGGCTTGATCGATGAGGGCGGGGCAAAAAGTATTCGAGGGGCGATCGAGATGATCGCGCGCATATAATATTTATATATACATAACATGGAGGCTGCTACAGTATTACAAGAAACATAAAAACAAAAGCTACATACTTAACAAACGAATGGCGAACAGAGCACGTTTAATAATTCTAAATATATATCCATATGTATGTGCGATATTTCTATATCTACCTAGATATACACTTAAATATAGAAGTTTAACGAATTTTTTTATGTTTTGTGTTTGTTTTCTACACTTAGAGAACGAAACCCGATTGGAGCAAGCCAAACTCATATCCTGTAAGCACAACCAAACACAGTGAAAACTGAAAAAATATATAGAAAACATATAGCATGATCAAGCGAAAGTTAGCGAACGGAAAACAAAAGTAATACAATAATTTATGCGCAAACTTGAAACGTTTTACTAAAGTAAATAATTGTTAGTGAATATTAATACTGTAATTGTGTGCGTGTGCACCTGTGTTGCAGGTATGTAGTCCACTATATACAGGCACATGCAGGCGTAGGCACACCCTATATACTTTATATATTGTATAGTTCAAGGAGCAAGTTAGCATAAACAAAAATATTAACAAAATACTTGCTAAACCAAAACATTTTTAGCGTTTAAACAAAGCGTAGCACAAACAATTTACTAAAAACAAAAAGGTACAGCAGCAACACAACCATTTTTTATATGAGAACAGTTTAAAACAAAGTAAAAACAAAAAAAAAAAAGCAATGGAAAAAAATTAATTAAGGGTGTAAAAAAAGCATTAGCAAACCGATTTCTCTAGCCAAGTAAGTGAACAGAGAATAAAGGGAAGGGATACATATAGACGAGGATACCTTCCAGCACATCCTACATTTATAATATCCCATAAACCCCATGTCCAAACCTAAAACTTTTGTGCAATTTTTGCGTTACTTTATGAGTTGAACTTCTGTAAATTTTTCTTCTTTTTTTTTTGTATCTTTTTGATTGTTATAGCGAGAGATTGAGACACACACCGAACACACATAAATATCTACATATATAATTTCGATTCTGGATTCTATATTCCGTATTTAAATTAAGTTTTGTTTGATTTCTTTGTTTGCTTTGTATACGAATTAAAATTGATAATAGGATCCTGCATCCAGTCCATAAAACCAGTCCGACCCAACCATGCATATTTATACGAATGATTTGTGTTTGATTTGTTTATAAAGTTAACCTAAGATGACACAACCCCAACCGATTTTGAGTTCTCTCTCTCCAAATAGCATAAATTCTAAACCTAAGATTCAAAAAGCATTGAACAGAAGCCGAAAAGCGAAATAGAAGTGGAATTAACTTTGATTATTATTACGATACCTAGCGCTATGTGTAATCAGATATATATATATATATCTCCCTAACTATAATTATTTTTTTGTATAACTATAGGCCAACAAAGAAATCTTTTTTTTTTTGTTTGAACAAAATTCGCAACAAGAAATCTAGTCAGAAGATGGAAAAGAAGAAGATTACGATGAAAAGGAGCAAGAACTTTCGAGGCAGCCGCATATAGGGATGTATGGTAGATCAAACCAAAAGAACTATGGCAATTTCTAGCTAATGAAACAATCGATTGAAGCGGCCTGCTCTCCCCTTTCCAAAGATTTAGCCCCTCGAAACCCTCAAAAAAAGAAGGGAGCAAAGCAAAGGGCAAGCATCAAGTCTGAATGGGGAATCCCCAACTTTGACTTGCTGCTTCTCCGGATATATTTGCAATACATTTTATACAATCTGCTAGTTTATTTATACACCCACATAAGAACACACACACACACACACTATAGGACAGGACAACAGGGAGAAAATCCTGTAGAAGCGAAGATTATGTACTTGATTTTGTTTAATTTGTATTTCTGTCATCACATACTCTCACACACAACACACTCACATATATATGTATATTCAATATTTAATTTAATTAACTAATCCTTTACTATATATACTTATATTTTTTGTCATCAATGATCTAATTAATTGTATTAATTCTAATTCTTGTGCAATAGTTTTAAAATGCAACTAACGGCAAAACAACAGTAACAAATTTTCATGCATCTCAAACTATAAATTACAAATTATAATTTTATTAAGAGAAGAAAATGAGAAGCGAAAAATGGAATCTATTACGAATATGTAACTTAAAACTATCATTATTCTATATACCGCAAAATGAAAAACAAAAGCAAGCCACAGCAAACTAAAAAAAAAAATTTAACAAAATATACAACAATTATTTTTTAAGCGAATTAGATATGTATTTCGCGTACATATATTTATATCTCATCATTTTTCTTTACATATTTAGTTAAGTAAGCAAAGAACCAAGAAAACAAATGGAAACGAAACAAAAACATTATTTATTGTATTTTTATAATTACGTAATTTAATTTAATTCAATTTGAATTCAATATTCCTTTGATTTTGAGCAAAGCGAAGATGAACAAGATGATTACGATGAAGAATTAGTCTAATTATACACACAACACATGAACAGAGAAAGAGAGAGAATAAGCGGCTATATTATATTGGAAATATATAACTTCAAAACTCTCAATCTCCTCCCAATCTCCCCTTTTCTCAATATCTCTCTCTCTCTTTACCCCAATGTTTGGTTTAATTTTAATTTTGTATCTTGTATTTTATTTCGTTTACCAACTATTTTGATTTCGTTTCAGCAAAAACCTTTTTTGTTTCAGTTTAAGTTATAATTTATGATTTTATGCAATACCCATTTGATTTGTCACAGCGACGTGAACACAACACATCAGTTTTAGTTAATATCTCTAGCTATATACGATCTGTGTGTATGTTACCATGTAAACCCACGTTAGCTGAGAGATTCCTGTGAATCCTATCGAATGATTATGATTACGTTTATTTAATATGGTTTATTTCCTTTCTTTGATTTTGTGAATTTTGCTTTTTGATCTAATTATGCAACGAATTATGTTTGACAATTACGATCCATTCAAAAATTTATGTTTACTCTTATGATTTCATTTGATTTTCGCACCAAACAAGTAAAAAAAAAAAACGAAGAAAAATTTATTTTCAATAAAAAAACACTTGAAGAAAATTTTAACATCATTTTTATTTATTTGTTAATTTTTGGTTTTGTTTGTTTTTTTTTTAACTGTATGATTTTCCCACCTCAAAATATATGTTTTCCCAATCCTGAATCCCCAGGATTTGCTTCTCTCTCTCTCTCTCTCTCTTTCTCTCTTTTTGAAACACTTAAAAAAACCAGACGGTCACTCAAATATAAAGGAATCGATCTAGTCAAGGCTCATCTATAAAGAGGTGCCATCGGAATCCGTTGATCTCAGCAGAAAAGACATTCCCGACCGACCCAGTTTTGGTTTAGTCCTCGTAACCCTAAGATCTAAATGGGATCCCCCCCGCAAAAAAAAAAAAAAAAACAACCCAAAGACATGCATTCCAGTTTTTGTTGCTCGGTTTAGAGACTCTGCCAGTTGCGATATTATTTGTGTGCAAACGAGAATACTTTTAATTTTTGTAATGCCATTATGTTTAGCGCTTATGATTAATGAATCTCTTAGTTTAGTTTATCGGAGAAAGTACAGTCACCACTCTCTCAATTTACATAAATTTGGGGACATGTCACGACATGTTCTGTGTATAATTTTGAACCTGTATCCTTGTATTGCTTAATTGTGTAATTTTTGTAATTTTTAGAGCAAAGTTTATCTATCATTTCGATGGGCAGAGAACAGGAACTGCTTAGCGATAGCTATAACGATTACACAAATAATACCGTAAATAATCATTGACAACAACAACAACAAGGATATATATACCTTTCTATATATATTATTATAATTAAAATGATGCAGACGACGACGACGACAAGAAGGAAGAAACTATTTAATTTATTTTATTAACATATTTATATCGATTAATTAATTAATTATAATATTTATCACACATTTCAAATGATATTTCAAAATGGAAAACAATACAAAACCTAAAAAAAAAACGAATACAAGCAAATGAGAAAAAGATATTAATATTATAAATGTATTTCAAAATATATGATTATGAGTTTTTCTTGCTTTTTGCATATATATGTATCTCTCTATATAGTATATATCAGAACACACCGAACTTTTGTTTCAAGATTTAGTTGGATTTTGGTTACCTTGTTTTCAATTTGTATTTCAGCTGGTTCTTGATTCATTTCAATTTCAATTCAGACTATGTTGGAATTTCTTTCAGAGTTATTAATGAGTTAAAATATTTTCATTTTTTCTTTGAAACATTACACTTTGGGCTTTCTTTTTCTCTATTTTTGATGGCATTTTTCATCTTAGATGGTTTGTTGTTTTAATTCATTTATATCAATAAAAATATATTTTTTAAAGTGTATCTTACACTTACACACAACTACACAAATCACTCTCTATATCCAAAATTTGTTTCAGTTTGTTGTGTGCCCCCTCTCGAAAAGAGTATGCTCTTTGTTTGGTCTTATGATTTCGCTCAGTGTATTTTAAAAGTACGCTTCTTTGGTCCCAGTGTATAAAGCCAGCTAAGAAGGAAGATTTAACGAGAAGATGATGATATGGAGGGCATTACTTTGAAAGGAAGATCCGATCCGATCCGATTTTGACATTTGAGTTGATTCCCCCCCTTTCGTTCCTTTCGTTGTGGGCCGAATATATATGTATATATACATATATACATATGTATATAGAACCGATCGATCCGTAGCCGATTTTCGTTTCCGGATTTTCGATTTTCAGTTCGTTGTTGCCGTTGTTATATATTGTTGTATTGTTCGTATTCCTCACTCACTTTTATTGTTTCGTGTGATTTTTCGGTAAGTAATCGGAGAAGAAAGCGCGGCGGCGATCAGACCGATATAACGCCGATCTGTACTAATTTTGGCACACCTTTTTTCCCAATAAACATTTTGTCAGCCAAACTGATGATTTCTCTAAATGGTTTTTATCTCTTTTTATTGATCTATTTGTAGCAAAAAAAAAAAAAAACTGTAAAGTTAACACATGAAATCCTGCAGCAAGTATAATAATTTATGAAGCATTTTCTAATTTGTTTCTTTCTCTTGATTTATTTTCAGGCGTGTGTTCTTGTTGTTCGTTCGATTTTAAATTGAATTTATGCAAAAAAAAAAAAAAAAACGAAACCAAACAAATTTCAAACACATTTCTTCAAGTTGAATTTCGATTGAATTAATTAATTGATTACTTGGTTAAAACGATAATGATTGTGTAATTATATTGATTGATTGATACTTTAATATTAATTGTAATTATTTAAAGCATAAACCACAAATGTCCACAGATCCCGATCCTTGATTCCAGATCCCGAAAATCCTCCAAATTGATGTACATATAATGTACATACATGATTTGTATTCCCCACACACGTACACACAGAGAAACACTTACGTTTTGTATTGTAATTTCAAAAGAAAACCTTAGCGAGCCACAGATAATTTCAAAGAATTTCAATTTAAAAGCTTTTTCTAGTTTATAGATTTGATTTTCAACCAGCTATGCACAATCCACAATCCAGCATCCTCACACCAACCACTATCCATTGATGACTCAGAAACTCGAAAAAATGTCAGCCAAATATACAGTAGAACTTTTATAACTCTAATGATCTCCAAGTCATGAAGTATTTATTTTGGTACACAGACGTATCTTCAGACCGTTTCAATCTTCAATTACAAGGATCAATACACATTTAATGTCAAATTATTCATATCGTTTTGTACATAAAATGAAATATGGGTTTGATATTTTTTTTTTTTTAACAATTGGATATTTTTATGTACTTCAAAATTATATGATCTTCAAAAATGTCAATGCATTAATTCTAGTTTAGAGTTATACAATTTCAACTGAGTAGTACAATTTAAATATTTATTTAGTTGGTTGAGAGTCTTTTGTCTGATAATGTATATAAATCTGATTTCGATTTTCGTTCTTATTTCGGTTTTTCACTCCGTGCCAGTCATTCTGTCCGTTCTGTGTGATTATTTGTGATTTGTCGTGTAAATAGGAGTATGCCTATTAACATATCGATTTGTATAGTAATATATTTTGAGTTTGAGTTTGAGATCGAGTCGAGGAGAATTTGAGTTTTTTACCAAATCACTGAACCGAAAAACAAAAGCACCAACCACGCCCAACCCCGCCCCCCGAGATCTTATGTATTAATGCCTAGTTATTTAGCGCTACATAGATACGATTTAGAATGCGAGAGTAGAGCTCGAACTTTCGTTTGATTTCCGGGGATTTCCTGGATTGGGTTCCTTTATTAACTGTGATCTCTGATCTCTGATTTGATCGCTCTTCAGTTAACTTGTTTTCTACCGTCTCGACTGACTTTCCAAAGCTTGGAAGAAAAGCACGAAACCGAACTGCCCAAGGCAAAAAGCAATGTGTAAATTAAATAATCTATAAATAAGCAGATGAAAGGTTGATAGCAACTAAACCCAAAGACTGAGGCAAGCACAAAAAATAATAATGAAACCAGAGAAAAACAAATCGAAAAACGAGAGTCAAAGCAAAGAATACAAAAAAAAAAAAAGCAAATAATTCTTAGTTCGTTAAGGCAACTGTGATAAGGCGACCAAACCCCACGCCAAAAAACCCTCAACCCAGCAAAAACCCCCAACCCAAGCCACCCACCCCCCCAAAAAAAAAAAAAAAAAAAAAAAAAACAATATATAATATACATATAAAATATGGAATAAATAACCCCCCGAGAGACTTAAGTGCGACTTGTCTAGCTGTAAGCCGATCATTTCTGAATTATGTGTTGTTTTCTACTGTGTCTAGTGTTTTTGTGTTTTAACTAAAAACTGAAAAAGTGTTCTAAAACAAATCTCTATTAGGCCAAGTGGTAATGAAGCTCTTTTAGCCCTATATACCGCTAATGGACATTTGTGAAGAAATCTTTTCGAGCAAACACAAAAACACATGGTACACAAGCCAGTGTTAAATGCATATTCATTTCGGAACTCACCAATTGGGTGCGATTTCCTGGAGGCCAGCGTGCTGCCAGGTGGTCCGGAGCTGTTCCAGCAGAAAGGACACGGGCATCCCATGGATGTTGCCCGACTGCGAGGTGCTGTGCAGATTGATGTCCGCATGTGCGTCGATCCACACCAGCGACAAATTCGGCGTGTGTTGCAGGTGTCCGGCCACAGATCCTGCAAGATGCAATCGCTTTTGGATTCCGCAGCAGGACAGCAGGATAGCAGGGGAGCAGGACGAAGGATATGGATATGGATATGGATTGGGGAGACTCACCGAAACCGATCGCATGATCACCGCCAATGGCCAGGAACTGCGAGTTCTCCGCCAGCATCAGTTTCACCTGCTCGATCAGTGCCCGATTGCAGGCCATGAAGTCGGCGTAGTTCCGAATGTGATGGTAGTGCACCCGCTGCTGCTGAAGCAGGGGCTCGTCCACGGCGTACTGCAGATTTCCGTAGTCCCGTATTACCAAGCCATCTGGGCAATAAATCCATTTATTTACACACGAATATTCAAGGTCTTTTATTGCTGGGATTTGAGGTCTTTGAGACAAAGCTTCTAATTGAAACATCCCCCAAAACTCTTTATGAAAAAAAACCCATTTCCATTGGCCGTTTTTTTACTATTAAACATTTAAAAATCCAATTATCTTCTGTATCAATTAATAATCAAATCCATTCTTATTTTTTTATAAATTAAAAACCGATTATCTAGTGGATCAAATATACATAAATCCTCTGAAAATGTACATTATACGATCGTTGAGAAATTCCTTTTTTGCTTTAAGCCCTGTCTGATGTAATCCACATATATGATTTTGAATGGAATGATTAAGAGCACTATATAGTTTCCAGAGTTGAGAGAATATATTTTTATAAATCAAGTATTAATTGTCAAATCTTTTGGTTATAATATTACTTTTTGATGACCAAGGCAAGAGCGTTTTTTCCGTATTTTAAATTTCTTAAATTGTTCGTATTTGTATTTCGTATCGAATGAACAGACATCTCACTCACCATGACTGCTCTGGAGCACCTGGCGCAGACTGCTCTGCCGGAGGAGATCCGGCGCCAGTTCCACGCCCTGTTTGCCCTGCCCCTTGGCGAAGGGCACTCCGATGATGCCCAGAGTCTGCTCCGGTTCTTTGGAGGCGCCAGTGTTGGTAGCAGTGCCAGGGGTTGTGCTCTTTCCCCGATGGAGGCGGAGACACCTTGTGGCTAACTTACGGCTCCACCACATGCTGAATTGACTCTGTTCGCTACGCTGAAAGATCCACAACTGAGTGACAATACAACGACATCGACAACTTGGGAACGACAACGACAACTTGAGAACGACAACTTGAGAACGACAACGACAACTATCTCTTGGGCTCTGGACCCCCTGATAAAGCTGGTGCGACAGTTCAGCTCAGATCGGTGGACATTGTAGTGGCTGCTGTGTGGCCATATAACAGTGCGAGAGCCGCTGGATGGGCGATAAGGCGGCTATCGCCAGATGACCTTGATCCTGGCTCTGACGACAACAGCGACGATGGCCAAAGCGTCACTCTCCACAAAGGCAAAGGCCCGATTTGGCTGGGTTAATAGATGCCAACCTTTGCACATACAGTTCAATTATTACATTTAAACATGAAGTAATTTTCAAATATTAAAAGAATTTAAAAAAAAAATAAATACAATGCGGAGTTAAGAAAATACAATTAAGGTAATACAACTGAAACTCCAACAAAAAATAAACAAAAATGCCTAAACTCGATTTTTTGTTCCATTTTCTATAAATTGAAATTCATTTTTTCGTTTGATTTTAATTTGTATTACCTTTGAGTTTAGATGTAAAACAACTACATCAAATAAATACAAAGCGGAGTATTTTTTCTCTGTGCACTGTGTATTTTTGCACTGAGGAAACATCCATGTGATTCATCTGATCAGGAAGCTCGAAGATGAACTCGTCCAGTTTGAGATTACACCTCCGCAGAGCTACTTTACGCTGATTTCAGTTCGTAGTTTTTTAGGTACATTATTATTTTATTCAGATAATTGCTTACATTGATATAATTGCCATATTTGTGGATATGTATACGATATATGTATATATATAGTATGTATATTTATATAAGTAAATGCTGCACCTCGTGAAATATAACTTATTTCCTTCTTTTTTCATTTTCACTTTCATTTTCTAAGTTTTTGTCTTTATGTGCTCTATAAAGTTAAAATCGTGCAGTACGTTTGTTTTTTTTTTTTTTTTTTATCATTTTTGTAGTGTATATTTGTATTTTATAAAGTAGGCGTTTCCAAGAAAATATTACATAGCTGTTAACTGGTTATGTTTTGATTTGTTATTGTTTTATCATAGCTGTTTTTGAAAAATGTTAATTTGAAATCCAGATGGATTGATTTGCCAGATTTACATATGCATACGGAGAGTTCAAGTTTATGACGCTATATATAACAACGATATTGATTTATTTAAAGCCAACCAATTGCCCGATAATAGTTTGATTTAATTAAATAAGATTTGATAAATTATTAAGTACTAAGATTCAAAAATGTAAAGCTGTCCTTATTATATTTAATAGCAATATCCTTTAATTACTAAGGCGTTTTTGAGCAATTCAAAATTTGTGTAGACACTTGCCAGTAAAATATATATAAGTTAAATGAAGTATTCACATTGAAAAGGATTTATTTCGATGTCCAAATTTTTAATCAAGTTATATATAACGAACTCAAACCACGATTTATGCATTTGGCTGGGAGTTTTTTTTTTTTTAGTAGAGCATTGAAAGGGTCTTTAATGTACAACTACTTCGCAAGATTCATGTCTTTCATCTTTCATCATTAATCTTTCATCATTCTTTTCACATATTTTGTTGTCTTGTGTTTTTTGCTAGAGTTGCAAGGCTCTCAGTCTTAAGTTAAGTTACACTAACGCTTGGCTGGACAGATATACATGTTTATAATCGCTATTTAAACGGGCTATAAGGGCATGGAAGAGAGATTCGCCGAGTGGGTTGGTTTGGTTGGAGGTCGGAGGTTGGAGCACAACATTCTCTATTTAAAGCTGACGATTGTGATGCAGTTTAGGTGCAAGATTCACTAACATTAAAGCGCAGGCGTAAATCGTATCATTGTACATCGAATAATTAAGTTACATTTAAGGAGTATATATATTACACAAAAATTAAAAACAAAAATAAAAAAAAAATAAGAGGGGAGGGAAGGGAAGGGTAGAGCAATGCCTTGCGTTGGTTTCTCTTGAAAACGTTTTGAATCACAGTTATGTTGTGTGTGGTTGTCGTGTGGTTGCAGTGGATCTTGGATCTTGGATCGAATAAGTTAAGACGAGACAGTTGATCAGTAGATCAACTCTAATGCCGGCGCTTGTTGCCGGGATTATGCAGCATCACTATCTCGTCACCACTGTCGTCGGCCACATCCAGTTCCGGCTCCATGTGCGGCCCATCGTCGTCCTCGTCGTCCGTGTGCAGGATGCGCTCCAGTTGCTCCTCGTCGAAGTACGGCTGTATGGTCATGCCGCCTGCGAAAAAACATAAAACATAAAGAGTTATTAGCAAGGCAGCTGGAAAAGTATTCCTTCCCATTTGGCCCAACTCACGTTTAATGGGTGAACGGAAGAGTTCCGTCTCCCCATCGTCGCCCGCCTCATCGTCCTCCAGATCGAACTGCTCCTTGCCCTTTTGCGTGAGCAGCGAGAAGTTGTAGTACGGCTTGTTACCCCGATGGCGTCGATAGAACCAAAACTGGGCGCACAGCACACAGACGACGACGCCCACAATGATCAGTATGCTGGCGAACAGGATGAACAGCAGGCGTGGCAGTCCGAAGACATGCTCGTTGATCTTCAGGTGAAAGACCACATTCTCGGTGGCCAGGCCACCCTGGATCAGATGCATTTGCCGTGTGGCCTCCACATGGCGCGGTGCCTCCACCTTGAGGACAACAGTGCCCAGTGGCACCGCCGATATGTGATACTGTCCCAGACTGTTGGTGAAGTTCCTCAGCTGCGTCTGTCCCACCACAGAGACCTTGGCATTCCGCACCGGATGATTGCTCTCGTCCAGCACCATGCCGGCAATGCTGGTGGTGCTGCCGCCATTGGCCTTGCTCGCCAGCTCCACCACCTCGCCGCGAATCAGCGTGAATGGATGCAACCGTATGGTGCCCAAGTCCGTGATCTTGCCCTCTTCGATGTTCGCCCGGATCACCTGTGACTCGTAGTTGGGTGCGGTCACCTCCAGGCCGTAGAGACCATGGGGCAGCATCAATTGGAAGCGCGCAGCGTTCTTCGTTACATTGATGATACGTTGGTGCTCCAGCAGACGGACAAAGGACTCCCGCAGCGGTTGTCCCTTGTCGTTCTGCACCAGGCCACTCACTCCGGTCCTCACCAGAGCCAGGAAGTTCTTGATCTTGTCGATGTTCTTGCGCCACACGGAGGCAATCTGCTTGTGGTGCGGCATGCGGCAACAGGAGATGCCCAGGGTGAAGACGGGCAGGTCGTACATACGGTACATCAGGTTGGTCAAACGTTCCGTCGTCTCACGGTGCGCCTGCCTCGTGGCGGATGCGGGACACTGAAGCGGCGAGTAGTTGAACTCGGTGCGCTGCATTCCATGGGCAAACTTCTCCAGCACCGAGTCGCCCCTGGGATAGCTCAGCTCGGAGCTACCGGCTCCGAAGGTGAGCATCAAGTCAAAGTGTTCGCTACGCAGGAACTGTAGGAACATGTCCTTGGCCAGATCTGTCTCGGGATTAAGGATGCGCTCGGCCAGCTCATCGCCCAGCACGGGATCGCAAATGGAGGAGCTATTTATAAGGTTATAAGGCAATAAGGTTATAACGATCCCTATGGCTATACGTTTGGTGTTAACTCACTTGACATTGTACATGGCAAAGACATCCGGGAACTTGTTGGTCTGTGGCAGGAAGTAGATAACGCTGTGCTTTAGCAGATCGACCACAGAGGCATCCTGCAGCTTGAAACCCTCGACGAGGTGACGCACCAGGTTGAGCACAATTTCCCTGCCCAGCGGAGCAGCTGTGTCGTACAGGGAACTCACCACCAGCAGCTTGTACTTGTGCTCCTCGGGTTCACCAATCTGTAAGTGGTTACAAATCATTGGGCTAAGAGATTACTAGTTCTACAAATAAAACTGCATTTCACACCCACGTCAGAGGTCATCTTGAGGTAGTTGAAATATGTGCTAAACTCATTGTCCGCATAGCCAAAGCTGGCAATCTGTCCATTCTGGTTCTCCAGCTCCGCCAGACGTGCACGAATCTCCGGATTGGTGTGATATCGCGTGTTCACAACGTTCTCGATTATCCGAAAGTCATTCGCCGAGGCCCAGTGCTGCGGATCATCGGGCATGAGGGTGACATCCATGCGCATCGCAAAGGGCTCGCTATCGGGCACCTCCACTTCCACCCGCAGCGGGGCATAGTTGTCGCCCAGAACGGTGAGATTGTGTCGACCGGGCAGCGCCAGTTTCCAATAGTCGCCAAAGGTTTGGCTGTAGCTCGAGTGATTGGCCCCGTCCAACCGGACGACGGCTCCAGCGATCGGTGTGCCAATGGTGCTGTGCACAAACCCATGGATGCCATGATGCACCTGCTCGATGAACTGCAGCAGTGCCTCCCGATGATCCTGCCAGTAGCGCGGCAGTTCGGCGGCCATCGGGTACTTATCGCAGCCCATCTCGATGGTTAGCTCCAGGCATCGGGCCCTCACATAGTTCCAGTCCTGCATTCCACCCGTGACACTGTACCACTGGGCCCCGTTGGTGATGCCATCGGCGAAGAACTCGTTGCGGAAGAGCTCACACGGCTGGCCCAAGTGCATGGTTGGGTGTGCCCTGGCATAGATCCCGGCCAGATGTCGGAACAGCGCATTATCCTCCGTGGGATTGGCCTTGCGTCCATTGATACTGGAGTTCCTTTGCCGCATATGCGGTTCGTTGAAGTCGTTCTCGTTATCATCGTACGGATAGTTGGCCACCAGGGAGCCACCATGGAGATTGGCGGACAGAACGAATGGCAGCGACAGCGTCCAGTTCATCAGGGCGGCCACCTCGGGCTCCGTTACCTTATTGTACCTATCCGTGCCATATTGATCCGGGAAATTCCGGTTCAAGTCAATGCCATGGGCATTCGCCCGTCCCACGCCACCGGTTCGATCGCCCTCCACGGATATCTCATAGCCATCGGGATTCATGCTGTACAGGAAGTGCATGCGGGTGCCGTTGATCAATTTGGTTATCCTGTCATCGTTGCCATAGCGTTCCAGCATGTACTTGGTGAGGAGCAGGAGCAGCTCCTTGCCCACCACCTCGTTGCCGTGCATGTTGGCCACATATTTGAATTCCGGCACGCCCGGTACATGGGTGCCCGGCGTGGCAAAGATCTCCAGCACCCAGAGATCTCGCCCCTGGACACTCTTGCCAATGCTGTAGAGACGGGTGAGCGATGGATAACTGGCGGAGATCTCCCTCAGGTAGCTGGCAAATCAAACAAATATAGAGTTAAATGGATTGTAGTTCGGAAAATGTAATTATAATAACAAAGGCGGGCCACATAAATGTAATTTGATTCGGATTTTGTGTTCTTTTTTGGTAATATAAATAAATATATATTTATAGGTATAGTATGAGAATTAAATGATTTTGTATTCATTTCCGGCAATTTAAGTCCTGCATAAACAGATATAACTATTTAGGTTCAATCTGTTAATAGTTTGCAGTTACACTGCAAATGTCTTTTACATTCATATAACTATACCTTCAAAAAAAATATTAAACAAGGTAATTTGTACCATTTTATCTGTAACTTTGTGCCTATTGATCAAGCATATACAGTTTTGAATAAGAGAAATTATTTTAAATATTATAAATTTTAAAGTACGTTGACATGATTTGACAAATAAAAAACATTTTAACGAAAACGTTTTCTTTTTAAATATAATAAAATATCTGGCTTATGGTGATTTTCAATTAGAGTAGTGCGAATATATACAACATATGTTGCGTTTCTTTGAACTACCCAAGTTTCCTGTTTCATATTACCAAAAAGGTGAGAAATTTTGATGGAAGCTGCAGTTCTTACCTCTCCATGGCCGTAAAGTTGTGGTGTTCGAACTTCGTGGGGGTCAGGAATCCATCGAACTGCTCCTTGCGCTTCTCTGGCGGCTCCGAGCGTTCCACCTTTACCTTCCGGAAGTTGCCTGCGTGGAGGGGAGAGCGGAAACGGAAATGGGTGAGGAAGTTGTGTGTGTGTGTAATCATGCCAGTTTTTCAAAGGGGTGCCACATGCGGGTGCCTGGTGAAATCGGGATGAGGATTGGATGCAGTGCGTCTAAGATTCAGAGGCGGAGTAAGCTAGAATCAGCAGCAGAATCACAAGCACAAGCAGATGCACAAATATCGGTTGTTTATTTTGCTATAATTTCATAGTTCACATTTATTTGAGATAAAATCCAAGAAAAATGCCAAAGAAAATGCTTGACTCTTGTACGATTAAGTGCCATACATACATACATATATATATATATATATATACATATATAAAACATATCAATTTTAAAATCTAGAAATATAGTTTAACTTTTGGCACACACGCTTTTCATTGGTTGTGATTTTTAGGTACTTAGTGGAATATACAATTAAAGTTTCTTTAGATTTGACATGACATTTCTCGGACACGCCCCCAATTTTGAAACGATCGTAAGGCAAAGGATATATACAAATATATGAGGCCAGCGAAAGAGACTAAAGAAAAAGAAGAATAGGAGATAAAAATAAAAATAATATTAACATAAAATAAGCAATTAAGAAAAAAAATATAACTTAAAAAAAACCATCGAAAACTTGAAATCTATGGTAAAGTAATGATGAAGAAATACTTTAAAAACCAATTTAAAAAAATCCATTTTCAAAAACACAAAAAAATGCGGTGAAAACTTAACAATCTTGGGGTATTGCATGAATATATGTGGTGAAAATCTTTAAAAAAAATTCAAACAAAATTAAAAAAAATCAATAAAAATAATGAACCATGGGTGAAAATAAAACGCAGCAAGCGAAAACATAATTTTATTGAACCCTAAGCAAAGGATTTATGGTACCCCTTAATACTTTTAGGCCATTCCATCATTGTTCATTCGATTTCATCCAGGTCATCGTCAACATCGTACATACATATATTTTAAAAGTCAAACATGTGAGCATGTGTGCTACATAAATAGTCGGATCGTAATTGATAATAATTTCACTTTACTTTCAAAGGTTAGAAATGCTCAACAATCGTTTCTGATAGGATTGAACCATATGGTTTGCATACAATCTATATCGATAGTGATAATATATAGAGCAGTATATGTATATAGTGGATATATATGCGTGTGTTCATCATAGGTTTTTGCTCATCGTTGCTAAAATGCTCCAAAATACTGGGGTGGGGGAGATAATGGGAAGGGAGATCAAGCAAACACCGCTTCGTTATTGATTTTTGTATCTTTTGTTCGTGTAGGTCATTCGATGACCTCAAGTGGGCTGATTTCTTTATAAGTTCCTAAGTACATTTCGCTTATTCGATTATTGTATTTTATTTCGTTATTTGGTTTGGTATTTGTTCGTGTTCGTTTTCTATCCGTTCTCTATGTACAAATCAAACATTTTTTCGCTTAGTGAGTGCGTGACAGAGACAGATAAAATGGGTTCGTGAGAGAAAGAGAGAGAGAGATAGCTAACATAAGGTGGCAGTAAAGCAGAAAAAAACCGCTAAGAACTCAGGAGATTCCAAAGTGAAAGTGAATGGGAATGCAACATAAATGTATACAAAAGAGATTAACGAAACATTAAGGTATACAAAAAAATAGATCAAACATATATGTATATATATAAAACAGATTCGAGGGAATCCAAAACCGATACGCTCCCATAAGAAAGCCAAACATTTTATATTTCTAAGCTGCTCTCACGGGAAACGAATCTAGTTATGGATGACAGGGGGTAAGGTAAATGAACATGTCAATGGCATAAAGATCGAAATCGGGATCAGGATCGGGAAATGACGGAGGTAACAGATATAGTACAAGGTATGTGCGGAGTGAGCAGGAGGAGCAGGCCAACTAGGTGCAGGTCATGGCATGGCTATGTGTGTGTTTTTTTTTTTTGTTTTCTAGCTGGCGACTAAAATATATATGCGCATATATATATGTATATCCGTTGCAGCCCTCTCTAGAAATAATAGGGACTGTATAAACTGCTAATACCATCAAAGTTCGTCTCGACGGGCGTCAGCTTGAAGTCCAGGCGCACGGCCTCCTGGTTATCGTTGGTCACCTCGACTTTCTGGGGGGCACTAGCCTGGTAACTGTATTTTGTGGGGGCGAGAAATAAATACCACATTAGCAAGGCTTTGGGGCCACATAGAAATCGAACCAAGAACCCACCCAAAAGCGGCAGCATGCACACTATAGATTCCCGGAGTCAACAGCCTCCAGTATTCGCCACGTTTCGAGGTGCGCACAGGTTTTTCCTCCAGTCCGGTCACATAGATATTGGCATCGGCAATTGGGAAATCACTGGCATCCTTCACCAGACCCTTGATCCCAATATGCGCCTGGCGCAGCAACTGCAGCAGCGATCGCTTGTTACGCTGCCATTCTTGGGGCAAAGTGCTGGCCACCGGATATTTGCAGCATGACAACTCGATGGTCAGTTCGAAACAGTTGCTAAACGCGTAGTTGAAGTCCTGCATTCCACCGGATAACTCGTACCAGTTGGCTCCGTTGGTGATACCGCCTGCGAAGCTATCGTTGCAGTTGTTTCCCCTGCTCATAATCGGATGGTTGTCCGAATAGGTGTGGGCCAACTGCTTGAAGACACGATCATCCGGGGTCAAACTCTCCTCACAGCACTCGTTGTGGGCCCTGCAAATTGGGATAATGAATTAGTTGTATTCTTAATTAGGGATATTCCGTTGCAAATGCAAAACCTACAAGGAGTTGTCGTATGGATAGCTGGTAACAACGGCTCCACCGTGGAAATTAGCAGAGAGCACAAAGGGTTTGCTAATGATCCAGTTGACCAGGGCCGCTGTTTCCGGTTGGCGGGATTGGGCGCGCAACTGGTGGACATGACTCTGTTCCAGGCGATCGGGAAAATCGCGATTCAAATCGATATTGGCGGCATTGCCTCGTCCCACATAATTGGGCAGCGATTCGCAGTTGCCCTCCTGCAATAAAAATAAATATTATTCAGAATAGAAATTAAAAACATTCGGTTTTTTTATTAGGTAATTGATTGCCAGTATCAGTATTAGTATTTAATGTATTGAGCTTAAAAAGAAGAATTTAAAATCTGAATTAGAATTTTGAGGAGATCTTAGTATTTCTTTGTGCTCACTAATTGAACAAATTTCTGGAGAAAAAATTTGGATAACAGATGTTCAAGAGCATTGTTATCATAAAAACGTTTCATTATTTATATATTTATTTTCCAGATGATGGCAGTGGATGATGGAAATACCCATCTGTTTTAGGCAAAAGTTAAAAGTTTCTCTTTTGGTCTTTCACTCTGTTATGGGCTGATTGGCATGCAGGTCAGTCCTGACCGGAATTGACCATTTAGCATGGCAGTCAGGTGTCAAGCGAGTGATTACACCATAACAATCGCGGCGCAAGAAAGGGCCCCCGATCGATATTCGATTATAATATTGTGCAATGGAGCAGACAAAACAGAATGCATTGCTTTCCCCCCTTTTTTTTCTGAAAAGTCGGAACAGCAATCAATCAGTCAACGCAATATATATTGGCCATGGACAACAGAAAGTGTAAAACATTACAATAAATTCAGATGGCTCAACAAAAGGAGATATTTTTTACCCCGCGAATAGAGTACAGACCATCATTGCATAATCAACAAATTACACCATTATAGGGCCAGCTTAAATGGATCATGTCATCATTATAGCCACAATGGTCACGCTACCGATCGGATGCTCACTTGGGAAAACATAAAAAAGGCAGTCGTGGGATAAAGCAACAAAAGAGCAAACGGTGCAAAAAATTCTCTCTCGACAAAGTGACGAATGAGTGCAATTGGAAGCCAAGTAGTAAATCGAAAGATCTTTGTTTAAAGCATTATAATTGTAATGAATCATGGGAATTTTGGAGATTGCTTACGCCAATACTTTAAATAAACTTTTACTTTTCAAAATTGTATTATTCAATTTATACCTTTTTTTTTTGACTTTCGGGTTCCTAGAAATGTGGAAAAGACCACTTAAATATACATATATATACAAATTATATATAGAGTTGCTTGAAATTGGGTTATATATTAATCATAGATTATTTTCCGAGTAGTAATATGCACGTATTTGTGTGCATATTGCTTATCAATTGGAAATACCAGCAAATAGCATCGGCCAGATCGTATTAATCTGACCTTTGGGGCTGTGGCAACAACAAAGTCACATTGTGTGAGAGAGAGAGAGAGAGAGAGAGATTATAATAATTGTATGTGCTTACTCCACATTAGACACGATTCAAGAAGTTAATGATAAACAAACGAGCAGAGCCTAAGAAACCAGGTGTATTAGTGGGCAATATGTCAACATTCTCAATGGTGCTGTGCAAGGGAAAGAGCACCAGAGTTTGGCCTAACGCAATTTACTTAAGAGTGCGAGTGCCAAGTTTTGGGAGAAACAAACAAGTTGTTATTTGCTATTTACACTGTGTTGTGTTCATGATTCAGTGATTTGTGTTAACCGAAATTGTTTCCTACGCAAATGTTTTTTATACCTGCTAATGATAAAAATGTGTACCATTTCTATCAACACTAGGTTTCATAAAAATTTGTTAAGATAGCATATTAACGCGTAACGCCTTCTTTTTTTTAAATCAAACGGCGAAGGTGAAGAAAATGAGTGTTCTTTGGGGTAAAAAAAAACACTTTTTTATATAGCCTTTTTGAATAATGGACTGATCGATTAGATATAGTATGTAACGAACAGTACGATGGTTCTATAAGTATACATCTATACATCTGTTCTGCTGCAAGTATACTTTATGTGACGTCGATTGTATACTCATAGAAGTTTAACTGTTTGTTATTATACTTGTTTAAGAAAATCCCTTGTTGGCAGTGGCGTAGCCTTCCAGACTCCTTGTGGATTCTGCTGCCCCACACTCTATGTTTTCTACGAGTCAAAAGTTTCCAGTTTTCCATCCGCAGCTCCCACTTTGGTCCTTGGTGTTCCCGAAAGCCCAACTAATCTCTCCACTGTTCCCGAAACACACACAACAGGAGCACCCGCTCGCACTCCCCAGAAAACCATGTACAGTGTTACCGCCTCTCACTTATTGATTTTTCAAAGCCTGATAAAACAAAACATGCGCCCCAACAGGTGAACCCGGGATCTGCAGGCGATTAATTCTTTACCTGGGACAACGCATAACCATCTGGATTCATGGTGGGCATCAGATAGATGTCCGTGCTGTTGACCAGCTGGCCCAGTTCGATGACCCGTTCGTAGTTTCCGAGCAGATACTGGGCCAAATAGACAAGGAGCTGCCTGCCCACAGTCTCATCGCCGTGCATATTGGCAATGTATTTAACGGGTGGAGTCAGAAGATTCCGCGACCTGGTGTTCCTTGAGATTTGCAGGGCGAGCAGATTTCTGCCCTCCAACGAACGGCCCAAGTAGTGAACTCTGGCCTGCTCCGGATAGGCCTTCTCTAGGCCGGCAAACAGATCCTCCAGCTGCTCCTGGCTGGTATAATGCGGGTCCTGCAAGAAGGACTCGTCCTCCTTGATGATATAGCCACTGCAGGTGGAAATGGCCAACAGAAGGGCGATGAATAGGGCACCCAGAGCCATCATCTTGTCGTGACTGGCAATCTTTTCGACTTCGAGATGGTGTTGTTTTTATCACTGGCGTGCGAATTGAGCGAGATACAGTTATTTTCTTCCAGCAGCTACTCCTCCGCTCTCGCTCGCTCGCTCGCTCGCTCTCTTTGTTAGTCCGTCGGACGTCCGTTCGTCGTGGGTCGTCGTTGCAGCTCAGGCTCGAAAAATCAACTGTTTGAAAATTTGCTGCGTTGATTGGCCTTAAGCGCCCATTCGCCCGCCGCCTCTGCCGCTGCCGCTGCCACTGCCACAGTCGACGGCGCACAGTGGGGCGGGACACACACCCAAAAAAAAAAGCCCATGACTAATTCTGACGCCGACTTTTTGAATTGATAAAACTTATTTAAAAACACACAATCCAAAAGCCTTAGTTCTGAGTAAGTAAATAGAGAACACGTCACAAAGTAAATATTGGGAATCATTTAAATATTAGGCATCACGCATAAACCAAATAATATAATTAACTATTATTAAATATCTTGTTGCTGTTTGGTAAGTCAAAAAGTTATAAATTTGCACATTTATTGATCTAATAAATTATAAAGAATTTTAATTTTTGACCCTTTTGGGATCTTTGACCCCACTGTGCTCCGTTCCAAGAGAGCAGCCCCAAAAGCCAAAAGAGAGGCGCTAATTGTAGGGAAATTACACGCCGGAGCGAACGTCAAAGCCAACTAAAACCCCCGGTGATGGAAAAGCTTTACTTCACCGTATTGTTTCGGGTGCCACGGATTAATAGTTTATAGTTTATTTAGGTGCTTTTAATTATGTTATTATTACCGGAAGGGGGAGTTGCCAGACCCAAAAAGTGGGGCGCCTGCGCAAGTGTGGGTAGGAGACAGACAGAGAGACAGAGAGAGCCACACAACGCACGTCAACAGGATATTTTTACACGAAAATCGATAACTCCACTCCCACGCCGTGACGTCACAGACAACCCATCCTGCGTGGGTTCAAAAAGGCCTCACACACACAGAGCCACGTTTGTATATTTACGTGACAACGTGTTGGTGCTGTCTTATCGATAAACAAAATAAATTGGCACATTCACAATTGAGAGCGGCAAATCGCTATTATCAGAGAATACGGGCATATGGCCACTTTCAGCCCCTCCCCTCCCCTCCCACTTCCAGCCGTCATTTCCATTGATTAACTGCGGGTGGCAATACAAAGACAAAAAACTTAGCTCCGATCTGCTTATTGGAAAGCTGTTCATTGGAAGAGAGGGGGCTAAGTGGAGAGAGTGGTGTTATATTGGAATGCACTTCCTTAAGGAACTGCGGTTTTTCAAAGTGGGGAGGTTGATACGAATTGTGTATACCCTACCATGTGTCTGTATCATATGCATTTTGCAACCAAACATGAAAATAGATAGTACTTATTGTTTTAACATTATTTTTTAAATATTCATTAATAAATTTTTCCCTAAACAAGTAATATCTGCATAATATTAGGAAATTTATACCCTTAATTCTAGAACCCCATTAAAGAGCTCGGTCTGATAAAAATTTAAATATAAATAACATGAGTTACACGTCTTTGGTAGTCAACTGATTTTCAACGTGTCTGCATACCTGATTTATATAATCTGCATTATGTTAACCGAGCGAACAGCTGTTGATTGGCAAGTGCACTCCGGCAAAAATAAAGACTGTGAAGGCGCGCGTGTGCAGCGGAAATTGGCAACTTTGTAGCGCTCTTAACTCTCGGTAGCGAAACCCCATCAACAACAACAAACCGGTTGCGAATAAAGTGTCTCAATTGCAGTAAAATAATGTGAGTAAAGTGAACCGCGCGAACACGAACGTCATCGGGGGTTTACTTCTGTTGCTGTTATTGTTATTGTTGTGACATCTAACCAGTTTCTTGTAAAGTAATTGCCATTTGCACCCGCTCAATGTGCCACCCCCTGTAGTCAGAAATTTTGCGCTGCCGCTGTTGCAATTGCGAAATCATGACGTCAGCCGGTCGTTTTAGCGAACCGACAAACTATGTTTACTTTATCACCAGATTATTGGAGAGGCCATAAAACTGTCACCACTCACGCCCGCACATAGCGAAAACAGCAAAAGATTTAGCACCACCATATTCTTGGATTAAACACAGTTCTTTTCTGAACCAAATAAGCGCATTTTAGATAGTGTATCAGAGGATAACAATTTAAATATATGTATGTATCATTAAGCAAACAAATAATAGTTAAACTAATTTTCTTAGTTTATTTTCTCCCAGTGCATGTCGCATTTAACGGCCTGTAAAGTTTGTTTACCAACATTTTAATCTAATCCAAGTAAGAAATTGTCCATTGAAGTGTTAAAAAGCGGAGGCGAAGAATGTCATTAATAATATTTGTTGGCTTAACTAGGAATGGCATTTGGAATGCAACTCAAATGCTTTATTTAAACAGCATTTTTATCTTGGTCGTTTCAGCCATTAATGCCCATGTGCAGTATACATTTGTCATTTAGGCAAATAAAAAAACCAGGCAAAATCCACACAGATCTCTGGCAATTAAAACGCTGATAAGGAAAAATGCCCGTTTAATTGTTGCTATTTTTGCTCTGTTTTTGCTCACTGAAATTAAACTCATTACCTTGCAAGTGTGTTAAGGTTGCCATTTGATTGAACTCGTATATCATAAGATAAATCTCAATAAAATGTTGCTGGGATAAGGCAAGTTAATGGAAATTATAAAACTACAAAAAGCCTTCTCATTAATTTTAAATACGCTATAATCAGGAGTACATATATTCCGACGCAAAGACCATGGTGTGATCTTTAAATAAAAGATAAGGCAATACATTCCTGTTTGAAGAAATATGTATTATTACTTAATCTTAATGATTCTCGAAGTATAATCTAAATCGGGAAGTATAGCAGGGCATTATCGTCGAACTAATTTTCTTGAAAACAATTTATATATTCTTAAAAATGTTATGAATAATATGGTATAGTTTTTGGTGCCTTTTTATATTTATTAAAGACAAACAAAATGAATATACATTACTGAGAATTCACACTTCTTAAACTTAAATATTTAATTATTTTTCATTGTCATTCAATAAGAAAAAAAATCTATTCAAAACCCAGCATTTTAATCCATTGAAGAGCTCTTGGGATCCATTCAACGAGTAACCATTTGAGGGGCACTCGAATGGCACTTTGCGAAGACATTGAGTGAGAAGATCTAATTATCTAGTACGGTCTGGAGAAATGCATTATTTCACCAAAGATTTGTCGAGTTTAGATGGCAATCTCTACTGCTAATTGACTGATCATTCACTTTGGTTAACCACAAGCCAGAAAAAGTGGGTCAAAACATTCCGATCACACTTTCCGTGTTGATGGGGCATAAGATCTTGTTTTTCTAGAGATTGTAGATTGTATCCACATCTCTATTTTGTTCTTCTCTTTTTCTCTGCAAGCAAAGACCCAGTTCTGACAAAAGCTGAGCAGATTGAATAAGAGAATGGAGAGTAAAGGTGTCTATATAAGCACTGAGAAAAAAAACTGCTTGGGTTTTAACATATGACGAAAATCCTATTATTTATAATAGAAATAAACACTTTGTAAACCAGTTAAATCGACACTTATGAACATAAACATAAATGATAAAACTGTTTTATATTTATATGATGGATCCAACAATTTCACAACGTAAATAAGAAATATTTTAATGGTGATAAATGGAAAACTTTCCCACAAAAATTTGAAGGTACACCACTTCTAAACAAATTGAAATTGGCAAAGTTAAGGGCACTTTGGAACGATTAAAAGCTTAGAAATGTTATTAATTTGTTATTTTTCATTAAAATGCATGGAACAAAAATTAAACATTTTTGTTTAGTACTTTATAATATTAAAATACCTTGTATCTCCTTTTATACACGTATGGATGTTAAAAACAAAATAGATTAAATTATTATCAAGACCAGTTCCAAATAAAAATCCATGATGTTCTTAGAAATGGTTGACAAAATATTTTCAAATGTATTCAAACAAGAGTTTTTATACTTTTACCTTACCCTTATATCCCGTGGGTTTCTACGCAATCAAGTCTAACAGCTTTTAAGGTTTTTTCAGCATCTAAGTACGTAAGTATGTATAGTATGTATATATGTAAGTAAGTCGGAACGGTTTTATTTTTATAATAACCGGACGACTATATAGTTTGTCATCGTTTAAGATAACTTTCGACTTAACTTTGTTAATTTTAAATATATGCGCAAAAAACTCGAGATTAAAATGTTTTTTACTTATTCAAAAACTTATAAAATCACAGAACTTTAAACATTTAGCTGCCTTAGGAATTATCAAAAAAACAAGTGTACTAAAATCGGCATAACTTAACATTTGTATGAGTGTAAAACACAATCCATAAGTTATAGATGAAAGGGGATTGCAGTAGGGTGGGGCACCAAGCAGTCATTTACAATCACTTTTATTTGCGTCGCCAGCTGGTTTCCCCCTTTCTTTCGTTTCATTCGTTTCTTTAGTTTCTTTCCGTCGATTCTTGATTACAGAGAAACCAGACTGGAAAATAAAATCTAGTGACTCACCTGGGCTTTGGCAAATCCATCTGGATTGCAGGTGGGCAGGAAGTGGATCTCGGTTCGATTGAGCAGGTCCTGGACCTCCGTGTCGCCGTCGTAATGGGTGGCCAGATATTCGGCCATATAGAGGACCATCTGACGACCCACCGTTTCATCGCCGCGAATGTTGGCCACCAGCTTTACCATGGGTCTCAGGAGATCTCCATTCTTGGACTCACCAGTGGGTGCACTCAGGGCCAGGGCGTAAATAGGTCTATCCTCCAGGGATTTGCCTATCGTGTAGGTCTGTGCCAAATCGGGATAATCCTTGGCCAACTGAGTGAAGAGTTCTCCGATTTCGTGGTTCTTCAGATAGTGGGGATTCTCCAGGAAGTTATCCATTTCCTGGACCACCTGCACTTCGCTGTATTCCCCGGTTGCGCAGGCCAGGATCAGAACTAGGCAAATACCCCACATTTTAGGGGGTTCTTAGGTGTTTTCGGGGAGTTTTCCGGTTTTTTTTGGACACGTTGGCAGGCGAAAATATAACAAAAACAAAAGGCGCAGGCGCGCCAGCTTTCACAGAAAATTGGTACTAAAAACAGGGGGCAATTTGGTTGGGAAAAATGCCTTAAAACCCACTTTCTTACACTTTCTCAGGCTAAATATTCAATTTTTGCCACAAATGTTGACACGCACACACTCACACACCGCCAACGCTTACACCTACACGGGCACACACACGGGCGCACACAAGTGCCGCAGAATATTTCGCTTTCTTTTTATTGCACCGATTTTATCACAGAATTCTTTTTTCGATAGCCGACGAACCTTTTCACGCTAATTTAAACAGTTGCAAAATCAACTTTCATTTGATCCGCAAAAATGGTAAATAAAAACACAATAAATCACAAACTACTACGCGATCGCAACCGCGAACAGTGTTCATTAACTTCGCAATCAGTATTGGAAACTGCCAGTGGGCTATACGATCGGATAACGCTGCCAGATGGGTTTAAAAAGGGCTGCCAGAAGATTGACAAGTTATCGATAGCTTACAAGTAATTGGCGGCAGATTTGAAATTAATTGTTATAAAAATGCCCCTATTTACATAGTAAACAACTATTTGGGCTTAACTAGTTTTTATTTTCTCTAAATGTCAACAAACAAATCTCCAAAAGTGAAACGAACACAAGAATAACCAAAAACAGGTTGCCATTGTGTGTAGCTTAAATACGTAATGTTGCTTGGTATCATTATTAAAAACGTGTCGTATCAAAAACTAGCTCAAAATACGATTATGTTAAGGCAAATTTTGGAAAAGTGCATCAGACATTCCGGTTCGTCATAAAGTACGCTATTCATCCTACTCTAAAAGTCTGCTTTATATGTTTCTTACACTATGTTGTGTGTTAGAGTTCTTTTGTTATTTATACAAATGTTTAATAAACCGAGTGATAACAAAAATGGTTTAAATATTCTCTGTCTTATTTTGTATCATTTAAACTCTAATCACACAAAACACAGTGTGAAAAACACATTGGTGTGCTTACAATTGGGTGTTTCAAGTTTTGTTTTTCTTTGAGTGTATATATATAAAGTATAGGATCTGATTTCGAGTCTAAATGCTTGGTGTGTGTTTGCGATATATAGTTACACAGTTGATTGCTTCAGATTGGTGTCTATAGTCCCTACTTAACCGCCCCTTTGACACAATTTCCCCTCCATTCGCCGGGGAGGGCAATCAATAAGGTTCATGGATTATTCATATCCCCCTGCCCCGTTAAGGGTTTTTCTGGCTTTTTGCGACCCTTTTGGGAGCTGGCTATCCGCTGTTTTAGTGTATGAAATGTCTGCTGCATGCTGCGCATTTGGTAGCGTATGGAGCTGCTGACGTCACGCTGCAACTGCTGCACCTCGCGAATGTCCTTGCGCAGATTCTGGTACTCGTTGGTCACCTCGCTCATCGACTCGAGCAGCTCGAGGACCTCCATTTCGTCCATCTGCTCCATCGTCGTCTGTTCGAGGCTGCGCTCTACCTCATGGAGTTTGTGGGCCATCGTATAAAGCTGTGAACCGGCATTGGCCACCTTGAAACAGAGAGAAATGGGGTTTATTTTTAAGGATATTGTTCTCCAGAATTTGCGTAAATAAATACCATTTCATTTGATGAATACTTAGTTCACACAATAAATTTAAATGATGTTGCAAGCCAGTGACTTTAAACTGTAATGCCTTTTTATATTATGGTAAAAAAAATTTGTATACCTTATTTGGACAGTATTTTCTATATGTTCTTTTTAGTTCCTATTATAAAAACTTAATAATTTGGACAGACATTTATATTTGTTCTTCCTAGTTCCTTATATTAAATGTTCCTTAACAATATACCCATTCATATTTTATAATATCAAATAATTTGGAAAACAAAAATCCTTTTTATAAGGCCTTAAATGCCGAAAATATTCAGATTTTATAGTCATGTTTCAAATACATATTTCTAAAAATTAGTCTGATGTAAGTTTTTATTTACAACATTTTTAAAATCGGTTTTGTTACTGTATATGGGCTCAGGTTCACTATGCTCTGTTTATCACATTAAATTATAACACTTAGTGTTCGCTTTAGAATTTTGACACCAATATTGCGAATATCAATTTCAAGTACTCTATCCAACGACATTTTAATCACATATAATAATGTAACATGGATTGTGGAAAGTCGCTGCCTATTTTTAGGCGCAAGCACAAAAAAATACTTTCTTTGTTACAATGGCCTGCCCTATAATTGACCCCTTTGGAACGTATCAATTTCTCTCACTGCAATCCAAGGGCCTATACTTGTGTACTGATAAGTGGCTATTCATATAGTGCTGGTCGATTTACATAAACTCACAGATTTTTCCAGAGCGCTGATGTCCTGGTACCCCGTGGTCTCCATCTTTCCTAGAGCTCCTTGACTTTAGCTTCCTGGCATGGCAGTGAGTAGTAAATCAACGTAGTAAACGCAGACTGCGCAAAATATCAAACTTATTTATCGTGGGCCAAGTTTTAGGCGCCTCGGCTGGAGCGCTGACACTCCACTCTAAGCTCTTAAAGCTCTCCAAGCAGAGTGAGCGAGTCCTGCGGGTCGTCCTGCTATTTATATGCTTCTGCACACATATTGGCTTCCGCAACCGCGAGAGAGATATTGAGAGAGAGAGGCAGTGCCGACGCTTTTGTGGCTACTTATAGCCACAGAAAATCCAAACTTTAAAGTTTTGTAATTCTGTAAAAATACAAAAACCACAATATTAAGAGCACCTTTTATAACACGCTGTTGATTAGCTAAACATCTTTAAAAGCTAAAGTGGTTGAAAGTTTTGTAATCACAACTTAAAAACTTATCACACATAAAAAACTTTATTTCTCTAATTCTCGCCTCTTTTGTTATTAAATATATATAAAACAAAACAATCTTTGGATATTTTATAGAGATTGTATACAAAAGACAAAAATTAAATAGTACAGCCATTCTGTATAAATTCGTAAACGTAAAAAAATATACATATTTTACTCTTTGAAAATGTTGTCAAGCCATTGTATTTGAAACTTTATTTTCCGTTTCAGCCATTTTTGTTGTGAAAATGTTGGCATCACTACAGAAGTAGAAGAAAGGAGAGCACCAGCGTCCCATTGAAATTCAAAACAAACACGCTCCCCAAAAAAGAGAAAGCCAGACATTCGTGTGTGGTTCTTTGGATTCCGTTACACGGTGTGTAGGGAAAGTACTTTTAATTATGTTGACCAGGAAGCGGAAGTCCGAGTAAAACTTTGTTTGCGCCGGCGAAAAGCGAAATGGGGAAAGCTTAAACAAAAAAAAAAAAAAAACGACTGAAAGTGTGATTTCAATAGAACAAACGCCTAAAAGTAGGCAGCACTATTTTCATTCACTATCTGATTCGCAAGCGCTTCGGCGTTTTTTAGCCCATTCAGCGGTTCGCGTTTGTTTACCGGTTGCTCAGAAGGGATTTTGAAGAGCATTAAAGATATTCAATTAGGTAATCCTTATTATATCCTATGGTAAATTAATTTACCAACATTAAGTTAACGCCAAAACTTTTAATTTGGTTTGGTGTTAGATACACTTGCACACACGCCGGTTGACACGTGCCATAGCACGTACCTATAGGTACACATATGTACATATATATGTACATTAATGGAAAAATACACAAATACCACTACATTGAATTTTGTATCTCCGCGGGTGTTTATAAATACCCAATAAAAGTTTAGCTTGCCTAGCACCGACAGTTTTATGCGCTTTCCAAACAATAATTTATAAACGAACAATAATTAAATAGGACTCGAAATAAAAGGAAGCAAAATATACAAGAAAGTACAATTTATAACACTCCAACTGCATGAATTAAAAATAAATTGCTTTTGAAATAAATACAGAATTAATAAAATTTATAGAATTTTTTTATTCATTTTATAAACGTATATTTTTAAAAACATACACCAAATGAACTGTTGTGTACTATTTAAAAAAAATCCAAATATATATGTATATATATATATATATATATATATATATATATATATATATATATATATATTTTACTTTACTTTTATGGCTAGCCCATATGCCCTTCCAGCAAGAAATTAGATGGAAAGACAAACACCGCAAAACAAACTCACTCACACACACACACACGCACACAACGAGCCCCCAACGAATAGCAACAATAAAACTGATAACAACAATAACAATAGGAGCACACCAAAAACAACAGCTGCTGCGTCAGGTTCTTAAGGATGTGTACGTGTGAGTGTGGGGCTACGGCTATGGCCATTTGCTATCGTTAAGCACTTTTTGACGTGGTCTTCGCCTCCGTTCTCGTACCGCCCATCCAGTTTTTTGACTCGTATATCAACAATCACACCACCACACCACTATATAGTAGGAATAATACACAGGCCCCCACATTGGCATCGAAAGTCGGCGGCTGCGTTCAGTTCTAGTGGAACCACCGTTTGGAGAGCACGCGATCCCCGCCCCAAAGTCTCTGCTATATATCCCCAAGATGTCCCTAGTGCGTTTGATCGGTGCTGAGGTGAGTTTTTTTTGTCAAAATTAGAGAATTCCTCATTTTATTGTGATTTGCGTGAGTGCATGCAAAAAGTGCATAAGCTATTCCCTTCTCTTTCTATTTGTGGATTAAAAGTCACACTCTCACTTTACTCAATTAAATGGTCAAGTTCTATATATGTGTGTGTGTGTGTGTGTGTGTGTGTGTGTAAGTGGCCGTGAATTCATCAATTGACAAGCCACATGTAAAATGCATTTTATCCGCCCACATCTCTCCCACTTTACTCAATAAAATGGAAAAGTTTTACAAGTGTGGGTGAGAAATCTTCAATTGACAACAACACATGTTACGTAATGTTTCGCTACGAGCAGAAGAATAAGAAGAAGCAAAATTCAGAATAGATAAAGCGAAAACAAAAACAAATGTGGCAGGGGGGACTTAGCGGTTTAATGTTTGAACTGGCGTAAAACCTAATAAAACGCGATAAGCGAAATAATTCCACGCGAAGCGATCCATAAAAACGCATGTCGCCAGATGGACACTGATAACCGTGGGCGTGGCGCACCCCGCGTGTCCGCCTCTCGAGGGTTATCAACATCCAAAAAATAAAACACCTCAGCCCACTAAAAAACGAAATAATCGGGGCGTTGAGGTTAGGATTCCAGGCACTTGCACTTGCCAATTTGCATTGCAAATCAAAGTCAAGGGCAAGAAATTAAGCGCATTAGGGGTACTCAAGTGACTTTTTTCAGGACTAGTGACAAATAAAGAGGTGATTATATACTAAAACTATAACAAATTTTCATCACTGTAAATCATGGCAGATTTATACAGTTTTAAGTTAATTTATTTATTGTTAATATTTAAAGTTTGTTTTCTAAATTATGTTTATATTTCTTCTTTAAAAATTATTTAAGTTTTTTAAAAGCAGTCGATTTTTTGTAAAGTCCACAAATAATTTAAGTTAGCTTTGCAAATATTTTTTTTACTTAGTAAATATAATTTAGTCAGCTAGTTTATGATTTTTAAAAAAAATTTTAAAGTCTATAATTACTAGGCAGAATTTATTTAGTTACCCGGAAATCTAAAGAAGTATAAACCAAATAATTCTTTACCGACATGAACCTCTCTTTCGTCACCAGGCCCGCCATTTGGCCAAGAGGTCCTACTCCTCGGCCGCTCCCACCACCAAGCTGTTCATCGACGGCAAGTTCGTGGAGTCAAAGACGACCGAGTGGATCGATGTGCACGACCCGGCCACCAACCAGGTGGTTACCCGAGTGCCCAAGGCCACCCAGGCGGAGATGCAGACGGCTCTCGAATCGAACAAGAAGGCCTTCCGCTCGTGGAGCAACCAGTCGATCCTCACCCGCCAACAGGTGATGTTCAAGCTGCAGGCGCTGATCAAGGAGAACATGGGCGAGCTGGCCAAGAACATCACCAAGGAGCAGGGCAAGACATTGGCCGATGCCGAGGGCGATGTGCTCCGTGGCCTCCAGGTGGTGGAACACTGCTGCAGCATCCCCTCGCTCCAAATGGGTGAGACGGTGGCGAACGTGGCCAGGGATATGGATACCTACTCACTGGTCATGCCATTGGGTGTGACCGCCGGAGTGGCTCCCTTCAACTTCCCGGCCATGATCCCGCTCTGGATGTTCCCGGTGGCCATTACCACGGGCAACACCATGCTGCTGAAGCCATCGGAACGTGTGCCCGGTGCCACCATGATGCTGATGGAGCTGCTCAACGAGGCCGGCTGCCCGCCGGGTGTGGTCAATGTGATCCATGGCCAGCACGATGCTGTCAACTTCATCTGCGATGCTCCCGAGATCAAGGCCGTGTCCTTTGTGGGCTCCGATCAGGCTGGCAAGTACATTTACGAGCGGGCTGGCAAGAATGGCAAGCGGGTGCAGTCGAATATGGGCGCCAAGAACCATGGCATCGTCCTGGGCGATGCCAACAAGGAGAACACGTTGAACCAGTTGGCCGGAGCCGCCTTCGGAGCTGCCGGTCAGCGATGCATGGCCTTGTCCACGGCTGTCTTTGTGGGCGATGCTCAGGCCTGGATTCCCGATCTCGTGGATCGCGCCCAGAAGCTGAAGGTGAATGCCGGCCATGTGCCCGGAACGGATGTGGGACCCGTCATCAGTGCCGCCTCTCGTCAGCGCATCAACGACCTGATTGAATCCGGTGTCAAGGAGGGAGCCAAGCTCATCCTGGACGGCCGCAAGGTCAGTGTGCCCGGCTACGAGGATGGTTACTTTGTGGGACCCACCATTCTGAGCGATGTGACGCCCAGCATGAAATGCTACACCGAGGAGATCTTTGGCCCTGTGCTGGTCATCCTGAAGGCCGACAATTTGGACGATGCCATTGGTATTGTTAATGCCAATCCCTATGGAAACGGTACCGCCGTGTTCACCACCAATGGTGCGGCTGCCCGTAAGTTCGTCAATGAAATCGATGCCGGCCAGGTGGGCGTGAATGTTCCCATTCCCGTGCCCTTGCCCATGTTCTCCTTTACCGGAACTCGTGGCTCCTTCCGCGGTGACCATCACTTCTATGGCAAGCAGGGCATCAAGTTCTACACCCAGACCAAAACGGTCACCCAATTGTGGCGTGAGACGGATGTTACCCACACCCAGGCGGCCGTGGCCATGCCCACCATGAAGTAAGCGGACATGGAGTAGATCGAAGGAGATTACCTGGAGCACAGCCCAGGTGACTCTTGGGCAGATCCGGACGAGATGTAGCTGTTCCACGTATTGAATTTCTGGATGCTTGCACACAGGACGTATTTAGAAGCTAGATACAAAGAAATTATTGCATTTATTTTTGTGCCTGTTTATTAGATTTAAGAAAGTGTTTAGAGAAAACAAGAGAAGCTTGAAAAAACTGAAATGTAAAACATAAAAATAAAAATATCAAAAACGTAAAATTTGTTTTTTTTTTTTTTTTAACTGACAAACTTTATTAATAAATAAAGGAAAGCCCTTTACTTTTAATAAATAGATTCTTTTTCATTTATAAACTACACGACAATGTTGCTGAACAAGTCGAATATAATTAAATATACAATATAGTTTGTTAAAGCAACTAGTTTTCAAATTAATAAATACAAAAAACTATAATCATTATATTCAGCCCATAAAGCTAAGTGATTGCAATTTAAGATGTAACAAAATTCTGCTCACCTGGTTATCAACATTTTATAGCTTATGTTTCCTGAAAAAAAGACATACTCAATTTCAATCTTTAACAATGGTCAATGGTGTATTTTACAAAGAAATAAAAACATTTGATTTATGAACACAAAGCCGGGTAACAGTCGCACCAGCGGAGCCACCACCAGCCAGCGGTGGGCCCACATCTAATCTAAAGCCGTCTATTCCACCTAATCTAAAATCCCGCACCCACGTCTCCGACTCCAGCCGGATTAATCACGGCCGGCGAATGCCTGGCTGGCCACTAGTTCCCGAAAGACGCCCTCCGTTATGCCCATCAGCTCGTTGTAGCTGCCCTGCTCCACAATCTTTCCGTCGCTCAGCACGGCAATTTGGTCCGCATTCCGGATTGTGCTTAATCGGTGGGCAATGGTCAGCACAGTGCGTCCCTGGACAAGATTGTCCAAAGCGTTCTGCACCAGGTGCTCTGAAACGGCATCCAGCGCGCTGGTGGCTTCGTCTAGGATCAGAATGGCGGGATTCTACAAAGGGTTAATATAGTTAATTAAGTACAAATGAAAAGGCGCCAACCTCATATGGACTTCACCTTAATAAGCGCCCTGGCAATGGCCACTCGTTGTTTCTGTCCGCCACTTAGCATCATTCCCCGCTGGCCGACGAGCGTCTCCAGGCCATCCGGCAGCTGGTCGGTGAACTGGCTGACATTCGCCTCTTCGACGACCCGCTGCAGTTGCTCCTCGCTGGTCTGCTGGCCGGGATTGGCGCCATACAGGATATTCTCCCGGATCGAGCATGAAAAGAGCACCGGCTCTTGACTGACGGCACCGATATTATTCCGCAGCCACTGCGGATTCAACGTACGCAAATCAATGCCATCCAGTTGGACACTGCCACCTTGGGGATCATACAATCGAAGCATGAGCAGGGCTATCGTTGTCTTTCCGGATCCAGAACGACCCACCACGGCCGTGGTTTTCCCCGGCAATAGATTAAGCGAGAAATCGGACAGAACAGCGGCTTCGGGACGAGTGGGAAATGTAAAGTAGACGCTCTGGAAGCCCACTTCGCCCAACGGCTTGTCCACCGGCACAATACCCTTGTCAATGGGTATCGTGCACTCTCTGTCAAGGATTTCCCAAATCCGCTCCGAGGCCCCGATGCCCTTATTCAGCTGGCTGTAGAAGTTCGACAGCCCGTTCATCGAGATCGCCACGTAGCCGGCGTAAAGCATGAAGGCCGTCAAAGCTCCAATGGTCAGAGAGTCTTGTAAAACTAAGGTGCCGCCGTAATACAACACTGATATAATAATAAAGTTGCCACAGAAGCCAGTCTGGAAAATGGAGTTTACATCAATAGACAGATGACTGTAGCCGCAATGCCATTTGATCTTACCAATCCGAAGAAAATAGATCGGGCGCGCGTCTCCTTGTAGCCAATCTGCAGCGCTTCATTCAGTTTGCCATCAAAAGCGGCCACTTCGTGCTGTTCCCGGCTGAAGGTTTTCACCGTCTTCACATTCCCAAAACGCTCCTCCCCGAACTTCATTATCTCCGCGTACTTGTCCAGCTCCCTTTTGGTGATCCGCCGTACATAGCGTCCGTAGACGATGGCCATGCCCGCCATTGCAGGCACCACCAAGGCACTCATGGCCGCCAGCTGAGGAGATGTGTAGATCTGCAAAGGAAATGTCAATAATACTTATCATTTATCATTTATCGTTTATCATAACAATTCCTTCTGTGCACCCACCATCATTCCTGTGCCCACGCCAATCATGGCCAAAGATCGCAGGCCATCGGAGACGTTCTGGCTCAGCGAGATGCCCACCATGTAGGTGTCGTTGCTCAGTCGGTTGATCAGCTCCCCGGTGCCCTTGGTGTCGAACCAGCCAACCTCCTGCATCAGCATGGATCTATACAAGCGGGACCTTAGATTGCGCACTATGCGGAGAGCTGAAAAAGATTATAGCCATAGGGAGTAAACTAACTAACGTATTGACTGTTGAAAATAGTTGTCTTGCCATAAAGGCAAAACCGTATCATATTTCTTTATAATTTTCAGACTAATTTATGGCACTTAATTATTTAGTTTTGTAATTGACGTATTCCTTAAATTAAGGTAAGATTACTTAAAACAGCTTGAAATTTCAAAATTTTACAAACGAATTTTTATTTTCATATTTTTTAAGTTATCTTATCAATAATACGTTCTTAAAGTTTTAAGTCGATCCGAAAGAATTTCGTTGAATGAAATAAATCTTACAAAACCGAATTTCTCGCAATTAAATTTTTAAATCGGTGACCAAAATAATTTCAAAGGGTTTATTTAATAACCAAAAATGTAAGTTTCCCAAAAAGAAATAATTTTTGTTTAGTGAAAATCGGCCAAACAGTTTTTTTTTAATAATCCTTCGATTAAAGACTAGTTTATAGTTCTATTTCACAATTTTTATTTCAAATGATCCAGATTACTTTGGTCTCCGATATGTCAGATATGTTATTTATATCTATTTACTAAGCATATATTTTTCAACATTATTATACAATATATTAAAATACTTGAATTTACTTAAATTAAGTACTTTTAAATAAATATATTTATTAGTTAAAACAATTTATTAGTTTTCGTAAAAAAAAAAATTCCCGAAAACAGCTTAGTTATTTTGCTTGAACTGAAAGACTTGGAAAGTTTCTAAGTACTCCTTGTCAAAACTTGATCGATTTTTCCTGTTTTTTTTTTTTTTTTTTGTTAAATTCACGGTCATATATCCCGGCTGCTACTCACTCGCATTGCCGAACAGGTGGACACGGGCAAAGTTGGCGATGCCGCCCAGCACGAATATTCCGAAGAGCAGCAGCGAGTACTCGCCCAGTTTGGCCATGGCCGCGCTATCGATGCCCGATTTGTTGAAGACCACATCAATGACCTTGCCGAGGAACAGGGGAACCGACATGGTGATGGCCGAGGAGACCACCAGGCAGCCAATGCCCGCTGGGAATACAGAAATGAGCTAGGGATTAGGGAGGCCGCAAGAGGAAGTAGGAGTATTAACCTGTCAGCACCCATTTCTCCGATTTGGTCAGGCTAAGCAGGCGACCGTACTGGGATCGGCCCATTTTCAGGGGCACGGGTTCGATTGCGGCTCGAACTGGAGGTGGTGCATTCGCCTTGGCATTCCTGGCCAACCACTTGCTGCTCTGGGCCAGTCCACGTCGCATGCACCACAATGGCATGCGTAGCGTTTGCAGCAGGTGGTTCTGTTCACTCGGAGGCGGGTGACTGGATGGCGAGCCTGGGAGCGTCCTGGTGGCGCGTCGATGGAGACACCTGCCCAGGTGGTGATTATATGATGTTGGGGATGATGTCTGGCGCAGTGACGTTCCTAGCGTCCTGATTCGGCTGATTTGCGTGACCCGAAGGGTCGTGCAGCCGTGTGTCAGCCTCGTGCAGTTCAACAACATTGTGATTCCTGTCTCATTCAGCAAAAGGGAAATAAAATACAAGGAGTGATTTTGAAATGAGTTCGAAATGGTCAAAAAACAACAAAACGAATTCCCATTGGTGATGCTTCTTCTTCTTCTTCGGTGGTGGGAACGATCAGCTGGTCAGCTGATCCGGCAGTGTTGATAAGCGACTGTTGTAAACATAGCTTGAAAACCGCTAAAGTTTGAATTCATTAAAAGTAGCTAAAATTGTTTAATTTTGCCAACAACATTTATGAAATATTTAAGTAATTCCTCTTTAAGTGCTTCCTTTTTAAAGTTGTAAACTTGGTTTTAGCTCTTTTATGAAAAGTTTAATTTAAGTTTGTGAATCATTGATATATTAACCTACTTTTATTATCGAATTGACCTTTAAAAATGTATTTTGTTTTAAAATAGTTTCTTTTTAGAAAAACTGAAAGCTTAAAACTATTATTCACATGAAAACCAAACTACTATTAACACATATTTATTTCTTTTCACAACCCAAAAAAAGTCAGTTTTGGCTAGAAAATAGCTGGCCCACTCACATCACTAATGTTTAGCTGGTCGTTACACGTGCGGCATTCGAACTTGGCGTTTTGCATTTAAATTTCACCTGGACGCGGCGAAAATGGACACAGGCGAAGGTAAGTGCCAGAGCATATGCTTCGCAGGGACCAGTACAGTAAAACCCAGTGTGTTCGCCCGCAGAGCTGAAGTCCTGGCTGGAGGAGAAGAGCAAACCGTATCCGGCACGTGTTGAATTCGCCCTGAAAGTCTGGCAATCCGTGGAGTTTCCCTATCCCAACAAGTACGAGATCATCACCCAATGGCTAGATGAATCCCTGGCCAGCTGTGGGGATCTGCCCACGCAGCAGCTTAAGGATTTCCTAAAGCTAAGGGCACAGCCCGGCTGGGTCACTCAGAAGATTAAGGTCCAGCTGATCCAAACGCTGGTGAAGATTGTCTCCCAGGATGGGAATGCGAATGAATCGGCATTGGAACTTCTGCCCTTGGCCATCAACTCGGAGCTGCTCCAGGATGCTCTGCGTGCAAACAACGAGTTCCTAACCGAATGCTATGGCAGCATGTTCAAGTGTCACCACAGATGCTTGGAGCTCCGCAAGAAGAACAAGTCTGTGGATCCGGAGCACTGGGATGTGGAGTTCGTGGTGCCGGTGATCAAGCAGCTGGCCGAGATTGCCCGTCGCTCTCAAAACCCTCACTTGTTGCTCAAGTCTTACGATGCGAATACGGTGCGTCCATTGGTGGAGCTCCTGCTCAGCCTCAAATCGCCGTGCCTGGAGGAACTGGCCGAGCTGGAGAAGCAGCTCAAGGCAGAGTTCAGTGCCGAACGTATCGCCGAGCAGCCGCTGCATGTCAGCCTGCTGCTTTTGGAGGCTGCCATCCTGAACAATCGCTACGAAACGGTATCGCTTCAGAATATCATCCCCGCGGTCTTTAAAATCAGTCAGAAGTCGGCTACATCGCTTCCCCTGGCCGCCTATTTGCTGATGTCACTGCGCAAGTACGACATCTCCCTGCAGTTTAAAATGGCAGTCGGCACCGGATTTAACTTTATTGCCCAGCACCTGCTGACTTTGGTGCGTAAGTACAGAAAGTCGCACCTGAAAGAGGTTCTGATACTGCTCCGCTCGGCGCTGCGTTTGAATCCCCTGCTGCTGGAGCAGAGTGTCTACCAGATCACCGTTTGGCTGCTAACTGCTCCCAAGGCGGATCCCGAGGAGGAGCAGCTGTACTCGGAGTATCTGATCCTTCTCCTGGATATGTTTCGTCGTTTGAACCGTGCCGAACGGTTCATCATGAATCTGCTGAAGGCCCTAAAAGAGTGGCTGGGCAAGTATAAGCTGGATATTCCCTCCAGTGACGCCAAGAAGCGGCGCATCCTGGACAACGAAAATGGGGACAACGAGGAGCAGCAGACGGAGAAGCGCTATCTGAGTCTGATCTTCGCAAGCACACCTTTAACTGTGGCTCCCTCGGCCAACGATGCTTTCAGGCAGCTCTCCCACACCTGGCCAAGTCACTCTGCCGGCACGGCCTTCACTCGCCTGGTCAGCAACCTGATGTCAAAGCCATCGCTGGTGATTTGGAAGACCTTGTTGTTCGCCTTCGCAGAACTGCTGGAGGAGGAGGATCAGCCGCAGGGAGTGAGGGCCGAGAATCTGGACTTTGCCCGTGAACTGCACGCTGCGCTGCTGTGTCAGTATTTGAATGGCACCCGACTGGCGGAGCAAGTGCATCTCCATCAGGTTGAAGTGGAGCAGCAACTGCAGCACACTGCCCAGGTGCTGGAGCAGTTCGGACGTCGCTTGCTGAGTCAGGAGCACAATCGTCGGCTGATGAACGCCTTTCTGGAGTGCACGGAACGGGCCAGTGGCTTCGAGCTGCTCCTCACCCACTACTGGCCAGATGGTTTCCCCGCCAGCCAAAGGCCGCTGCAGCTGAGGGGCTTCCTGCCCGCCGCCGAGTGGACACTGATCCAACAGAGGGTGCACAACTTCGGCAAGAGTTCCTGCCGCCAGCGGTTGCAGCGTTTGGAATTGCAGCTGGCGGAGAGTGGTTGGCTGTTGCATGATCAACATGGGGCAACCAATTGCTCCGATGCCCTGGCAGAGTTGGTGCCACCGCAACAACTCTTCCGCCTAACCAGGCCACAGAAACAGCTGCGTTTGCATCAAAGGAGGCTGGATCAGGACTTGGACTCCCATCTGGAGGATTCGGAGTGCGTGGAACTGCTGGCGCTGCAGCTGCTAGGGGAGTATAGAGCCTTGGTCAAGGAGGCCAAGGCCAAGGGTTCGCTGCTGGTCAAGCTGAAGCTGGAGGAGCCGGTGGAGGAGGCCGCCCTGGTCGGTTTCCTGCGGGAGAAGGCCTCTGTCGACAAGGAGCTTCAGTTGCCCTCGGCCCAGGAGCTGGTGGACTCACTGCTGCGCTTGCCACTGGCCCAGTTGGCCAGTCCCATTCGCTCTCGCCTCTGGCTGGTGATCTTTGTCCTGCACAGGGATCTCAGTCGCAGTCAGCAGGTGGAGCAGGCCAATCAAGTGCTCGAACTATTGATAGGTAAGTTACTTGGCCCTAAAAATCATATTCCAATCAGTCTTGGTAATAACTTGCCTACTCTACAGATCTTATGCACTTTGGTCAGCCGCTTCCCATCTGCAGTTACTTTCCGCAGCTCAGCGAACTGCTCATCCTGATCCCCACCAGCTCGACGACGGGCTGGAGCTTCTACGAAACACTTTTTGCCCGCTGTATTCGCCGCCAGAGTGCCGGCAGCGAGGCATTCCTCGCCAGCTGCACGGAGTACCTCAAGGACCAACTGGCTGCCACCAACAAGCTGCAAACGGAGCAGTGCCGTCTCCTGCTGCTGGCCATCGAAACGCTGTCCAGTGTGACTGGTGCCCAGGGCAGGCGGATGCAGCGCCAGCTGCAGCCACTGCTCGAGATCTATGGCGAGATGGTGGCCCACAAGTTTCGCTCCAAAAAGAAGGAGGCTTCCGTGTACAAGGAGTTCGTGGACAGCACTCTGGCGGGCTATGCCACCTATGTGAGCAGCTGCATCAATCGAGTGGCCAGGCAGGAGCGCGAAATTGAGCAGCAGAACAAGAAAAAGGAGCAGGAGTCGGTACCGGAAACGGAGCAGCAAGAGCAGCAGGACAAAAAGAAGAAAAAGAAGGATAAAAAGAAGGCAAATGCTGAGGAGGAGGAGCAGGATCAGGATCAGGCAAAGGTGAAGGAACAGCAAGCCATTGATGACAACTTCCGACGCATCTGTAAGATCTACATTGGTCACTCGGTGAGTTTGTTTTTGGGATACAACATTTAATTTAAATAATAAATAATCCCTTGGATCTTCAATAGTTAAACTATCGCAATGCCCACGCCATTCGCCTGCTGAATGTGGCCCTCACCCATCGTCAGCGCCTGCACTTGGATCCCGATGAGATCGAGTTCGTGTTGAGCAGCTATTGGCGGCAATTGAATGCGGATATCGAGACGGGGGACATCTCCGCCAGTTCGGCGTTGGATTGCCTGGAGCCCGCCGTCAAGTTGATCATTGGCTACAAGACCAACGAGGATTTCCTGCTGCTCCTGCGGCGCCTTTCCTCCCAAGTGGAGCAGATGCCACGCCCCCAGTCGCCTGCCCAGCACACTGCACTCCAGAATGTGCTCACCCTGCTGGCCCTGTTCGCCAAGTGCTCACTTAGCAGCGTGAAGGGAGCGGTTAGTGTTTTCTGGTCACATATTCCAATTTCCTGGCTAATAAAAATGGTTTTATACCTAGATGCTCAACGAACATTTCGAGCTGATCAGCGTCAGTGTGGCACTGCGGCTGCCCGAGCCCAAGGACGCGGCCTATCGTGTCCATGCGCTTCGTCTGCTGGAGGCTCAGCGCAATCTGGCCGAGAATCGCACGGTTCCGCTCACTGGGGAGACACTGGATTGCCTGCTTGGCAGCATGTTGGATGTGGACATCAAGCACTTGATTAGCCGCGACGGCAGTTGGCAGGACTTTGTGGATCTGTACGGAGCACTCACGGATAATCTGGTGGTGCTGTTGAAGCAGCACAGCAACCTAATGTCCGATCGAGCTGCCCAGCTGAGTGCCTTGTGCCAGGATCTCGTCCAGGCCATCGTTGGCTATCGAGCGGAGCGTAAGCAGACCCAGGACATCACTGAGACAGAGTTGGATGGCCTGGCCGACTTGGGCCTGAAGTTGGCCACTGTGATGGCCACAGTGACCACCACTCAGGCGCTGGCCGTGAAGCGAGTGGCGCCCTTCCTGCTCATATTCACCATCCGTCAAATGGTGTCCACCGAACGACCCACCACGCTTTTCGAAAAGGTGTGTTTTGTATACTCTTCAGCACTTGCGATCGCAGGAAAAGTGACAATAGATATCTTTTGGTGCATTGTATTTGGCATATTTTTATTCGATCAACACTTAAACCTAGTACATTTTTCAAGGGATTGTGCTTTCTCTAACTAATACTTATACTACACGTTTTGTCTCCAGGTCAAGGTCCATATAGTGCGCGTCTGCCACGAGCTGATCCGACTTTGCGATCACCGCGCCGGACACTTCATCCTGCGCTCCAGCAGCGAAGCGGGCGCCCGGATGTACGAGGGATTGGTGAAGGAGCACGAGAAGTACCACAAATTCAGGGGCAAGGTGTAGAGAAAGCAACACTGAACATTTCCTTTTTGTTCTTTTTTTTTTGATTAATTCTGATTACTTCAAAATTTATACATATAAAAAAAAAAAAAGTTCCCTATGTACTCTTCGAGTCGTGCCTAATTTGTACTGATTCAGAACTTAAAATTTAACTACAAAATGAGTTCCTCAGTGTTTGACTATTCGTGAAAATGGCTGGAATTTAGTAGTTGGCTGGCCCGTCCTAGTCGAAGAACATCTGGCAGCGTTCGCATAAGGGATCGTCGGCTTCTTCAGGACGATTGCCACTGGGAATGAGATAGGTATGGTTAGGCTTTTACGAAAGTAATCAAAAATATACGTGTTCTGTACTTTGGTTCAATACATGGATTATTTCTAGTTACTTAATGGGGGACTGCAGATTTGAATAAAGAAAAAAAAAAGATTTAGAAACATAAAAAAAAAGTTTTGAATAAATTAGAAAAAAATTATTTGAAAATATTAAAGAAATTACTTGTGTAAAGTAATTGTAATGCTATTGTGTTAAGCCGTTTTATAAATATACAAGTTTTTTAAATATATTTTAGGGAACAGAATAGAAAATTCTTTGAATTCTTTAAAGCTTAAAGAATAGAAATATTTAAGTCATATGCAAATACCTAAAACCTATTCAACCTCTGCGCATTTAGAGTTTCTGAAAATCGTATTGAATATAATGTCGAAGTGTATTGAAAGTGTAGTAATATTAAATAGTAATTTAGAAATGCAAGCAATGGCACAAAAAAGAATCGCCTTAACGTCTAGATAGCAACTCACAACAAGGTAACGCAACTGCGGCATATAAACTGGAAGCATTCGCCACAGGAGTAGCCGCACTCCTCGCACAGATCCATGTTGCAGTTGACGCAGACGTCGTGGATGAGGGTTGGGCGCTGGCAGCAGCGGGACTTCTGGCGCTCCAGGCGCGGATTGGCCATGTCGGCTCGAAGGTTGCGCAGCAGGATGGTTCCGTCGCCCATCAGCTGGTACTGCCCAAAAAGGGCGGGCGGCTGCGGCTGCTGCTGCTGCTGCGGCTGCTGCTGCTGCTGCCCTTGACCCAGTCCGTTTGAGGTGGTCTGACCTTGACCTTGTCCGTTGCCGGCTGCACCGTCGAAAAGCATTTTTGTTGTTTTTTCTGCGGTATTGAAGAGGGAATTAATAGAGGTTCCAGGTTTAAATACGAGTGACGAGTGATATTGAAAGCCTCTTCTACATGAAATACTCAGGGGTTTTATTAAACGAAAAAATGGAACAGTATTGTATGCTTACAGTTTTTTTTTATTGATATGATGAATATGATACGTTTTATACTTCTAACAAAAATGGGAAAATATTCTTGCCTACGATTTCTTCTTCTTTCTTCGAATTTGACATATTTTATATTGCCTTCTAAATGCTAGGAATTTTGATAACCTTAGTGTTGGAAAAAATAACCTGTACCTTCATTTTTTTTCCTACGTGGGGTAGAAATTGGTTAAAAAATCAATTGAGGTTTAAATTTTTAAAAGGAAATTAACTATTTGCCAAAAACGCTGCCTCATCGCTACCTTCACTGCACTGGGGTGGACTATTAAAGAGTACGATTATTTCGCTAGCGTACTCTCCTTAACAACGCTAAACAAACCTTGGTTTAACAACTTGGACTGCAACACAAACAGCTTAATGAGCGGTAACGCTTTTCATAATAAAACTTTAAACGAAATGCGCGTAGTAAGCAATCGCACATTTTAGTCAGCTGTTCCAAATACAACTCTGCAAGTAACACTATCCAACACTGGGAAAATACCACGACATTTACAATTTCTGTAAACACGAACTAACAAACAAATTATAATTGGCTATTTTAAATTAAAATAAACCATTGAGCAATCAACGCATAACAAAACAAATAACCTGACGATTTCCACGTACGCGAGGGCGACCACATTATTTCACAGCACTTACAGGTGCCGCGGTAACCTAAACCCAAAAAAAAAAAAACAACAAATAAATCGGGACTTGACCTTCCAATTGGAAATTCTCCATTCTCTTAACCCCCTTTAACTATGCCCATGGTCGCTTAAAACCGTAACTGAAAAGTGGGAAAAATTAGGGATCGCTGTACATACCGTGCACCTGTTTCATTTTTTCAGGATCGCGAGCATCGCTCATTTTTTGGTTCACCCAGATTTTCCTTTGGGTCAGATTATTGTTGGCGTCGTCGTCGTCCGCCGATCGCGATCGTTTCAATGCCTTTGCCTGGACAATGTTTTCCATATTTTTGGACTCGGATTACCACTTGCCTTTTCCGATTTCCTCGTTTGTACCCTGGATTATAGTTAATTTGAGTTTAACTCCGCTTTTTCTTAACTTGATGCCGGTAGCAGTGTTGCAAAAAACGCGTACGCAGTGCTGCATATGGACGTCGGAAAAAGTGTTGGGCAACGAGAACAAAATTGTGATGGCTGCTATGCAATTTGAACTTACCCGCTATTTAGGACTAAGTAAAAATTTCTTCACTTTTGTTTATTTACGGCAAGCTGCGATCAACAAAGTAATCTTTATGTTCTTGTAGAAAAAATGTGCAATACGAATTAATTTAGAAATAAATCAATGAAGCTCTTTTACTTGTGACTTTTTTGTTTATTAGAAAATATCAAAAGAAATGACATTTAAAAAAGCGATGTCTTGCTGGTCGCCAGTGATTTGATGTTTTGAATTTTTCAACGACAGCTTTGGCTTTTGGATTTTGTTTCCTAATAAACTTCTAATTTGGGTGATTTTCAAATCATTTTAAAGTTTTGTTTTAGATTAAGCCCTATTATTATTTGGGCTTTTAGTTTTGGACGTTTTGTCGAGTTATTTCTGGTCGTTCTAAATATATGTACATGTTCTACCGTTTTTTTGTATTCCATTTTTGTTGGTTAATCTCATGCTTTACTTTTTGCTTCCAGTGCGGTCTTTGGCTTGATAGCCCGAGGGGCTGTTTAGTTCCAGGACCTTACGTGGTGAGTCCACAGTCACGAGCGGTGGCTTGGGGTTGATCTTCTTGAGAAAACTTTCAGAACTGGACGTAGCAGCCTTGGCGGCTGCTTTTTTGGCGGCCAACCGACGCTCGGCAGCCGCCTCCCGTTCCTGGCGAACCAATGCCAGTCTGGCCAAATCCGCCTTCGCCTCCCTGCTCCTCTGCATATTTTTGCTTTCAATCCGCTCCCGCTTCCTCTCATGTCGCCCCCATTGGTTGGCTTCATCCAGCTGGGAATGTTGATCCCGAGTTGTCATGGCTGTGAGAAGGCTCAATGGCTTCTCTCGTGGCAAACGATTCGGATTGTAGACCTCAATCAGGCTGTGGACACCACGGATACGATCGAAAGCGTGCCCAGAATCAAGGTTCAAATTCTTCTTCCGCTGACTTCCCGATTGATCCTGGCCCGGGTCCACCTCGTCCTGGCTGATCCCGTTCCGCTCCAGTTGCAGTTCATCCACTGGCGTGAACTGGCGATTGCGACCCTTGTGATTCATGTTCTTGCGACGTGGCATGATACTGGCAATCTAGAATCCTTATTCTCCAATCGACTGGCCAAAATACTGAGAAACTGAGAAATAAGGAAACTATTTAAAGCCAAAAGAGCCGTCCTTACCTTTTTCGTTACCTTTTTGAGAAAGTGCAGTTACACAGGCAGCCTTCAATAAGAAATGAGCTAAAAAAAATGTGCTAAAATATAGAAAATATTCCCTGTGTTTGTGTCGTTTGGAATGAAGTTTGACAACTAAATAGGTTTGATTTGCTATGGTAAGACAAAAATCTGGCTATAGTTACTCAGATAAAGATTAAATAAACCTAAAAGGGCTGCCCACCATACAAAACAATAGTGCACAAAAAAAAAAAGTTATAAAATTGTTAAAATTGCATAGAAAAAACAGTGAAAAAGTCTTTCTTTCGGGAAGTAGAACTCTTATATCAATTATAAAATGCATTCAAATAAAATATGTTAAAAGAATATATTATTTTAAAGTTCTGCGACCCAATTTAATAGCGGTTTTTCCTTATAATTTGAACAGATAAGCAGACCGCAAATTCAAAAACACCAAAAACCGATGATCAACGATGAATATCGATAGGCAGCCAGCCAGTGCTGGGTAATGGCTGTCGCGACCAGGGTTGCCATGCCATGTCATCTTGTTTTAGAGTTTTGCAGTGTACGACTTTTTTGGCCACCTTTCGTGTAGACACAACACAAAGAACAGAACCATGAAATTACTGCTGGACGCCAAGTGCTGATGCGAGTGAAACCAGAACCGCGGGCAAGCGGAGCACACAGTGACCCCCACATCCAGATCACAGGAGCACACAGGATCGCACAGGACAGGGAAGATGGTGGGTGGTGTTTTGCGGTGTGGTGCGGTGCTCCTGGCCAAACCCACTTTTGCGTTTGAGTGATTCACTTAACTGGGGATGGTTTTCGATCCGCTTTCCCTGTAGCATGCCGCATCCATGACAACGGTGGAAGGTCTGCTGCAGGAGTTCTATCAGCCCAGTACCTCGAATGCCCGGAAGCGAGAGATTGAGACGAACCTGCTGGCCTTCAAGTCGCAACCGGAGGCGTGGCAGCTTTGCCTCCGTGTGGCCACCGCATCCGACATTACCGAGAATCAGTTTCTCTGGTTCTTCAGCACCTCCACGCTAGAGCACACAATCACACGGAGATGGACGCAGCTGACGTCCACGGACAAGACATTGCTGCGGGAAGCCCTGTGGAACTCGTATGCCCAGCTGGGCAGCACACCCAATGCGGCCAAGCGGCACCGGGACACACTGGCCCAGCTGATAGCTCTGCTGGGGAAGAGGGAGTTCCCCGAGCAGGACCCCAACTACATGCAGCACTGCATGGAGCTGACGAAGACCCGCTTTCAGCTGGGCATCAACCTGCTGAGGATCACCTCCGAGGAGGTGGTGAGCAACAGGGGCGATCTGACCACCGAATGGAAGCAGTACTTCTACTCCTGGTGCGTAGCCACATCATGAATGCCAGGGTCTAACCGCAACTCACGTTCATGTCCCCTTCTCTTGTTTTTTTACACCTTCTCATCTTTGCACTTTCTGTTCTATTGTTATCTTTCTGAAAGAGTTACGCCCTGTATCTAATGTATTTATTCCTTATCAGAAATCTTAATTCTGGCTAGTTTTTCTTTGCAGTATTTGTTAATTTCTGCGCATTTTCATGTCCTTATCAGTAGTAAACACATGTTTTTAGCCTTTTGTTTCGAAAAGACCAATGCCTGATTCTTTCTTATGTAAATGTAACCTTTTTAAGCATTATGGTTATATTATTTCTGGGCATATAGCTGTAAGTCTTTTATAGAAAAATGCTTCCTTTTAAGCTACTCTCTGTTCCTGGAGTTCTTAATCAACTTAAATCAACCTTATCATAAGTTATACCTATGTTTTAACGATCCCTTCCACGTTATTTTCTTCTTTCCTTCCTTTACCCTTTATCTAAATTAACATTCTTACGAGTTCCTTATCAATTTTGGTGCCTTCTGAAGTTAAACCCCTTTAATATTATTTTCTTCTATGTACATAAAGTTTTCCCTTTACACTCTATATGTATTTAATTAATGTTAGTAATGTTCAATTAAGAAAAGATCGCCCACTGATTTAATTATCTTTTTAATGTCAATTGGTTAATTTCAATAGTAATATGCTTACCAAAAATAATCACTTTTATTAGGAGTGTCAATGATGAAGATTTTTGCTTTGCCAATTGCTACTTTTTTTAACTGCAGTTATGGCTTTTAAAAAAGGGCCTGCTGTGGTTTTAATTTTTGTCAAATGAAATCTCTACAGAGGTTTAAATCACAGGTTACCAGTAGGCTTTAAACTCTAATTTAAACTAGTGTTTTTATATATTTATCTTTACTTTTGTTTGTTTTCTACATCTCGATTTACTGACCTCTTTTGGGTATTGCAAATGTACCTAAACAATGAAGCCCTTGTCACAGCACTTGTCCTAATCATTTCCCGCTTTGTGTTCCCGTGTGCCCGTGTGTTTCTGTAGCATCTCCATGTGTATACCTGATGTCCTGGACCTGGTCACCAAGTATCTACTAATCGCTGTGTGCCACATCAATGGCAAAGACATCCAAACGACCATACCAAACACCCTCATGGACTTTAGTCTAACCTCAGCGCTGCCAAATGACAATCAATTAAGGTGGGTCATCGTCAAATATACAATCTAAAATTTCTAAAGATGTTCCGAACTAAATCGCAATGTGTTTTGTATCCACAGTTCCTCTATTTTGGAGCTGCTCGGCTGTGTGCAGCACTTGGTCTCCTGGATACGCACTGAACTGATCTCGGAGTACTTCCTCATGAGCATACTCGACCTATCCCAGTGGCGGCCTGCCCACGAACCCATCTCCCTGGCGGCTCTATCGGTGCTGAACGAGCTCCTCTACCTGCAGAAGCCTTTGCCCTTTGCGGGCACTCTGATGGGTGGCGTTAGTAGCCTCCTGGAGCAGCATAACAACAATCGGCGGCAGAGCGAGATGTACAGCGATAAGTTTCGGGAGCTGCTCCGTCTCTACACCACCAAGTATGCCGGCAAGCTGATGCAGGAGCCGGAGCTGCTGGAGACCTTCCTGAATCTGCTATACGGCTGCACCACAGAATGTGAGTCGCATGGTAAAAGTCTTGCCCTTTTGTTATAGATTGTCCTTTTTAAAAGATTTCTGTGAAGAAAAGCTACCAACGAAAAAAAAACACATATATAATAGACGCTTGTTAACTAAATGATTTTGTAACTAGTGCACGGCGCTTTGGACTTTACCGAAAAGTTGGAGATCTGGACGCCAATCATTAAAGGCATCGCCCAACAGCCCGCCAAAATCACGCGCTTCAACCATGTGCTCACCCAGCTGGTGGATGAGATCATGCGGCGCACTCAATTCGAGGCCAACAAACCCGAACTGGAGGTGCTGGATAACGAGCTCATGGAGGACGATGTGAGTGGCTCTAAGTTTTGTTTGCCTTGTTTGGAGTGTTCGAAGTGTTTGGAGGTCTTTGTGTATGTGCGTGGAAATAGAGAAAGTTGTACGCCCCAGATGGCTAGCGTCGAATGTTTATTGTTTATTGATTGACGCAAATCCTAACTTCCGTTTTGGGCGGAATACGCAAAGAGAATACCAACAGTTTCCAAAAGCAATATCTTTAATATGCATATTCATACCCTTTAACATATAGATATAGTTTCTAGTTAGTGGTAATCATTTATTTAACCATTTTTTTTATTTACACAACACAAACTTATTGCTTAAACTAAAGACTAATCGCCATTTTAATCATTTTTATTTGGGATATATACATTTTTTCAATGGCTTAGCCGAGAGTTAGGTTTAAGTTTATCCTTATTATGTTCTCTTATATAATTTAAATAGGTATATATATATTTTCTAATTTTTTTTATATTTTTTTTACATTACAAAGTGCATACTTTGTATTTTGTAGAAATTGAATAGTGGAAGACATATATTATTAAATCTTCTATTACTTTTCTAGTCAGAAATTGTCCAAATGTTAAATGCTTAACTTATTTTAGGCTTCCGCCACCGAGTGGCAGCAGTTCCTGGACCAATGCTTCGAGTCGCTGGCCCTGCTGGCGAACACCCGAGGTGCTCACATCGTCTTCGCACAAGTCTATAATCACTGGTCAAGGCCGCAGATGTATCTGCTGTCGCTGGAGCACGCCCTGGATCACGGAAGTGCGCGCAGCTATGAGGCGGCACGCAAATTAAAGGGCGCCAATGTGGGCGAGATTCTGCGTGACTTTGCCACCGTCTGTCAGGCGGTGGTGCGTCTGGCCCCGCTGATGGACACCACGTCGGCGGCGCCCGGAGTGGCGGACGAGATGGAGTGCCAGCTGCAGATGCTGTCCGACAGTCTGCTGCAGACGCTGCAGCTGTTAGCCAGCAATCGCTTGGGCAGCGGCGGCAGCGAAATGGACAAGGCCACGTTCCAGACTGATTTGGATAACCTGTAAGTGGAGAATTGATTGCGGATGCGTTTTTTGCTTACCTACTGTTTTGATTACTTGTACTGTTACAGATACGCTCAAGTTCTGCTCGCCATACGCAGCATCTTTCCGCTGACGAAGGCCATGAGCGGCGAGGAGCTGCTGCACCGCCTGTTCGCCATCTTGGGCAGCATCTTTGCCTGCAACGGATCCCTGTCGGCCGCCTCGCCCATTGTGCAGCAGGCGGCCAGCGAGCTGTTGCTCTTCATCTCGACTGTGATACGGCCCAAGTGCCTGCTGGATATACCGCAGATCCAGAGCCTGCTGCAGGCGGGCTCCCGCCTGGGCGCCCAATTGCCGCGCCAGGTGTGCATCAATGTGCACATCAGTCTGGTCAGCTACATGGTGCTGCCGTGGAAGAGTGTGCCCGAGCAGCAGCAGGACTATCCACGTCGCCTCTGGATGCTGCGCGAATATGTGCAGGGGTTGGCGCAGAACTTCCTGGATCTCGATTTGGGTCAGGTCAACGAAAGCAAGGTGGCGGCCACCACGCTCAGTCTGCTGGGCACTTTTACGGCTCTCATCGAGTATTTCAAGGCCACTGGCGGCAATGCCAAGGATATGCTGGCAAGCACTTTCAAGGTGATTCATTTGATTTAAGTAATCTAGTAACCTAGCTTCTTTCCTCTGTGCAATTGTGTTCTTTGTATTTACATTACATTTCCTACAGGTATTTTTTTAAATTTTGTAGATACAGTTTTAATTTTGTTTCTCTATGTGCTTTATTTTGCAGCCCATTTTGACCAAGGCCCTGATGATCTTCAACAGTTTTGGCCTAAGCAGCATTGCCATGGCCATCACGGTGGCCGAGTTTAGTCTGAGCATGCTCCGCACATTGCCCACCCACTTGGGGGCCCAGTTCATCAAGGAGATGATCACGTTGTTCATCAATGTCAGCAGCAGGTGGTTGTGGGCCTCTCTTTCTTAATCGTGTGAAATTCGCAACTAATATGCTTGATGTGTCTCTTTACGATTCCCCCAGGGAGCAATTGACGCTGAGCCGACTGGCTGTGATGGAAAAGATACTGCAGATGTTCAAGCTGATTGTGGAGCAGCCGGGTAGCGCTTCGTTGGGCCTGCTGCCCTCCATTCTGGACTTCAGCACGCAGCAGATATTGCCGCTGTTGCAACAGCAAAATGCAGCCACCGATAATAGCGAGATCACCAGTCTGCTGTACGCTTTGTTTGACAGGTGAGAGGATTTATTTAGATATATATTTATATAGAGCTAGTTTAGGGTTTTAAACTAAAATATTATTTAGGTTTTAAGAAAAGGTAACAATTGCAAGGAATGAATTGAAATGGTTCGGTTTGCTATGCTATTCTATGTTGGATATGAATATATATTTAATGCTGAAGAATTCGCGGTTCTAATCAAATTGATTTTAAAGGATACATTCATTGTGATATCTTCTATTTCAGCGTACTCACCTGCAAATGGCAGTTCTTCTACAAAAACCAGCTGTCCAATGGCCACAGTGGCGGTGGCTCCGGCAACTTCAACTGCAGCGACAACCTGCATCCGGCGCACTTCATGGCCATCCTGAATGCCTACGGTCAGATGCTGGTCAGCGGTACGGATCCTTCCAATGTGCGCAGTGTTCTGTTCTCGATGCAGAATGTGAACGAAAGGAGTCGGCTGTATCAGCGTGCCTTGTTCAAGGAGCAGCTGTTGGCCTCCTTTCAGCGGGCTTTGCTCAACTTGCTGCTGAGTGGAGAGGGCTCGCTGCACTTCGACATGATTGCCCAGGCGTTGTATGCGATGGGCCAGGTGGACCGACGCCAGTTGCTTGAGAGCTTCGCCCATGCCTCGCTGCCGGTGGCGCAGACGGCGCTGGAGGAGATCTGCCAGACAAGTGTGAGTTGTTTGCCAAGAACAATGATGCCCGAATGCGATAGTTAATGGTTTTAATTCTCTCTTTGGCCAGGACATTCCAACGTTTACGCAGAAACTCACGCAGCTCATGCAGGACGCCCACTGTGTGCATCTCAATGAGACAGCGTAGGCCTTTCCTCAAACCCGGGACGCCTTCCACTGCCCCCCCAACCCCCCATCCTCGCCCCATACGCTCATATGCTCATACGCCCTCTTTTTTTAAAAAGTCACATCTTGTAGAGTACTTACATGTAAATACTTTATTGTTTTATGTTTTGTAACTTTTATTTGTACTTTGCTGTCGCTTCTTGTATGCCATATTTTCGGTGACTGTTGTGTCATCCTGCTCGGATCCCGTGTCAAGTGTCCTGTGACCCTTGTCCTGTGACCCTTGCCCTGTGACCCTTGTCCTGTCACCCTTGTCCCAATTTCCCATGCTTGTGACCCAATCCCCGCCAGATTGCGTTTGCTTTCCTTCTTTTGTGCGAGGTTGTGTTTCTCGAACAGAGAATCGAACAGCATTCATCCCGATTGATAAAAGACATTAATTGTTAATTGACAACAAAAAAAAAAAATCGTAAGTTTAAAAGCATTCTTATCTTTAATTTTATGTTTACCACATACAAAAAGTACTATTACTCTGCTTTCTGTGCTGTCACCGCAAATCGATAAAAGTCATACCTATATCTTAGTAGCATATATACCTACATAATACATATAATTAATTAGCATATATCAATATGTAAATCAGTTACGTCATAAGCAAGTGAAAAGTATCAAGTAAAAAAAAAAAAAAAAAACAAAAACGGGACGGAGACAAAAACCCAGCCACACATT